AAAAAAAAAAAAAAAAAAAAAGTCAGAGACAGGTCTCACAGTTCGCTTTTCCAGGTTAAGGGAAATGATGCCAATTCCAGGTCGGTGGCCACCTCTTTGGACTTTGCGAGGATGTGGGAAAGTTCTTCGCGGGTTGGGGGGTATGTGGCACTGGAGTAGAATGGGTGAAGTCTAGCAACAGCCAGAACTTCAGAGACCGAATAATAATCAGGAGGCATATTGAATGAGGAGGTGGGAATATAGATAGACAGGGGTATGTTTAACGGATCAATAACACCAGATTTTGTATATTTTTCCTTGGTGGCCACTTCACTGACGAGAATGAACAACGTCTAGGTAATTTATGAAATGCTTTTCTAATACGCTGTCGTATGAGGGAAGGCCATTTGCCAGGCGTATGGGTGGAGTAGTTACTTAAATACTTACTACTGTGTAAAGTTGGGTCTAGCTGATCTGTAACCACTTGCCGATCTGTGGATCCTTCAGCCAGCCACTTTGCAAGGCTTTATTTCCTGCGTACTATACTAACAAACTAGTGCAGTTAACTAACGAAATGCTAAGGAAAGGATTTTCGAGAGAATTCAGCTGATCTCAACCACAGCATCTTAGCCCCAGCTAGTGCGTCTCCTACTGCTGGATATATTATTTGGACTCATTAACGTACTCAACAGCTTTTATACCTGAAGATGGACAGGCATAAGAATGTATAACATTGGACATATTTTTCTTTTTTTCTTTTTTTCTTTTCTTCTTTTTTTCTTTTTTTCTTTTTTTCTTTTTTTCTTTTTTTCTTTTTTTCTTTTTTTCTTTTTTTCTTTTTCTTTTTCTTTTTCTTTTTCTTTTTCTTTTCTTTTCTTTTCTTTTCTTTTTTTTAAAAAAAAAAACAAAACAAAACAAAAGGCAAACAAAATTTATGATGATATTTGAGAATACAGTTGGAAACCAACGCAAATTTAATTTGTTAGAAGCAGCAGCAAACAGTATATTCCTAGATAAAATACCTAATGTTTGGATACGTATAATCTCCACCATTCAACAATTACTTCGTAGACATTATCAACATTGATCATCATGCTCCCTATAGTATAAGTGATCAAAGAATATAGCATCTTTTTGAAAACATGGTCGTTGATGTCGTTTGTTAGTTACAAGTAATTGAATAGCTTCAACTGAACTCAAGCGCAAAGAGAGATAGTAGCTCGAGACAACTTACCACCACACTGGGGTAGGTACCTGCTCTTCAGGGGGCAACGCACAAGGCTCGTCAGTGTCTTACCAGAACTAACATTAGAGCATTCCATAATGTTTCCAGTGGGATAAGTGCAAGTGCGGGGATGGATGTACGTAGGAAAGTCAATAAGAACAACCGGCAAGACATAATAACCGTGATGCGCCACCACCCAACATCTTGCATTGCCCTATCTCCTTGGGTTTCACGTCGATAGATGCTGGGCTATCTAAAATCAACGAACCGAACGACCTTTCGGCCTGTGCTGCTGCGCTCGAACTCAGCAACATCGTTGACAAACTTGACTCGGAAACCGGGATTGGTGACCACCAAGAAGGCCCATTTGATCTTGACAACTAACTCTTCGTCAGAAATCAACTGGGCTTGCTGCCGATCACGCAGAAGTCGAATCTCTAAATATTCAGTCCCGGCCTCTTGGTCCTGTCTCATCACGATCTGCCACTGCAGAATGCCATAGCCCTCACTCTGCATTAGATTGTGGACCATCGTGTATTCAAAGTAGTTCGAATTCCAGCTGAAACTAAAGCGCTTGTCCCTTCCGTATACGCGGACCAGTTTCAGATGTTCAACTACATCCGTTGGGATTTGAGCCTGAGCGGTTAATGGGAGGGGATGAAGTGAGCCAATGTCTCCTGAGTTGTACCGCACCAGTGAATTCCGCAGACGCTGCAGAGAGGTCAATGTTATCATGCCCATCTCGTTGTCTGGGACTGGCTCGATCCATGCGTTGTCCTGCTTGGTGTTGGAAAGCGGTAAGATCTCGACGTGCATAGTCCGTGTATCGTAAATAAACTCTGCCGCATCAGTTTCTAGCTCGCCAGTGAGCTGAGGGTTGGCGACGGCCCAAAGACCTGCCTCAGCACTCCCCATCCCGGAGTATATCGCCACCGACGACCCGAAAGTAGAAGTCAAGAAGTCATGCTGAGATCGAGATAATGGTTCAGAAGTATAGAAGATCTTATTGATCTTGACTTGTTCCCGGACCTCGGTAGGAAGGGACGCTATATGATGCGACATCTTAATCAGCTCGGTGACTGGACCAGTGAGACAATTGCAACGGTACTGCTGAATCACGTCTGTCACCATTTGTGGGGACATATCACTCCCAGCACAAAGCACAGTGCCTCCGGCGTATTCAAGAGCGTCAGTAAGCAAGTCGAGAGATCTGATATTATGTGAAATCGTCAGCCATGTTCCGAGGTGAGAACCCTATGGACCCCCGCTTACCGATACAGGTATCCCGACACATGGATATTAACCACCCAGTCTCTAGGCTCAATAATGCCTACTGCCTTAATGATCGCCCCCATAGTCTCGCGCTGCCGCTTATTCTCCGCGCTGTCGGTCAAGAATAGCATTGGAACTCCACGACTCCAGCCACCTCCAGTGACACTGGTGTACGAGCTGTAACGGAAGGTATTGCTAAGCGAGTCATCGGTGGCAAGCTTTTGGATGACATCGAAGCTGTTCCGAATCAGTATTGCCATATGGCGTTTGAGAACTCATTCGCGGAGTGTTTAGAGGTCAATGCTCACATGTCTTTCTTTTTGATAATCCTATAACGACATAAGTTACTGCCGTTTGGAGGATCACTACTTTGTATAATTTGAGGAATGTCCTCCGGATGCGGTGGAAACTGAACATCTGGATTGTAAAAGGGGTGGTTCTGGGCAACTCTCAGAACCTCATCCAGTGAGTAATAAGATTTTGCCATGGCTGCTCCTGACTCGGAGAGAGGGGCTCTCGGCTCTGGGCTCTGGGTCAGTACATGAAAGTTGGTGTTGTTCTTTATTATATACAAACCGGAGGGTGAAATAGTGCGTGGGGTGGTTCCCCTTGAAAAGTTTCATGAATTTCAGTGGTCACACTGTACTGTAATTGTAGCAGCATCATTGTTGTATTATTACGGAGTAAAGGACAGAATACAGTATGAAAGTTGCGATGTGCGATCGTCAAGCTGAACCTGCAATAGTCAATCCTCCTACTAGTATGTACTAGTACTAGTTATGCCATACGGAGACAAGAAGTGACTACTCGTTAAATAATAATGGGTCCAATTAGTCATGTGGCACGGTATCCGTGCCCTTTGGCAAATTTTTCGGTACACCCACGTCGATTCTCTCGTGAAGGACAGGGCTTACTGTAACATGCTCGATCCGCTCGGCTTCAGCTAGTCAGGGCCACTATCACGTAGTAGGGGTGCTCGTGCGAGGGGCTGGGAGGGTCAAGTTTAGCTCAATCTGCAATGCAAGGAACACTAAATCATCCTCCGATCCGTTTCCTCTCGGTTAAGTCAAGTTTCCCCACCATAAAAGATCTCTCCACCGTCCTCATATTGCGGGAGCAGATCGGCCAACTCTGGTCCTTGCCTGTCTTAGTGTGATATGTGGATAGGTAAAAGTTGCCCTATGCCAGAACCGTGGCGATCGAACTATATTTTCAGTCCATTACCTAGGGCCCCACCAATATACCATCTAGAATACACCTCTTAGGAATTGTGTGGGGTCCAGCGGTGTGGAAATCGTTCTTCTTGTGTAATCATGATACGAGCGATGTTCCGCAGCTGCTGTTACTTACCTATTTGCTATTTCGGGATTTATATAGCGAAAATATCAGCCCATATCAATTCATGATACAGACCTCCTTTTCTTCTACTGGTCTTGCTTGCCCTTTGGCAAGAGCAAACGTTTCTCACAGTGAAACGATTCGCCCACAATGTCAAGCGTGGCAGACCGATGAGCTCAACTTCTCGTAAGTTGTAACCACACTGTGGTTACAACTACGACAAATGTTGGGAAATTATGACTCTCTGAGTCTGAGAGTGACAGTAGTGGGGCTTAAAATACAATAACCGTGAAAATAAATAAAAGGTTAAAATTAATCGGTGTGATTATGCAAGGGACATGTCAGGTCGTGGGCTAGTGCCAGGTGGCTCGGAAGAGTTTAAAAAGGCGAGCTGAATCTGCAATGGGAGGCATTAATTGATTTGCAGTGATTCAGTACCAAGAATACGGAGTATCATAATCAATTATGTATTTATTAATTGATTTAGATCCACGAAGAATCTCGTGAGCGTAGATCAGGATATATCGACAACAGGAGCAGGAGACGACTTTTCCCAATTTTCTCAAATTCCGAGTCCGTCGGTGATAACCTCTTGCGTTACCGAGAAATTCTTTACAAATTCTTACTCTTCCCCCAGTTGGCCCCCCAATACGTTTGTTAATTTTTGAAATACAATTCCTGCAGGGTTGCAGAAAACAAAATGTCCACTTGGGAGCCTAACGTTCAGTGTATCCATAAGTTTCCGAACGATGCTATATTCTCTCGGCTTCGTCGGCTCCAGATAGAGAGACCAGGAGTGGTGGTCCACGACGAACATGGCATAGACGCTGACTATAATAACCTGATTAGCGATGTCATACACATGCGTCAGATCTTGCGAGAGCAGCTCCCGAGCAACTCATTCGACGAGAATGGTCTCCTGCAAAAGGAGGCCATGTCTATAGCATTTCAGGCATTCAGCGGATACAACTTTATTGTTAGCTTTTTTGCCATCGTTGCTCTAGGAGGCATCTGTGTACCATTGGGCAAGTTAAAATATCTGGGCTAGCCCACTCATAAAGTCTAACATGACCGATTATAGCAACAAGCCTCATTCCGGAAGAGGCACTCCATTTTCTAGGAAAGACCAAGGCGACCTCCATCCTTGTTGAGGAGGGGACTTTTGAGAATGCCACAGTAATTAGAAACCATGTCCAAAACCAGACCGGCCAAGGGTTGAACATCATTCGGATAACAATATCGGAGCCAAACACATGCCCTCAATTGGAAATCAACGAGCAATTGGTTATCTCCCCAACAGCTGGATGTCTGGTCCTGTTTACCTCAGGAACAACTGCTTTGCCAAAAGGAGTCGTTCTTCCCCGTCAGCTATTCTATCCCACGCCAGAAGTAATGCCTCGGGACATTCTATATTTAGCGAGAACGACTGCACAATGGGTAGGAGGTTCAACAGGTATGATAGACAGTGTCCTTTATGGACAGAGAATACATGTCATGAAAGATAGTTCCAACCCTGCAAGGTTCTGGGAGGTGCTTAAGGAGGGCAAAGTTACGGTAACCAGCATGCCCCCGGCATTTCTAAGGACGTTGATGGGGTACTACAATGAGAATATCTCCTGTATGCCGCCTGAAGATCGCGAGAAATATATTAACGGGGCTCGAAGCCTGCGACACGTGTTCACAAGTGGTTACCAACTTGATCCTTCCTTGTACACTTTCTTCACCGATTTGACCAATATGCCTATCAGAAATGGATACGGAATAACTGAGATGGGTGGAGTTGTTACTATCTCTCCAAAAGGGTCAGCATATGTGGAAGTATGTACGGAGGTTTATAACATTTCCGCACTTATGCTGATTGTCATTTAGGGATACATCGGTACCCCGGTTCCAGGGATTACAGTGAAGCTTTCCGATGGGGAGCATGGAGAAATCCTTGTCAAACACCCTAATATGTTCATTGAGTAAGAAAATTGAGATTTTTCCTCTGGGGCGCAGTTTATTTACAGTGGACAGGTATATCAATGATGAAGCAGCCACAAAGGCTGCATTTGACCACGAAGGGTTTTATAAAACTGGAGACTATGCTGAACGTATTGGGAATGACTACTTTTTCAAGGGCAGAGTTTCATCTGATTGTATGTATTCCCCAAGCCCTGACATGGCATCACGACAGCCTAACTGATAGCGTGTCAAGGGGTCCGGTTCCATGAACACACGATATCTGTTCTGGAGCTTGAGCATTGTCTCATGGATCTTCCATATATTTTTGAAGCCCATGTTCTCCCAGTGCAGGATCGCGAGGCTGGTGGATTGATTGCAGCACTCGTTGAGGTTCAGAAGCCGAATGAAACTGAACAAGACCACGGCAATATCAACCTTCGACGTATACGTGAGGATCTCGCTGCCGCGAATCTAGTCTCACACAGATTACCTGCTCTTTTACGGATTCTCCCGAAGAACGGAGAAGTCCCTCGAACGGCCTCCGGCAAAGTGTTGAAAAAAGAAGCCCTCCGAAAATAATTTTAATATATCAGGATACCTGCCAAAAGATTATGCCGCCGATGACGTGGAGTATTGGGGAAATAAATTAGATTTGACCACTTCGACCCGTACGTTTGATTGGGGTGGCATTTAGCAGGGTTAGATGGGAGTTTATGCGGAGCATGATACTTGACAAATTGTTTAAGGACTCCCACTTACTATAGAAGAAGCACTTGAAAAGAGAGGGAGATCTGATTTCCGAATTCTATTGCCACCAATGATTTGAGGTAGTCGTACATTTGAGCTACACTCCCTTACTGAATCCAAGGTTTTGGACTTGGATTCAAAAGGGACCTCTGAGAAAGAAGAAGCTAGCGGTGGTCCAGTTTTGGTCCCTGTCACTCCTTCCAAATAAGCCTAACTGTACAAGGTTATGCCCAGTCAATCTCGTATGAGGTTACATCGTTAAATTATCAAATTCCAACATTATTTCGGGAGTGACAAGAGTCCACGATTAATCAATCAATATGTATTACGTCCTTTGTCTGAATTATATAACAACATCATGTTATGCCTTTCTGGCATAAATTATAATATCCCCTTTTGGACAAAAGGCACTACAGCACTCATCAGAATTGGATTATCTCTCAGGGTTCAAAGGGACTATGCGTTGGCCGCAAAGTCGGTTCACTAGGTCGGTCGCCCAAGATAACAGTGGACAAAGAAGTCACAAGCACTGTTTGCACCCGTAAGGACACAAGCCGTATTGCTTGATCATTGCCACGGCACTGTCTTTTGGAATCACTGTTGGTGCCGTCAACACGGTTTCAGTGTTTTGCGGGTCCTTGCGATGTAGTTTACAACTGTATCATCAGTTTGTAAACAAGTTTATGGAAAGGCGAATGGGGATGATATAGCAATCCTGCACAGAAAAGAAGGGGGGTTAACAAGCCTGCAGGAGTAGAACTGGGTAGTTTTAGCGGGGAAAGAGTGTGGAATAGGCTGGGGAAGGGAGTGAGGTTCTTATAGAAATCTTATAAGCGGCGAGCAGGACTAAGCGGTAGGGTGATTGGCTTATGTTCCATTAATGATAGTACAAATCCAAATATTGTAAAAATATAATTTCCTCCACATCTTCATTTTTTAAATAAAGATAAATCAAACCCAATCATTATATAACTGAGATCTTATTTAAATATAGCGATTACAAAAATAGAACTAGGCAGCTTTCTTCCTCTAGGACCTAGGTCTATGATATATCTATCAGTAAATTGTAGAATCAGTCCAAACATAACCTATCCCTGCAGATTACTGTGACCTCCCCGGAAGAGGGATTCCTTCTGCTAAACTTCACTGTGAGTTCGAAAGAACGTGAAGCGCGAGTAACAATCCATAACTGAAAGAGAATTAAATCTGTACACCGTCTCTCATTACACTAAAATAAGGTATTACATACCATTGGCAGATTCTATCTGGAGTTACTACGGCAGTACTGACCGGATTATTCGTAGAATTGTGAGGCCTACGTTGGGCGCTGACTTGGATTCGCATATACAAAAGATGAGCCTTGTCCCTTTTATCTTTATCTTGCACTTCTTAGTTTTGCTGCTACTCCCACTATTGTAAATAATAATAAAAGCGAAGTACATTAGGTCTACATAATCACATATTGACCGGGAGTAAAAAGCAATTCTCTAGTCATCGGGATATAAAACTGAGAAAGAAAGGGACGAAAAAAGAAAGATAAGGATGCTCGAAAACTAGATTTATATTGCTTCTTTATTTATATAGTAGGGATAGTAATAGCGTGAAACCCCGCGCTTTAGTAGATAACATACTCAACCACGACTGTCTTGCTGCTAGTCTCAATCTCAGTCTCGGTTTCCGCCTCGCTCTTGTCCTTCTCCTGCTTGAACTTGGTTTCGACCTCGTGCTGGAGCGAGTAAGGACCAGCCTTTGCCTCGTGCTTAGTCTCCTTGCTAGTCTTCCTTTCTGGCTTCTTGCCCTTGGTCCATTCCTTCTCCACCTCGACCTCGCGTTCGATTTCGATCTCCGTCTTGGTCTCGGTCTTGGTAGTCTCGAATCCAATGGGGGCGTCGTCGGCCTCAAGCTCGTCGCTGAGCTTCAATTTGGGTGCGCTCTTGTCGACGTCGAAGACGATCTTGAAGTCAGCAGTGACCCCACCGGCAGTGACGGTGTACTTGAGTTCGTCACCCTGAGTGATCTTGAAGGAGGCCTTGTCGCCATTGGAGAGGCTCTTTGGGGCTTCGGTCGACTCGCTGATGGTTGACTTGTCCTCGAGAAGACTGATGGTGGCGTCGGTAGTGACGGAGATGGTCACAGGAACTATATATGTACACAGCATTGTCAGACTAACGTCACGGCCTTTATTTCATACATGGGAAGAATATGACAACTAACCAGATGAACGGACATCACCCCCCTCCTGAATTTCCTTGATCTTGGACAGAACGTCGAACTTCTCGACGAGAGCCTCGATCTCGCCGTGAAACTGAGCAATTTCGACAGACATTGTGGATGGATATTCACTCGTGTTACAGCGCGGGTTAAAATATCACAGGAGGAATGGATTAGAGGCCGGGAATGAGGAAGGAATCCGGCAGGAGTGCTATTAAGTATTGAGGGGAGCTTAGGGAGCCAAGAGAATGACACCGTGGTGATGCGGGCAGAGCCGTGGTTCGATCGTTTCCATCAATGAGGCATGTTTATGCCAGCACGGGTGTACACCGTACCGAGAAGGTCGTGTTGACTCTTGGTGGCGCAGTTCGCGTCGAGTGGAACGTGGTCCTATTACATTTTGTACAAGGAAATTGATATAAAACACCCCCCGCTCCCGCAAGCACGGACCAACCGGACCCGGTTTATTCAACTTTAGCTATTAAGTTTAACTATATTGTGGTGCCCATTGAATAAAAGTTGTATTCATGTGAGGATTCTACATGTTCTAATATAGTACAATTTACTTGTCTTACTGTTTTTCTCCTGTTTATCTCCTCTTGAAAATTGAAGATCGCATCAGAGGGAATTTCTCGCTAGGAATCCGGGGAGCCCTTGGACAGTGTATTGTGGTGGGACTGAGTGGGGTTTGGTGAAAGCACTGCCACATTACTTCCACTATATTGTTTTAGATCGGCAAGACCATTGACGGTGTACACCTGGTTTGGCCAATCCTGTGCCGCAGCAGATGGTCGTAGCGAAAGACTATCGCTGGGCGGGGATGGGCTAGATCTCATTTGTCACCAGTCACCCACAGCAAGCCCCCGAGACCATATCTCCAGTAAATGAAATGAGGTATCCGGGACAGTCGGCGGTCGGATAGGTGATTACATGCCAGACTGTCGTGAAGAGATGCACAAGTAGGGAAAAGGAGAGCAAGCATGGGGAAATTGCATTGTAATAGACTGTCATTTTCTTTTGGTAAAGCTATGGAGATTCGATTAGTTAATCTGGGGGCTTTTCATGAGGCAATCCCAACGTCTCTTGATATCATGATCAGTTCGATCAGTGGCTAGTAATTCCAATATACCCGGGGAAGGATGCTTCATTGCAGAGGCACATACGGTTTCAGGCATCCAGTATTCGTGGCTCATATATACCCAAGGCAATACGAGATGTGATGGATAGATCGGCACGATAGGCATGCCTATGGGTGTGATATCATCTTACAGTTTCTGGAACATATTTTCTGTGCTGTAAGACCTCTACGAGTGGCCAAGAACATACCAAAGCCGTACATCTGGTAGCACTGAACTTAATATGGGATCTTCAATCTGGGCTAGAGACAAATCAACGTGAACAACTGCTTACCAAGAGCTTGTCCGAACATGGCTGTCGACAGGGCAGAAATAGACACCTTTCACCCTCTAGATATGGCCTACCAGGGGAGTGAGTGCAAGTAGCCTAAACAAAACCTGTCACTGTAGACTATCCACTACTTTCCCTTTCGTGGACAATGAAAATACCAAGGATGGTGATGCTGCTAGCCTTCGTTGTACCGTCTCCGGATAGTCATCATCCAATATATTTCTGAGCCATCTACCAAGACGATCAGCGTCTGGGGCAATCTATACCAGGCATTTTGCACTTTAAGCTCCCGTGTTGATCTGCGCAGCTCGGGAGTTTCATCCTTCAATGGGTGGCACATTCTGACTGCCAACCAGGCTTGGTTTGCACTTGGCAGCATATAGGCGTGTGCTCTGGACACGGGATTCCCAATGAAACACTGTAGTCATCGGGATATCAGAGCGGAGGTAAAATAAGATAAAGCTAAAAAAAAAAAAAGAAAAGACAATCGCGTCAGCACTAGGATTCGAACCTAGGAGGGCGAACCCAATAGATATCGAAAATTCGAGTCTATCGCCTTAGTCCACTCGGCCATACTGACTAATACATGTTTGGTTGACAAAGAATATGGCTCTATAAGGCAAAACTATTCATTCCAACAATTACTCGGCGTTTAGAGTGTGCCTGGTCCCTTGGAATCTGAACTTCTTTTATGTTTTGCCATGGATAGAACGAGCAATATCTACAATAAATGTCCAAGGTTATGATACAAAAAGTGCCAGATGGTTATAACAGTTCTCCCGGGTTACCCTCCTTGTTGTGTTCAGCGGATGCAAGTTACAACTCACACCTTGCCAACGCCAGCGTTGGCCTTGACGTTGGTAGGGACATCGGCGACACCAGTGTGACCGATGAGGTGTTCCTTGAGGCTCGAGAATCCGGTCAAGACTGACGCGTCAGTGCGATCAGGCCAGGTGCCCGTGCTGCCGCCTTCACGGTTCCATTCGCAGATGTAGCCCAGAGGGGAGACACAACCGCTGGCAGCATCGACGGTGCTAGTGGTGTACAGCTGAGCACCACTCTTGAGGGAAGTATCGGTTATTGGGGTCTTCACGTTGTCGAAGTAGTTACCCTCCAAGAGCACCCAAGTGTTGGTGTCCACATCAAAGGCATGTCCGTCAATATCCTGGAAGTAGTTGTTGACGCCATGGAAATAGATCTTGGAGTCGTCATAGTCGGTGCCCATGTGAGGAGCACGGCCAGAGAGATCGTGAAGCCAGTTACCAGAGAAGGTGTACCAGTCCTCCAGGCCCAGGAGAAGAAGAGACCAGTAGTGCTTGCCATTACAGCCAGCCGACCATTCGGTGACACCGTCGAATTCATTGTTGGAGATGGTGATATGGCCGCCCTTGTTCCAGCCGCTGACGATCATCTGGCGACCGATAAGGGAGAACTGGACACATTATTCATGAGTACCCTACTACACGCAATGAAGCAAACAAATAGAAGAGGTCAATATACCTTATTGTGGTCAATCCAGACATTATCGGTGCCATCCAGGGTGAGTGCATCACCGCCCCAGACGTACTGAGGGTTCAAATCCTACACGAAAATGACACCAGTCAGCCCTCGTATTCTGACATTGTTGCGAGCCCAGTGTGACCTCTTACCGTGATATGGATGTTCTGGATGATAACATTGTTGGCACCACCAGTAAGGCGCAAGCCCTTGCCTTTCAGAACTCCCTTGCTACCCACACCGACAATGCTCTTGTTGCTGCCCACGTCCAGCGGTTTCTTAGCAGCGTTGTCATAGGTGCAAGAGACCCAGGTGCCGTCATCGCACGTGTCCTGAATCCATGCCTGACCGGCAGAGGTGCCACCAGGGCACTTCGTGGTGGTATCTGAGCTGCAGCATTTGCCGGAGGTTTGGCCTTCCGTGTTGGTGAAATCCCACTCGCGGTCAATGAGGATCACACGCGCCACATCATCAGTGATCCAGCTCTTCAGCCTGTCTCAGAGTTAGAGAGCTTTTCACTTTGACCACGGATTGGGAATTATGGCTTACTCGTCAAGACTGGAAGGGGTTTGTGGTGTTGCATTTCCTCCACCGGTCGTTCCTTGAGCAAATCCAAAGGCCGTACCGCTGACTCCGGCTGCACTGACCGGGCTCAGCAGCATCGCTGCCAGCATGGGAAGAAGAGAGGAATGCATTTTTCTTTTTTGTTTTCGAGAAATGAACCTATCGTACTCTGGTTTCAGTGTTATTCTGGAATCCTTCAGCTAGGTTGTCGTTCTCCAGCGGACTTTATAATTGGTGGCAGTGTCCGTGCACTCTCACTGGTACAATTGACGCCCATCTCATGGCTCCCTCGACAGGTTCGCCGTTGCTCGTTGGTGCGCCCCATCGAGTCTCAGCTTAAGAGCAGGTGATGGAGACGTGCCAGGATACCGGAACTAGGTGGAAGGGTTTCTATGGCTTCAAGTTACCCGAACCAGGAAACGAAATTGAGCAGGGGAAGGGGAGGGTCTTGGCATAATTTATTCTAAACCTCAATTGCTTGACTGTCAGACAGAAATTCATGCCGGTAAAAATATTCCGACGCTATCGGTTGTTTAAAAGCTGGATCCCCACCGGGCTAAGACTCAACTCGGCTCCTTGACCGACGGAGTGGATCTCCGTGGCCTTTTTTTAGATCGCCTCTTTCCCTCTCCGCCAATGGCATCACAATTTGCTTTTAATGCTCTCTGTTATGGTTGACGGCGCTCAGTCCACCATTAGGGCTCGTCAGGGATCAAGGAAAACGGCAGCATTTCGGACTGGCTCCGGAAATGATCCGTGCCTTTCGACAGACAACCTCCGGATACGATCTTGGCAGTGAGCAGCATGGGCTTTAACATGTGGAAAACAGGCAACAGCTAAAGGGTGATTCTCCCTTGGTTCGCCAACTGAGTTTGTTGTGCATCCGCCACGTCGGATCCCTTGGACAGCCTTGTCCCGGAAAAAACTAACGATAACTCGATAATATTAGAGGCTGAGACAGGACCCTTCTTTCTTTCAATAGCTCAGAAGGCATTGACATCCTGTTTCGCAAACGCTGGACTAGTGACAATAGTCAGCCATGGCGGTTCTCAAGGCTTTGCAATTCATTAAGTTTACCAATCGTAGACATTTCAGAGATAGCTCTAATTCAGGAATGGAATCCTCATTCTTCTAGGAACTATAGTCAACCTAGTTTGTCTTGACGAGAAACAGTGGCGCCGTATAAATCCCACCAATATAGGGTCGTGCCGAGCAGCAATATTCGCACATGTGGACGGAGAGGAGCATTAAAAGGCGCGAGGCGAAGGCGGGATAAGGCCGAAATGATTTTATTGAGTCAATTGATTGCAATGCATCCCACAATCTGAGGCTATCTGTAGGTCCTCGGCAATTCAATGCACTATTTCTCCTTGTCTAATGCAGGATAGATTGCGATGCGCATTGCAGAATGATATAAGTTCCAACATGATTCGTCCAAGGCTCGGCCCTAATTGACGCTAACCTCGTACTCTACGGATCTCACTCGTCTTCGGCCATACTTCTCGTTCTTCCATGATTAGACCGACCATACGCTGGGAATGGATCAAACACACACTGGATGCATTCGAAGAGAAGAGTGTTCAGAAACTCTCCCCCTTCCTTGGTGTCTGCCTTCTGCATCGTCCGACAGGAATGCAACCCCCGATATCATTCGTGCCTTAGTCTCGATGTATTATAGTCCCCGCTTGGAAATTCCAAAATCTGTCAGCTGGGGAAGTGACGATAGCTGTTTCAAGCCTCGCATCGTCTTGGTGGCTTGCATGCACCTCAACTCACGGTTTGCCCTAGCCATCCATCCATCCTGGCTTATGTGCAGGATTAGTACATGTGATTGTCCACTTTCCTATGTACTGATCTCATATCACGTAGTATGACAGCTCCGGCGGGGAAAATACCAAGCAACTCAGGTAATTCGAAGGCAGATGAAGGGAGGATGTCCGCCGGCTGAAAACCCTTGAAGGGTGTGTGTAGGTATCATTGCCAAATTAGATGAGAAGCTAGAAAAGAAATAACCTGATTATGTATTTGGGTGTTAGAGGACTGACGAATACGAAGGTAGGTTACTTAGCAAGTTGATGATGGAAAGGGCTTTGTGTCTGAATAAGAAGCCTGTGATGGCTCCTGAACAGTCTGCTTTTACATGCACAGGCTGACTAGCATTACCAACATGAATCTGTCATTGCCTCTCTCCGAGTGAGATATTCGCTGCTGCAATAGTCTTCGCCCCGAAATAACATGATGAACTGTGTCACAAAGTCATCTACACCAAATCTTTTATTGAAGAATGTGATTTGTCGCTTAATGCAGCTGTCTGAATATTGACCGGATCGCACATTCTCCCTAGTAATCCTGAGATAGAATGTTCATGTATCGAAGACTCTGACCTTGATCGGTCAGCTATCATCTAAGATGCTGAATTGATTTGGCTGGCTCTTCTTTACTGCTTACTTGATACATTAATGCCACCCCAGTGAAACCCATCCAGGTCCCACGAAGCCCTATCTCGCCGTATATGTCTCTAGGTTCTATGCTTCAACTATTCTGCATACGAGGTAAGATGGTCTTAACGACTACAGAGCAAGGCATGAAACGCCTCTATTCTGAAACGATTGCATATTTATCATTATCAACAATCAACTGGTTCGATAAGACTCTGTCTGCCCTTTGATCAAACTTCAACCACGGAAGTCCGGCCATCTGTATCTAGAATATCATAAGAGGACAATAAATGCATTGACCGACAGATTCATTCAGTTGTCGAAGATCGACATAGATTGCCGCAAGTTGCTTACGCAGACCCACTTGGTGCAAGGATGTTATCGGAGTTATGAATATTGAAGCGTCAGCAGGTCGCGTTAGTGTTGAGTATACCTGCATTATCTGATGGTCTTATAGCTGGATGGCTCCTTGCTTCTGGCGAACTTTCACCATTCAATCGTAAAGGTGTACGTTGCTGTTACCAACGGTGATATGGGTAGCAGAATATGTCCCATTACGGTTTGCATTATTGTTTACACGAAGACTATGCACTTCCACAGTCACCTGGAGTCAGTATAAGTGCGTTCACACTGCTGGGTTCCTCACTACAGGGATATTTCATACCCTGCAGCGGCCTGACGATCGGCATATTACGACAGTCGAATTGTAACCCAACATTCAGGACTTAATATCCTATCTCCAGAGTAAGCCTATTGCATTTCGCCAGGTTTACGGTTATGTGGCCAGGGGCAGTCTTTATTGAATCGCTCTACCATATAAAGCCACCATCCTCGCCATGAACATTATTGGGAAAACTACTGTGGGCAATTTTTCTACTCTGAACATCAATGGCAGGAATCACACCAGCGTTCATTACTGCATTTCTCGCTGTTGGCTCAGCCATGGCCCTTGGGGCAGCGTTAGCCAACCAAGGAAATACCTCTGTTGTACCCGAATGTGTCCAAGCAGTAAGGATTCCTATTCCTCTTGCGACCAGCTTTCTGAAATGGTTGTAGTGTTCCCATTTGGCGCATATCTTCGGTCCCGATGCGTACTCCCTCGGCAATGCCAACGTTACTCTTTGGGATGCAAAGCAGCAGGGAACACATTCCGCCTGTTGGGTCCAGCCCTCTTCGACTGAAGATGTGTCGACCATTCTGAGTGTCATCATTGACACCTCATGTCGATTCGCGGTTAAAGGTGGCGGCCATGCACGAGACCCCGATGATTCTGTTTCGGCTGGTGGCGTCACCATTGACATGCAAAAGATGAGAACTGTCGAGGTTGCCCCGGATCAGAAGACAGCCAAGGTAGGGAGTGGCCATGTTCTGCTAAGTTTGTATGAGGGATTGGAAAAGTACAATCTGACCACGCTTGGCGGACGAGTCGCCGATGTTGGTTTGGGAGGCTATGTCCTGGGTGGAGGATTCTCGCACCTCTCGCCCAAGTACGGTCTCGCCATGGATAATGTTTTCGAGTATGAGGTATGGGACAATTGCATCCTTGGTGTACTATGGAATTAACGTTGTTTAGCTCGTTCTACCCAATGCCACTGTTGCGATCGTCAACCAAGAGACACATCCGGATCTTTACTTTGCTCTCCGGGGAGGTATGAACAATTTTGGTATTATCACGCACTTTACTATGAGGGCTGTTAAGCAGGGTCATTTGCTTGGAGGGGTCAGAGCCTATACGGCCGATAAGAGGGACGCGATCCTGGAGCAAGCCTACGAACTAACGACGAGTTGGAAAAATGATACCAATATGGCGTTCTTCTATAGCTATGGTTATGACCAAGAGAGAGATGACTTTACCCTTACGGTTTCGCAGGAGTATTATTTGCCGGTCCTAAGCCCCGCGCCATTCAAGCAACTCAATCGAATCCCGTTCGAGCACAGTACTGTTCGCCTTGATCGCACCAGCCGGTTTAGTATCGAGAGCGCGTCAGCAACACCGCCTGGTGGTCGGTAAGTTAATTAAGTCAGGCTGTGTGCAATAGGCCATATTGGATTAATTGGTCACAGAAACCTATTTGCCACTGTTACTTACTCCCCATCCGCGGACCTTGACAGGCAAATTCAGGATATAATGGCTCAAGAGATACAGTCTCTCGAGAAGGCACCCGGGTTTTACCCCAATCTCGTTATTCAACCGTTGTATGAGGCCGCCATTCGTTCTGGGAAAGAGCGAGGAGGAAACGCTGCCGGTATAGATGCCGATGGACCTTTGACAGGCATGTACAAAACCAACATCTCACGCTGCCGCTGTAAGCCAGGCCCTATGCTAAGCTTTCTACAGTTGCCCTCTTGACTGTCTTATGGAAGAATGCAGAGGATGACGAGCGGATGAATGCTTTCGCACAAGAATGGGTGGAGAGGTCCACTGCTACCACCAAAGATGCCGGCAAACACCATCCTTGGCTCTATGTCAACTACGCCAGCAAAGCCCAGGACCCGTTTTTGAGCTATGGAGAGGCAAACCTACAGAAGCTGAGAAGGATTCAGAAGGAGGTTGACCCCCAGGGCGTGTTTACGTCGGATGGGCTGTGTCGGGGATATTTCAAGTTACAATAAGCTATTGAGAATTGGCTCAGTGTATTTCGCATAGCTTCTAATCGACTACAGATGCACAGATCTGCTTGCAACCTCTACACCGCACTATCATGGTTTCTCTCTACGCGAACATGAAAGGGCTTCTGACACATTGGGCAAGTATAATGATAGTTCAAGAACCATGTTTCCAGGCACTGGCTGTGAAACACATGTCGGCAGGGAAGAGTGTGAATTGGACACCTTTTAGAAACGGGCTCGAGGCAGATCGCGCTTGCAGGGTGTGAGCCCAAACGGGTCCATTCAACAGCAGATGTTGCAAGGCAAGAAAAGTAGCTTACCAGTCAAATACACGATCGTAGTCTTTGAGGGGACTGCGCTCAGTTTGGACCGATCTCCACCAAGTAATAAACGGTTTGGTTGGCGCAACTCGTTCCAGAAGATTTAGTCTTCGCTCTTCCTCGGTGGCTGTGGGAACAGAGAACGAAGGATCTAAGATGGCACTGAGGTCCAGATTCAGCGTCGTAAAATAATAGCTTCTCAACAGGACCCTGTAGTAGTTCTTAATGATTAGTATTCTGTGCAACCGATCATCAGCCGATGACATATGCTAGTTATGCTTGAGATTCAGCAATAGTACCTACCAAATGGCTGTAACTACATAAATAAGGACACAGATGGCGAGTAGTACGCGGATTTGCAGATGAATATCTGTGGTGTGCTTCATGGCTTTACCTTCTGTCTCTGTCGAATTCATCTCTAGATGCTATGGAATAATCTTGTAGAATCCTCTGGTGCAATATTAAGAACAGTTCTTTCTGGGGGTGATGGTAAGTATCTCTCTCTATATATAGGAAAGTAAAGGAGGGCTCACCCTAAACTTTAATTCGTCCAACTTAATCGCTCAAGTGGCCTGAGAACCCAGTGAGGGGAACCACAATCGAACAACTGACCCAGACATGCTCTCAAATTGTACCACGAAATCATGAGGGGAAGATCCATTGTCTATTACCAATTTAACCTTAGGATCAACGCTGTGAGTTGTGAAAGATATCTGCCTGAAACGCTGGGTCGATTTGCCGGGAGAAGCTTGCACGCTGCCCGATGTCGTCATAGAATTCATGATCTACGTTTGATATAAACCCCCCCGGCGATCATTTCCTGGTACTTGATCATTACCCTATTGGGCTACGCGTGAAGTAAGGTGCATGAGATGTGGGCGGCTGTTCCTGTGACAGAGGGGATGGGCTGAGTCGAGTACCTTTTATGCATTATAATCATCTGCACTCTTGGCTGGTCTCAGTTTATTCTACTCGGATTTCGATTTATAAAAATTAAAATACATAAGAATAGGCTGCGAATGAAGAAAGGACAGGAAAAAATAAATACATTTTAGTCTCGCTGAATACGCCTGAAAGAAGAATGGTGAAACTCCCAGCCCATCACGCCCCGTATCAATTTCCCCTATACACACACACACACACCTTGACGATGAAACTATCTCATTTTGCTTGTGAATATTGAATGGCCTAAGCAAACGCCATATATGTAAAGACTGAAGACTGAAGACTGAGAGAGTGCGTTTTCATATCACTTCACCATATCAATTTGACCTCCAGTTTCCCTTCACCTATTCCTCGACTTTCACCTTCTTCACATCCCAAGTCGAGGCCACCTTCGGAATAGTCACCGAAAGCACTCCATCCTTCAGTCGAGCATGAGTGTTTTCCTGATCCACAGCGGATGGAAAGCTGAATGACCGACGGAAGTCCCCAGTGGCCCGTTCGGATATCCACCAGGACCCTTCCTCCATTTCAGACGCATGCTCTGTATGCCCTTTAATATTGAGAGTGTGCGCGTCAACATACTCGATCTCAACATCGCTTAGCTTCACACCGGGGAGTTCCCCTTCCAGCTGGTAGGTATCCTTCGACTCGCGCATGTCGAAGGTTGGTGCATATGCCCGGGGATGCGGATCAAGGCTATGTCCTGATAGATAACGGTCGTAGTCATCCAACAGTCGTTTAATGGCGGAAGGGCCTCGGTGAAACTGGGGCATCAGAGTCATCGCTCTGGCTTTCGGAAGCCTCCCTTGCGCTGCAACGATGCATGGCTGCACACGAGGCTTGGAAGCGATGGCAAGCAGGCCCGGGATACGACTGGAAATTGTGTTGAGGTTGCTACGATAAACCATGTCAGATATATGTATACTGGTGCTGGATAGCTGAATTCGAATGAGGTGACAGGAATGAAGTGTGTATCATGACACAAGAGCAGCTTTGAATCACGCCACTAAGCGAGACATTTCCGGTAAAAGGTCCAGTAGTATTGGGCCCTGGGAAAGTCTGCCACGTCTAGAACGATTGGATGTGGCGAGATCACTTGAACAGGCGTTTGGGGATTTAAGTTCGCGGTGCCTCTGGTTCTGCGGAGAAAGCTTGGAGACCAACCACAAGGTCGTGCCAATATCCTGACCCAGGAGACCAAGGCCTGGCCTGCAGTAGACACTCTGGACAATGGCTCTCCTTGTTTAGCGGAGGAAAGCATCTGACTGAAAGTACTCATTATAAGAGCGAAGTGGTGTTACATGTACTGAAGCATTAAGTCTCCCATAACACAAACGACATAATCATGGCCGAGTACTATTACTCTTGAAAGAAGCGAACATAAATGGACAGAAACCACTTGAGTCTCCTTCGCATATGCGAACGAAAATTGGACGAGGAATGTGCCCATGCCGACCGTGACTTGCGCATTCTAGTGGGCCACACGAATATCCTCAATGCATTGTTATCGGCGCCGATCCCGATCTCAAGCCTTGTGGACCAACAGGAAGAATCTGTTGCGATACAGCTCGGAGCTGAACTTAAGGCTCCACCCCAAAGCCTTCCCATAAGTACGATGGGTCTCATCTCTGCCGATCGGCTCGATTACGAGGTGCTGCTACCATCCTACGACTGACTGAAACGATTTCGCTGCAACTCTAAGTAACGGATCCGCGTATGCCAATATGCATGGATCTTATTGCTCGCGATCATATCCTGTTTCGGTCTGGAAGATTATTGGCGCTAATTAATATATAACGCAAAATTTATAAGTGATCCAGCACCACATCCCTTGAGTGAGGACCGATTTTTGGTCCCCTCGCAAGCTCGGCGGGCTGGCCGATCTACTATGGAGTGGAAGATCCGAAGGCATCTTGACAATATTAGACACAAACTATCAATGAAAATATCCTAGTAATATTTCTCCATCTTATAGGGTTACAACTTCCGTGCTGCCTAAAAAGGGGGGTGTTTTGGTGGAGCTCGTAGCTGTTCTCGCTCCCCAGTTCCCTTTTTTAAGTACGAAAAAAAAAAAAAAAAGAAAAATAATAATGATTAGGTCTAGAACGAATCTAGTGTAAATAAAGAAAGCCTGCCTAAGCCTGGCCAAAGTGCTGTTTTAGACTATCGACTTTTTATCAATCTCCCAGACACTACTGGGATGAAGTCCGAATTGATGGCTGTCGGATGATACGCCTTCGCGCGTATCCTTTTGTTCGACCTTCACGTTATAGCTCGTACTGATATAGACGTCGTAACTTCCATCCTGACTAGACTCATTAATCGCCTTCATACTCTCCCGCCGTGTGCTCTTCTTTGTCCGTGTCGTCAAGTTGTACGATTCCGATCCTCCATGGTATCCGTATGGATGACCGCTGGAGCCATCCTCCACGTAATTCGACTTCCAAAATCTCTTGGTAAACAGCGGGCGCAGAATGGGAAGGTTAACTGTGGCGACACCGACAAAGGTTTCGCGGATTCCCCATCGGTTCACGGTGATGCTAGACGGTTCTGCTTTTAATGTGAGAGCGGTTCGAATAAGCGACGCGCTGATGACGAAGATGCCGGAGCTGAGAAATATGGCGATGACGAGTTTTCTATTCACGATCAGATCAGTTAGAAGGCGTCTTCTCTTGGGTGATCCTTGCATGTACAAAGGATTGTGTATTACCTCGAGAACGATGTTTTTACTTTCCAGAGTAATGGGATTGGGATGAAAAGCCTGGACCGATGGGATGTGAGTAGGAAGGTACATTCTGGGATGTCCGAATTCCTTACAGAGCTAAGTCAGTGCTATTAGGAACTGGTCAGCTTGACTACACATATAGGGAGTTGCGGTAGATTTGCATACGTGACGTTCAAGATGCATGTCACTATAACGTTTTGGATCTTGAGTCCACACTTTTCTGGAAGGTATTAACATCATTGCAGTCCTTCAAAGTGAAGCGGTTCCTTACTAGAGGGCGGAGGATATACTCTCCAGTTATCCGATATACTAGGCAGGGTGCATTAGCGCATATGGGCGCATGAAAAGAGATAGATACCCAAGGGTCCTTACGGATGACATCCAAACGTCACAGTTAGAAACACCGCAATGTAGGTAATGGCACAAAATGCCGCGAGCCATTTAATGACCCGAGATTGCCATAACCCCAGGGTCAAACGCTTGCTTTTTCACGGGATTTCGTCTTAGTTTCCAGGTCCGATAAGGATGAAACACAGGTTCTTACTATAGGAATAGCATTTTAGCTTTCATGACCCAAATCAGGGCTGTGTAGGAGTACCAGGCAGCGAGTTCCGCCTTGGAGCCCGCTACAACCGAAGAATATTGGGTCGGTGTGAGGGAATCATGTAGGCCGTGTGGTATCTCGAGATTAGTACCTAACACGTCTTCTTGGATTTTAGCATTGATGGCACCAACCCACGGGGTGTATGTCCTTACATGAGAGGTGTACTGTTACAGCATCCATAGTTAGGAGGCCTATCGCCTAGTACATTGCTTTAACATTCCAGGATACCGGCAGGGGCATCAGTAAGAAGAGTTGATCTTACCAGAAACGCGAAGTAATCATCGCCTTGAAAGCCCCTAACACCAACCGTCCGGATCCGGACACCCATTCGCACAAATACAATGAGAACGCCGAGTCCAAATTCTGTCCATTGTTCAGGGAGAAATGACTTGTCATCGTAAAAGCCAAGATCTGCCATAACGAATGACAAAATAACAAGGCCCTTGTGTGGGATGAAAACAGACGACGCAGTGCATCACTAGCTCAGGGTCAAGAAGTGGGCTACTGCATGCATGATATAGCAGATGTACCTCGAGGCAGGAAAGCCAAGATGAGGAGATTGATGTTTGCCAGTGGGTTGGTCCCAAAAATGGAGAAACCTACACCCTAGTGCGAACACTGATTGCTATAGGGGATGGCCACTCCGATCTTCATGGGTTTGGAAAGTACTCTACGATCGAGGAACCTTATTCTGAGCCGGACAAGATCCGCTTCAATCATGGATGCACTTATCACTTGCCTGTTTGGGAGTAGCGAAGATCCATCACCGCGGCTGGCACTCCGAGATCCACTCCATGGGCACTTCGTCCCCAGCATGTTTCGATAGAGTCAGCTGCTAGGCCGTTAGGGCTTTCATTGCTTTTTTTCATGGACGGTATAACAAACAACAACCATGGTCCAGATTGGGGCAAGCTCGTCCTCAAGTGCTCTAGGAGCATGATCAGAATCACCTTTTCAGGCAGGAGTGCTTCCAAAAAGATGAGCCATTATCCGAACCAGGGATAAGATAGTGCGAGTTTATCCATTGCTACAGCATGCCCGAACGAAGGCCGATGCCCAACATCGAGAGCCTTGTATTTCTACTGGGTCGCAAACCCGAGACTGCTCCTGGTTGACGATGGATTTCGAGAGCAATGGAACATCGAGGCCCCTGATCAGCAGATTTCGTATACATGAATGGACTGGAACGGTCGAAGGATCAATGGATTCCCCACCACTCATAGTAAATTTTATTAATGGTTCAGCTCAGCTTTGGTTGGAGTGCGAAGGGTAAAACCACCATCGGTACACCATGTGGGCCGAGGTCCATAAACCCAACGCCGCGGGCCGCAACCACTGGCATCATTGGGCCACCAGCTGAATTTCCTCGTTCTAGTTGGTTGCCAAGTCGTGTCTGGGCGATTGAGGTCCCTTATTTGGGTCAACTGCACGGGACATTTTTCCTTTGACATGGAGCAGTTGCACTTAGGGTTCTGGCTACCAAGTGGCCATCTCAGCACGAGCCAATGGGGGTGGATTGGCAACTTCATAATAGTAGTGACCATAATTTCCTCGGTTTCTAAATATATCGCAATGGGTCTTCCGAAGGCATTGTTTCCGACTGAATACAACATCGCCAATTATGCATCCCAGGCACAATGGTGGGTGGATTACAAGCCGAAAGGGGTAGCATAAGTGCAAGTAAAACGTACTATGTAAATTCATACAGACCTTGTGTGGGAATTCGCTCGTTCCCCACGGACGAAGAGATTTTTCAGGGTCCAGAGAACCGAATTTAGGGAATGTGGAGCTGAACACGCAGGGACGATGTGGTATCCACACCAGCACCAGTGGGTATGACCTAATATGCAATCGCAGTCTACCCAACCATATGCTCGTAGGTTGATTAAGCCATGTGCCGTCGTCTCATCTTGTAACTAGGATACGACTAGCATGAACCATACAAAACCTCTTATGCCGTTCTATACCGTATGTGCTTCGCCTAGCACAGGCACGGCAGAGATCCAATTGGGTCCCTCACATGTACTAATTTTGAATCCTTCATAGAACTTTCGCCCTCGTGTAAGCTTTTCACTATGCCGAGTACTGCAGAGTCATGATAGAGGAGGCCCTCGCAAGATATGTGAAGCTACTGTGTGATACGTACATGGATTGGCGCTGATCATAGCCGTCTTTCCTTAGGTATATGCCAACCGTTTCCTTCAACGGTTAATGGTCCATTAAATGGGTTCTTTTCACTCGGTCCGAATTTGGCCAATCCATGTATTTCCTTTTTCTAAATTCTCTAGAATTGTTCCCCTCTCTGCTTGTTCCGGCAGATCCCCACCCTGTGTGTGAGACAGAAGAGCTTTGGGGTACTGCAGGTTTGACTTTTCGATATTCCACTTTTCCCACACTGGTCAATTATTATTCTCGAAGCAATTCCGCGTCCCAACTTCAAATGATCCATACCGTTCTTCCCCGAACCGGCCCGGTCAAGACGATCGGTAATATGCTCAACATAACCTAGATCAGCGACAGCATCAGCTGGCGAACCCGAACCTTTACAGCGCTCAATCAGACCATAGGTGACGCACTAGGTTAGGACGGAACCACCAGTGCGATTGTCAGGATCAAACTGTACAGTGCACAAGGCAGGACCCTCCAGGTCTAAACGGACATAAAGTTGGGATATTTGCGGGGGGTCTTGATCCATATTGGCCAACATGGGTTTTCCGAGGGTAGGGCAGAAACCTTGTTTGATTTATGCGCGAATCGACTGTATGCATGAACCTCAGTATTACCAATAGGGTTACTTAGCTCACCAATAGCTTCACGCAGGTACGAGACGAACCGCGGTAAAGGACGTCAGCCCACTGAAAATACGTACGATTTAAATTAACCCTTTCGGGCCCGAACACCTTTTTGCCATCCTTCAATTCCGAAAGTCAATTATTGACATGACGTCTCCTCCACTTTCAATCCCCCATTCCTCGGCCGAATGTCTATGGAAACATCCCCATCTTTGGGAGTCACAATGTCTTCGATCTCTGGAACTGAGATGAGGCCGTCCTGTCGTTCGGGCCTTCTTGGCAATGGCGAGGCGATTGCATGAGATGGCAGTCCTTTGAATGAATCACACATCCAATCGCTGGTTATTTTGATCATTCTGAGGGGGCTTTATCCACTCAGTATTTTGCAAGCCTCCCATCATAGACAACCTGTCATGGAGTCTCGATATGCTAGTTCGTACATGACGTTTTTCCACTAATCCTCACGCTTCAAATGACTCGAATGGGGCAATGGGGATGCACTCCACTTCTGTCAACATGCTCATTCCAATCTTTTCGATCCCTCGGCATTTCCCTTCGAGCAACACTGAAGTTTGACCCTCCCGGCAAATGAATCCCTCGGACCCCATGGGCAAGCCTGCCAAGCTGACCAATTTCCGGTCTGGGATGTTCTGAGGTGCTGGTCGTCAAACTGTTATGACTGGCACCACATCTACAACTCCTTGGAAGGACACGTGCTACACTATGCCCCAGACCACAGCCCTACAAGTCTCGATCAGTCCTTGAGTAGACCACTCCAACTGCCGTCAGATCCGTTCAATTGTCTTCTCGATGGTCTAGAACATCGCTCGATATTGTAAGAGGTGTGGTTACGTTGTTTTTCCTAACGCAAGAAAGAAACCTATGGGGAAGCTCTGGTTCTAGGAGCGCTTGTTGATATCCATCTACTTCTGCCGAAGCTCTGTGAATCGCCGGATGTAGGGGTGTCTGTTCTGGGGATCAAGCTATGATTCTCTGACATTGCGACAGATGCTCTCGTTACCCTATCCTACTACCTTCTGGCGATTTGTTATATACATCGCAGAGAGGGTGTTCAAGCCCATGTCCCTTAGCAACGTGACAGTGGGATGTCGCATCCGTGCTTGGCTATGGCTATATGCATAGAATGTTAGAACAGGCTGGGATGAAAGTGAACAGTTAAGCCTTTCTGAGCTCACTTGATCTACATGCAATGTAGCTGCACATGGCCAACGGTTGCATAGTGACTTGTATCAATATTCATTCATTAAAATGCTTGCTACATGCATTAGAACATGCTTCAACTATGTAAACAGACGTGACCTCATTAATCATCCATGCATCGCGTCAACCAATTTTTAGGTCGCGGCGTAACCGCTAGACGCGAGATGCGAGAAGAAAGTGCGGATATTAGTTCCATTGGCTCAAATGCACCGACTAGGCACAGTTCGAGTGTCACTGTTCAAATAAGAGAGGATGGAAGAGCTCCCATTCGTTCGATAAGCAACCCTCTTCAAGCGGCCGAAAAGATGGTTTACCGCTGTTGCTTCAACTGCTTGCGGAACGACTCTTCTTGCCTGACTACCCCCATTGGGAGCGATCGGCCAACACCGAACAGCACGAACGGTGCCCACTTCCACCGGAATGGGTTGACCAGGATCACAAACACAAACCAGTAGATCAGTTCGGAGTACGTGAAGAAGTCGAATGCGTTGGTCGGGGAATGCTGCTTCACAAAGCGGGTGAAATCGATCCAAGTCTTCATGCGACCCTCCGTGGGTTGCGTTAGGGGATCCGTCAAGAACATGAGCAAGAAGCGCGTGTAGATGCCAATGTGCATATTGCCCACGGTTCCAATCGCATCTACGTAGGTGCTATTGTTGGCGCAAATCTCGGGGTACTTCGGGGGAAACACCTGCAAATACCAGCTCGGTGGACTATACGGCTCTTCAAACGCATCGTCGGGCAAGAAAGATAGGGACGGACGCTTAAAGCCTGTCGCCATGATAATGACATCTCCTGTGACGACGGACTCATGGCCCGGGCCACCCTTGGGCACCTTCCTGGCGCGGCGGTTGAAAAGGATACCGTTCTCCTTCACGGAGACAATATCGCCGCGCAGCCACCGAGCTTTGCCCTCCCGAATCTTGTCGAAGAGCTCCGAGTTAGCCATTGGCGTTGTTGTAAAGAGGCCGCCCGAGGGCGCAATATCCTCCAAGTCCCGATAGAAGAACTTGTGCAGGAGCCATTCCGGGATCCACGAAAAGGATGTCTCCATTCCAAAGATGTTCAATGCCAATAAGGACTGAACCAGCACGTTTCGGGGAATGATCCACTTATCCGACCGCGACAGGACATCGATTTCCGCCGCTTTCGACTGGACCGCGAACTCCAGGGCCTCAATGGCGCTCGCACCGCCACCGATGATGAGCACCTTTTTCCCTTCCACATCCTTGCCATCCAGTTCCGACGAGTGGTAGATATTGCCCTTGAATTGCTCCTGGTCGGGCAACGGCGGCATCTTCGGGTCACCACAAACACCAACCGATGCTACCACGCCATCAAAGCGGCCGTACTTCTCTTCGTCATCATTGATGATCCACTTGCCATCCTTAGCCTGCTTCACGGAGGTCACGGGGGTTTCGAATGCCGTGTGTTTCTGCAGACCATAACGCTTCCACACATCTACAATTTGCTCACGAATCTCTCCTTGAGTTGGATACGCGTTATCGTATTTCACCGACGGGTGAAATCGGTACATAATACTATGAATCTGCAAGGAGGATGTAGAGTTTACTCTCTATGAAGTCATCGTATCAGCCATTGTCCTGTAATCTGGGAATCAATACAAACGTACACTCCAGATACCTCCCAGTCCCTTTGTTTTGGAACGTGCCTCAAAGATTTGTACGTCGAAACCATGACCAACACAGTGAGCTGCAGCCGACACGCCCGTTAACCCAGCACCAATGACTGCGACTCGTTTTTTGGGAAGGCCATTGACGAGCGAAGCGGGTGGTGGAGGGGCAGGAGCGAAGAACCAGTTGATGACAGCTTGAAATAGGAGATAGAAGAAGGTGAAGGTGCCAACGAAAGGGTGTTTGATGAAGTCCACCCAAGAGGACTGAGACGTCCCTGGCTGAACCATAGTGGCTGGTTTTGCGATTCAATGAAACCGGCCCGTCAATTGATGCCAAAGAAAAAGCAAAAACAGATTCAGTACCAGTTTCCTGTTGATTGTTGTTTCTGTGCAAAGAAAGAAAACGAGGGGGGATTCGAGGCCCTTTTTCAATGGCAGCAAGATGCAAAACCATGACGTAGTGGGTGGATCACTTTTGTCGGAGGGTCTTTGTATTTTTTTTCAATGCATGTGAAAAGGCCACGCAAGGAAGACCAATGGTTTCATCATACGGGAAGAGACCTGGTTAGAATCCATGCTGACTCCATTACGTTATGTTGCTCCCTCATGCCATCACATCCTGTGGTCTCACTGTCTCTCTCACACACTATATCTATCCTGTTTTCTCAGGCATCATCCCTTCCCAGCTGCATCTTATCTTATCGGGGGATTGCCCGATCCCGTTAGCTCCGTCTCTTCCAACCAGTTTCCTTCATCCTGACAAGGTACAAGTAATTTCAACCTGTTAATATATTCTGGCAAGGAATCCCTCGTCAAAACGTCACTCCGAGGAGACGGTTTACTTTCATCGACTGACCGGAACATGCTAAGTTCAACTAGTCCATATCACCGACTTCTTACTAGATATGCGATCAAGGAGTAGAAATACCAAGTCGGGACAGGGTTGTGTCAATGACACTCGTCAATACTGTACATACTTTGTAAACACAAAGAGACGTGGATTCTGCCCACTGCAAAACGTGATCTGTTCCCGATTGGGTCTAGGGCGGTCGTGGGAAAAGCAGCCCCGAGTATCCCATCCAAAACGATCATGTAATCTTCAATTGTGTCGACTCGACCTCCGTAGACCAATTCCACCTTGCCACCGTCGTTGTTCATACTCACACTTTGGATATCGAGTTCCGACAACCATGTGCGGCTATCGCTAAAGCCGTTTCCTCAACGCGTCGTGTGAACTCCAACGCCCATGACGATTTTCATTCTCCCACCGGCTGCCATTCCTTGACGCTCTTCCACACCCCCCACCGTCTTCCTCGAACCCCTACACAAAAATGGCCACGCAAGGTGCTCCGGTCCTCGATAGGTTCCTGTCGGGGATCTCAGAGATAATTCGGAATCGCGACGGCTCGAAGCTCCAAGACTTCCTACAGATCGAGCCTCCGTTGTCCGACATTTACCGACAGATGGTCGAGGAGTTACGGCGACAATATCCCAATGGATCGAAAGAGGCTGATCTCCTGCGCCGATGCGAAGGGCTCGTGCCGCGCACCAAGAACGGCAGCTCATGGACCGCATTTCCGACCTTCATGAAGCTATATTTCACCTTTCTCCGCGACGTGAATGTCGACAACCTACTCGAAACCTACAACCTCCTGAAAGGGCTGGTGAAGTAAGTCCTTCTGGATGTATCCTTCACCTGAATCTTTCCTAGCACTACTCTCTATGGTATATTACCGCCATCGAACGTAGCGCTGGGCTCCTGTCATCCTGGTCGGTTACTGATTGTTTCTGCGGTCGTCTCCGCCCATAGCCAGTCTGTCCTTGCGCTCGGTGACAGTCAATACGGTGTGATCGTGCTGCCGACCGTCCTTTACCTTTCCAAAGTCCTCGCGAAGCTGGCCATGGGCCTCGATCGCCGCCCCGAATTGATCGCACATTTACTGAGAATGGAGGGTCGCTCTGATCAAGACGAGAGCATCGAGAAAGTGACATTGGTCGAGAAGTCCGCCAATGTCGTCCGGGAAGCATTCATCAAGTGTCTCACGGATCGCAGCGGAACCCCGGGGGTCCATGGCAAACCCGAAGGCAAGCGGGTAGGCATCTATCTCATGGCCAACCTGTGCCTGAAATTACTTTTCCAGGTACGGAGACAGATCGAGACCTCTTCGACCGCTCCATTGAACTGACACAGATGGCTCCAGTGTGGGAAACTTCGAAATGCAGAACAGATGTTTTCGAGTATCAGCGCCCAGTCTCCGCCCCTCAAATACTTCCCCGCCTCTCAAAGAGTGACCTACCTTTACTATCTCGGACGATATCTATTTTCCAACAATCTCTTTTACCCCGCCCAGATCGCCCTTCAATCTGCCTACGACCAATGCCATCACCAGGCTCTCAGCCAAAAACGAGTCATTCTGACATACCTGATACCGTGTAACATGATCATGGGTCGTTTTCCTTCACTAGAGTTGCTACAACGGCCAGAGTCAGAAGGACTAGCCGACAAATTCATTCCCATCTGCCGACTCATCGTTCGCGGCGATTACGTTGCCTTCCGGGAGCATCTTGCGCTGGATTCACCGGCCACTGAATGGTTTGCACAGAAGGGCATCCTACTTGCCCTGCGCAATCGGTGCGAAATCCTCGTATGGCGGGCGCTTGCTCGAAAAGTGTTCATCCACGGCGGCTTTCATGGTGAACCCCAAGGCTCCGCCCAGCGCGGACCCCCTCCTTTCCTGTACCTCCACAAACTTGAAACCGCTGTGCGATGGCTCCAATCGCAACATGCGCAGTCCTTGCATGGCTCTCTCGGCTTCGCTCCGTCCGGCCAAAACCGCGACGCACAGGCCGGGCATAACGAGTTCGGATCGCAATTGGTGTATAAACTACCCGATCACGATTTCGCTGGGGTTAACGAGGTCGATGGACCGGAGTCCAAGCCGGACCCAGACTTATTATCCAAATTCGAAGACTTCCTTGTGCCAGACGGATGTTTTGACGTCATGGGACAATGGCAGTCCAATTCACCGGGAGTCTTGGTCGACGGACAGCCCGACGCCGACTACTCTCAGTATGAACTAGATCCATACACCCACCGAGTCGAGCTAGACTCGGAAACTGACCAAGGCAAGCCAACGCCCATGATGCGAGAGCTTGAATCCGTCCTAGCGTCTCTTCTCACCCAGGGCCTAATGCGCGGCTACTTAACCCACAAGAATCCTCGGTTCGCCATTCCCGGTGCACGCCTGCGCGGCGCCTTGCCGACCGGGTTTCCAAATGTCTGGCAGACTATCTCCGCTCGCGAATCGGAGGATGACCGGGTCCCTGGTTGGGTCCAACCTCCGCCACCCATGGCGGGTAGTGGTCTGGCAGCGGCCGGCGGAGGTCGCGTAGTGAACCTGTCGGGAGCACGGCCAGTGGGCGTGCAGTAATTTGGGAAATCCATCCGGAGCCTCGCGCGACTAGCCTCCGTGACTGTTTTGGTGAATAGCACGATGTGAAATATTATGATACCATTGATGTTCTTACAATTCCTGTCCTGGCTTTGATACCGGCCACCCAATGGATGTTCACGTAAGACTAGTCTAGAATAGATATCCGACGGCGGAAAGTAAAAATATTACTTCCCACCCTCAGTCTTTCTTGCTCTTGATCAGATAGTAGTCACCTCCTCTCCAAGCCTTATATACACCGTATAACCCGCATACCGGCCACGTCTCCCACACCATCCTCTTCGCCCAACCGACCCATCCCTCGGGGGCCCCATGCCCCATGGGACTTAAATTAACGCGCACCTTCTGATATAAATCTGGCAAATGCGTGGCATGATATTTCTCCCGCAACGCATCATAGCGTTTACGATCATAGATCGACCAAAACTCCTCCTCTGTATAGTAGGCATGGGCGTACAGCCACTTCTTCCCGCCCAACTCCCTGACCTTGTTCTCCAGGCGCCGATTCTGCGCAATGAACGCCCCGGTATCCGACGCGTGGGGCGACGGCGCCCACAATCCAAAGTTCATCAGACAGTCACCGTCATCATCGGGGTCCTCTTCCTTCTGAGATTGATGCGGGCCTGCCTCGCCGCCGCGAGCCATAATTCCCTGCGAATGATGCAGGGGACACAACCAGATCGGATACGCGCCGAAGGTTTCCTTGTCATCGAGCCAAGTGAGAAACTCCCCCGTAGCTTTGTACGGCACCGCCACATCTTGGATGATGTGTTGTTTTGAAAGCCCGCTCTCGTGTAAGGCGTGATACATGACTCGGGTGTGCATAAAGGTATCCAGGATATACCGGGTGATGCGATTGAACGGTGTGATGAAGTAGCTGAAGGCGTAGCGACCCGTCCAGAATGCGCCGCGATCGTACCGGAAGAGGTAATCTTGGATGGGGACGTAGTGGGTGATCGAGGCGGGGGGTTCGGCATTCGGACGGTGGATTTTTCGGGTTTGGCGCTGCGCGTGGATGTAGAACCAGGGGTCTTGGGCGCGTATGAAGCGTTGGATGGGGGTTTGGTTTGAGGGCAAGTCGACCAGGCGACCGGCGCAGACGACGATGTGGTCCGGGGCATAGATGATGCCATCCAGGTAGTCGGTTTCGGGGTGTGCGGTGGTCTCGCGGAAGACTGTCATCGCTTGGGACATGCTTGAGGTAGAGTGGTAGGTTAGTTCGACGTAGGGTTTTGCTTCGCGACATTGGATCTCGAGCATGGTTACGACGCCGAGGGTTCCGAAGGACGAGGCCGCCGCCCAGAAGAGTTCTTGCTCGTCGGGTACATTTTGCGACGCTGTGCGGATGTCGCCGTTGGCTAGGACGACCTCGATCCGGTTCACGGTCGCATCAAAGAATCCGTGTCGAAAGGAGCTGCTCTCGCCGGACGTTCCGGAGAAGCCGCCGCCTGCGGTGATGCCAGGGAATTCCATGACGACCAGAGGGATGAGCCCATGAGGTAGGGTGGCCTTAACGAGTTCGTCCATGGGGACGTTAGGCTCAACTAGGATAGTCTTGCGGTCTGTGTCCACGGCCAGGACATGGTTCAAATGCGCGGTGTTGATGGTGTTGGCTGCGCTGTGTTGCGATTGTCGCGTGCTGTTCGTGGAGCCATGGTAAATGCGGAAGGGTTGTTGGTGTTTATGGAATTGGTGGGCTTGGGCCGCGATGGTGGCGACAGCTATATTGTGAGCTTCCATGGTGCGATCTTGGAGGACGACATAGGTGTCCAGAGAGAAGAGATCCGGAGTGAAGTTTGTACGTACCTTTGGAATGCGGGTGCCTGTTGATGTGTTTTGATCAGGGCTATTCCCCACTCGGAAAGTCAATGCACGGATAATGACCTCATTTATCCTCCAGATTAGATTAGATTAGATACCGATTGGCATGAAAGCTTTGCGACACGATATGATCATTGTCTCCTAGTCTATAAATTCTAGCTTTATTGCCAAGCTCATCTGGACCTTCGCGATGCCTGAGATTGCCTCCAAGATACAAACATAAACAGGATCGACACCACTAAACCCAACCCCGCAAAGCCAATACCCAGGTAGAGAGCTCCTCGGTAGCCCCGGAGGACATTGCGTCCACCATTGTTCACATTCGACTCCACAGTCCCGGCAAATCCCAGTCCCAGAGAGATGGAGTAGTTTACTGTGGTAGTGACGAGTGATGCAGCGAGGCCTTGATGGTGGTGGGGCATGGAATTGCTGAGGATGAGCGTGCCGGATGGGAAGGACATATCCCTGTCGCAACATGTTAAGACGGTAAATTGGTTGGCTAGGAAAGGTAGTCAACTTACATGCCCCATGACGTGATAAGACTGGCTACGAACGCCTGAGCCCAGTAGGTCTGATCCAGGGGAACCGTTGCAAAGACTGACAGACCGGCCGTAAAGAAGACCATCGCGCAAAACATAATGACACTGGGGGGCAGTCGGCCGAGCAGGAATCCTGTCAGCAGAGCCGCTATGGCACCAGATGGAGCCGCAGCGACCCATTTGGCTGTGGCTAACAACGGAGTGTCACCCTTAATCTCCTCCATAAACTGGTAAAAGTAGTAGATAATGATGCCAAAGCTGGACCACCCGGCAGCGATACATCCCAGCACCCATGCCAGGTCACCGGTTAAGACTGAGCTTGGCAGCAGTGGGCATCTGGCAATGCGTTCGATCCACAGAAAGCCGCCAAAGATGATAACGCCAACGATGAGCAGCACGTAGGTGTACGGTGTGGTCCATCCGACCAACGCTGCCTGGTTCCATGCAAAATTGATCAGTATGAGGGCGATGATACCGGCCGCTGCTCCTAGCAGATCTAGTCGCGCCCAAAGCGGAAGGTCCTTCTGGAAATGAGGTCGCGGCGTGTGCGGAATGACCAAAACACCCAGCACAGCAAAGGCCAGGCACACCATGCCCTGGACCCAGTATGCCCACGGCCACCACACCATTTGTGCCAAGATCGAGGAGAACACGCCCCCGACGATAAACCCGCTCGGCGCGGTGGCCCCAAAGAAGCTAAAGATCATCTCTTTGCGCAAACCCGGTGGGTATGCGCGCCCGAGGATGGCGATCGCATTCGGGAGTAACATGGCGGGCCCCATTCCTTGAAATGCGCGACAGCAGTCAAAGAAGATTTGATTCGACCAGACACTGAAGCCCGCCAGCAAAGACCACAGACCGAACCAAGCGAAACCGATAATGAACATCAACCGATGACCGAAGACGTCGCCGAGCCGACCGCAGACTAAGATAAAAGTGCCGACCGTCAGACTGTAGGCCGCCGCAAACCAGCTCAATTCGCCCGGCATGGATGTCTGGAAGCTCTTGCCAATAATATACACCGGGGCAATCGAGATGCACAGACCCGCTTGCGTCATGAATTGAGCCATGCAGACCACCACTACGAAGAGCATCTCCCGCCATGGCTCCTTTGGCGGTACCACGGCGGACAGAGTAGTCTCAGTGTGTGTCAGTGCTTCGGGATCATCATTGGGACACTTTGACAGTTTCCCATTCAGCTCATCACGGCTGATGTCGGATCTCGACGTGGACGGAGAGGATGTGGCACCGTTCTTATCAGACTCCATCATCCTGGTTCCAGCGGTTCCAATAACGTCTCGGTATATCAATCCCTCGATGGAGCTTCAAAGAGTAATAGAGTCCAGCTAGTCGGGGGTGACGTCTTTTATATCTGCCATGATCGGGACAATTCATGGAGAATGGGCCCCGTAACGCATCAGTAATATCCAATAGATTCTCTCACCGGCCTTGCTTGATACTAATTAGCGAGCGTGTTCAATCCGGTTTATCATAGGTGATTTGATCGTTTCGCTCTCGTCATTTGTTGCGTACCAGGGATCCGCTCGATTCCCGTCGGATTCGATGTCCGCATCCCGACGGGACATGGCTCGGAATTGATCGACACTGATTGATAAGACATGGAAGTTGCGAAGCCTAGAATAAAAGGATTAATAAAGAAGGTCCTTCGTAGCGGAAAGAAAGAGAGGAAAAGGTATTGCAAAATGACGTTGTTCTGGTTAATTGAAGTTCAGTTAGTCTCAGAAACCAGCATCTGTTGTGTGCACATATATATATATATTTAGCTCTAATCAGTCAAACTGGTCTATTATGGTGGGAGCCCTCATCGGAATGAATGCTATTCAAGTCATGATTAATAAACCAGGAAGGTATCTCCCATAACGAAGAATACCTTGATCCGAGCTTAGTCCATTATGAATTTAATGGTTCAATGACTTCTTTCCAAGTTCAAGGCTGTTGTTGGCACATGATGCGCCATGCATGCCGGACATGTGATCTACGCCTAAGGCAGCCGACTGGGAGTACATATATTTCTGACTACAGAGTACATAAATTCCTGCACGAAAACCTCCGACCCCCGGCTCTAGGGATGCCTGCAGATGAGGAATTAAGGTTATAGGATTAACTACTAGTAAGAGACCCCAAATGCACCTAAAGGGTGCATCCCGGACATATCCGCCTTTGGGGTTGATAAGTCACCCGAGGACGAGTTGTGCACTCGGAACCTTAAGTAATCTCCGTATTAGAGAGACATTAAAGTACATAGTCAGCCAATTAAGGTTAGTTTCATGACGAGCACCGATGACCTCATCCGGTTACATAACCCAAATCACATGCTGGCTGTCAAAGAAAGAAGAAACCAAAAAAAAAAAAAAAAACAGAAAAGTCAAACAGGTGCAGTTCGACGGGGCATGACAGGGAAGGCAAAACAAATGTGATATGCTTTGTCTGCAGCATGTCTTCTTCAACTCCTTGCGTCCGCTGATCTCTCTCTCGTATTTGATGTTTCCTCCCTTGACAAAAATATATACAACAGCGTGAAGCGGTTATAGACGACTATTGATTGATTGATTGATCCCGTTCTTCATTCTTCCCCTTTTACCCCGCCGGAGGTTCGAAACATCCAACGAGTCACAACTCCACTGCTGCCTTGACTTGGCTCACCAGTCGCTTTGCTTGCCAGTCCATACCTACATTTTCCTTTCTCATTTCTTCTCTTTTCCCTCTCTCTCCGTCTCGCTCTTCAGTCGGGTTTACGACCGCTCTACATTTGACATCCTACACTTCACACTATGGGGAAACCCCCCGCCGCGATCGTTATTGCGAGGTACGTCTTATATGACTTTCGACCTTTTTGTTATGGACTTGTTTCCCCCCCTTCATTTTTTCTTTCTTTCAATGTTAACGAAACTTGCTGACCGGGTAGTGATATAACAGACATGGTGCCCGTCTTGATGCCGCCGATAAGAACTGGCATCTGACGTCTCCAACCCCCTACGATCCTCCGCTTTCTTATGGCGGTTGGCTTCAATCCCGTGCTCTGGGGGCTCGTATCGTCAATGTTTTACAGTCTTTGGACAACGATCTCCTCACCGAGGAACGAGATGGCGAGACCTTGCCATCGTTTCGCCCACGACCTTCTAAGCGAAAGCGTCGAATCGTGATTCATTCCTCACCCTATCTTCGGTGTTTACAGACCTCGATCGCCATCAGTTCCGGGATCAGCCAGCACTATTCCGATAGCACAGGACCAGGCCCGAGTCAGCCGAATGGGTTCTTGTCCGCCCCCATCATGTCGCCAGCACAGGAGCCGACCACTGGCGCAGTGACCAGTGGCCCTGCAGCCCCCGGTGATCAGCGATGTCTTCTGCGCGTCGACGCCTTTCTAGGCGAATGGCTATGCCCAGACTATTTCGAGGAGATTACCCCGCCCCCTAAGTCAGAGAGGCTGATCGCCGCCGCCAAGGCCGAACTATTACGACGGGACAGCATCGTACCGGAAGCCGATACCAAACCTCTCACGGGGTTTTTCCCGGGTGGCTGGGGCAGCCTTGGCAACAAACCCCTGTCTCCCCCAATCGAAGAGGAGGATCGCAAGGCCTATTCCGGGTACACGCCAAACGAGCGTCGGGAGGGACAGAGAAATCGAGCCGGCAGTTGTGATACCCTGCGGTCCGCAGACACCCCACGCACCCGGAGGTTACTCAGCAAAATCAACACCAACCTCCCGCCCATCCCCGATGGGGCGTATATGCCGCCGACGCCGAGTTATGCCATCTCGCCGTCCGAGCCGATTCCAACCGGTTATGTCACGCACGCTCGGGATGCGTGTGTGAGAATCGACTATCCTTGGGATAGCATGCGAGACCCGCCGAATTGGGGAAATGGGGGTGAGTACGGCGAAGAGTGGAGTACGATGCACACCCGCTTTCATAATGGACTGGAGCGGATGATCGGCTGGTATCAGGAGCACGATGCATCCCTTCCCACCGGTCGGCGCCGGCGTCATTCGCAATTATCCTTGTCCGAGAGCGCAGAGGAATCGAAGATACCGGACGACGAGGACGAGCCCATCGACACGATCTTGGTAATTGTCACTCATGGAGCAGGCTGTAATGCGCTCATCGGAGCCATCACCGGCGAGCCAGCGCTCGTGGACATCAATACTGCGTCCCTCACTCTGGCAGTCCCGAAGGACCGTGTGGCTGTCCCAGAGAAAGTGGACGCGATCGGCGGACCCGTCGCGCCGTATCGTCCCGGAAACGAGCAGGCCGGGTTGCGCGATTACAAGCTACAGCTGGTGGCTTCGACCGACCATTTACGACCGGTCACGAACCTGTCGACGTCCGTCCTCCCGTCGCCTAGTAGTTTAACTTCTCCATCGTCTGCGTACCGTCCACGGTTCTCAACCCGCCCGCCGTTACCACAGGGCGGGTTCGTGATCGGTCCGTCTGCCTTGTCCGGACCGGGCACCGGTTCGTGGACATTTTCACGACCTTCCACCGCTCCTCGCGGTGCCAGCGGCCTTTGGGGCTCCAACTCAATTTCGGCCGGGGACGCGGCGGACGATATCATCCCCAACTTCGGTGATCCCTGGTCGGGGTCCAACGGGACTAGCAACAACGACCACCACTCCGGTAAGAAGCCGGAAGAGCCGTCAGATTGGACGCCCCAGCTTCCCCAGAGGACGCTTTCCCAACGAGGACTATGGGGAAGTGGGCCTTCGAAGGAGCCCTATGTTAAGCGGCGCTGGACGGTGACCGAACGACGAGTCTAACGGGGTAGATCATTGGCCCAGGCGCAGAATACCTTTCTCATCTTCTGTTTCACACATTTAGCGGACTCGTCCCCCTTGGTTCTTCTTTCCCCTTTTCTTTTTCTTTTCGGTTATTCGGCGAGGCGTTTCTGGGATCATAGCGAATTTGAGCGTTTAACGACTGCATGAAAAATACTAGTATACTATGACTTTGAGCGATCGGCATTTTTGACCCATCTGAGCACATCTACTCAACTCTGGAAATGTACAACAATGTTAATACCACTCCCCCTAGGTAACCTCGGCTCGCTGTCTTTGATAAACCCTTAGGTAGTTTGTGTATGTCGGAGGTAACTGAATATACAGATCTACTCTAATCAATATCAATCAATGTAACACCTTCACCATGTACACTCTCCGCAGCCCATTCTCCCACCCTCGATGTGTCTCCACATACCCCAACCTCTCATAAATCCTCAGATTCTCCACCATCTTCTCATTCGTATACAATCTGATGCGTTCAAATCCGCTCTCTCTTGCCTTCCCCTCCGCAAACCCCATCAGCCTTTTCCCCAACCCCACCCCCTGCGCTGCCGGTGCAACAGCCACATTATCCAGTAACATCGTCCCCTCCTCCGGAATCAGCACTAAAATCCCACTCATTACCCCCTCCTTCTCCACCACATACACTCGTCCGGCGTCGATCTGCGCCCCATAATCCTCAAGCATGGGGCCGGGCTTCCGGCCGATCCGCTCAATGTAGGGGGTGTAAGCTTCGTTGACCAAGGTTGCAATCGTGAGCTTATCGGAGGAAGTGGCGAGCCGGGGTTTGAGATCCAGAGACATTTTCCTTTTTGCTTTCCCCGATAGTTCTCCAAGGGAAAGAAGAAGAAGAAGGGGTGGAGGTTGCTGAGGCTGAGATTGGGTTGGTTAGAGTTTAATATTGCATACACTTACTAACTACTGCCTTGTGCAGGTAATATGCAAATGGGATGTAACCTGGGATTTTAATTGATACATATGTACTTACTGTTAGTAGGGTTATATCAGACCCGTGACTGGGACGTGATAGTACACAGTTAGTGGGAGGCGGGGATGGAAGTTGTTGTTTATCGATTGGTATTGGGGAGGAAAAGGCGGATCTTACTAGTAATAGGGTTGTTGGCATGGTCATGTGTCAAGACACCAAAGATACAACAAAGAAATTGAGGAAAATCCTTCCACAAACTAGTTTTGTTTATAGCGTTGGTTTTCAACTTCTGTGCAGGATTTCGTGGCGTTTTGAATTTATAGTCCTATTTATGAGTCATGTTCAGGATTAGGGTAAGGCGGGCCAGTGGTAACACTGGATCTCTGCACGATCATTCTCCCAAAGCGCCTTACACAGTGGGAGAAATACCCTGAGTTTCTGGTAACACCAAGTCTAGAAGGAGAAACACCACCAGATTGGCAATCATATCATCCGCGCAAGGAATGTCAATGCCAAGTCGATTACTCTTAAGGAAAACAGTGGGCAGACGCCTTGGATGCCCTCACAATTCCTAAACAAATGATACATCGTAGTTCAATGTTTCAACAAGAGACTTATTATTGATTGATATGTGGTACGTTTGTCTGATGAGATTTAACCAACATACCTAGAAGCATCTAAATAAATATACATCTGCAAGAAATAAAAGTTTTGATGCTGATAGCCTTGACCATAGTTCATTGCTCCTTGATACAGGGCATATAGTCTATAGTGTTTTATCCATGATGCTGCTGTCTTCCCACTGCAGGAATTTGTATTTCACCGGCCACGGCTCCTTAGCTATGAACGTACCCGTAAGGCGCCCTTGAAGTAGCTATGAAGATGTGCAACTGAGATTCGAGGCCATTCATCGAGGATCAGAAGTTTATCGCCGTTTTCAGGGGAGAATACATCAATGGAGTTGTCTAGGTGCTGTGATATATGAAGTTAGAACCAGAACAAGATGCAGATTCGACCTCTTCAAAGGCAGTTCTCCGGAGAATAGGTGAGCTAATTGCCACAGAGGGCATCCCTTCCCATCCTGATGATTTCTGGTTGCGGTCGGTTATTGAAAGGTGATGGACAAAGGGAGCGTTCCAGAATGCCCTTTGCTTGTCACAGGCGTTGAACTCACTTGATATGGAGTGTGTATTGGATACTCAGTTATTTAACGATAATAATTCTTTATCCAGTCTCTCAGATTGTTATCACTGAAACAATCTCAATGCCCTAACAATTTCACGCGGAGTGCTAGGCCTATGCCATCTACCTTTCACAAATCATGTACCATACCTTTGGCCGAGCTCTATCCGCTGATAACATAGACCTTTATCTGGTCTATCCTCACCAAATAGAACTTTGTATGCTGTTATAAAAGTAACCGCAGGCCGGTGCCTCAGCTTAACATAAGATACTGATGATTAATCATGACATCGCCAATAATGAGAAGTCCGATGTTACATCCGCCCCAGTGTCAGTATAAGTTCATAAGCTCAGCAGAAGGGAACTCACAAGAGTTGAATGATGAATGCGGAAAACCCAATTGGGAGTCATGACGTAGATTGAATTCCTATGAACACCAACTATTCCAATACATTAGGATTGATTCCAAGTAGATCGTTGAGCTACTCCAACTCATGCTATTTCTACATTGTTCTGATCTCCTCTATGAAGTATCATCAACAACTATAATCCCAACTACAATGCGGTCTTCATCATTTTTAATTCTGGCTACTGCACTGTTACCATCTGCCTTTGCGCGAATCTTGAGCGAAGTGGTAAACACTGCTCTTCTAAACACTATCAACGCAAGCAGACTACTAATATGTACTAGGGTACTCTGTACAGCGGGCCTAATGCGAATGGCTACAAGCAATGGGCAAAGATTGATGGTAGATGCCGACGACTGAATCCCCGTCTGTAAGTTTCAAATATCTTTAGCAGCATGGCTTCTAATACTGAAATAATGCTGGGCAGAGCCGAAAATGTAGGGTCCCTCTATATTGGAGAGGGCGCCTCTTGTGATCTTTTTGAGTATGTGTTACCCCCTGATTTCAAAAACTGGTTCAAGCTGCTTACTTGCTTTAGGGATACACGCTGTGAGAAATACGTATATGAAGTCAAACCAACCGGGGAGGACAATCTATTTGACTCAGGAGTCGGATATATCTCCAATTCAGTTCGCTGTGACTATTTCAAAGATGTATATAGGGTACAGGATTTCTAGCAAGGTCTAAAAGAAGAGTAACTGATTACATGTTGCTGTTGCCCAAGTGATCTTTAGAACTACAGTATCTATAATGGGCTCCCTTTCGGCAAAGAGCATACACTTAATGCAAAAGAAAAGTTATTGACGCTTACAGAGTTGGCTTCTAAGCACCGGGGGCTTAGCTGAAATCGCCATGTTATTTTTAAAGTTGTGATTCCAACAAACAGTTCAATATGACTGGCTATCATGGACATTTTTAGCATATTTCATGTAAAGCAGCTGAAACACCAGTCCGATGAAGATAACCCATCCTCAATCGTCCCAGAATCACGCAATTCGAGTCTGAAGCCATATGTCATTGCTAGGGGAAGCATTATACCTTATAGACGAGTAAGCGTTCAAGCAGAGTGACTATAAATTTATGCCTTGACGCCACCAGGTTCTAAAATCTTTCGAGTAGGATGGTTTGGGTCCTTAACCACGGAAAGAAATGCTTTTGAAACCTAGTTGCCAAATCCTTGACCTTTTCGCTCCAAGCCTTCCGGTTGCAGTAATGTTGAAGTTCATATCGAAGTGGTTTATGTCATAAATCGTCATTGTAGAGCATATCAAATCAATCTATGATTGCGGACCCCGGACTATGAAATGTGGCATAAAGAATCGCAAAATCATGAATTCTCAACCCTGGTCTGTCCACCAACCACTATCTTTAACCGAAGATGAAGTCTTTCACATCTCTTCTTGTTCTCTTCAGCGTCTCCGCCCCTTCTCTCTCCTCTCTGCTATCACCTGCCGGCGTCCTGAGCGAAGACGTAATCGTGCAACTGGCGAACGACTGGACAGGCGCTAATGCCAATGCTACTATCTCGCCTGATGGCTCAAAACACTCCATCCAGAATCTCTGGGGTAAATCAGACCTTGTTGGAGACGATGGTGAAGTCTACGCGACGAGTGCATCGCTCGTGAAATTTGAACAAGGGACAGCATGCCGTATTGTACAGCAGCCAAACGTGAACGTTATTATGCACTCGCAAACGACCTGGGTATTCTTGGATCGCGGGGCATGGGTGAAGTTGAACAATGCGATTTTACAGTGTGTTGATGTTAATCAGACTCCTTATAGAGGCGATCTGTAGGCGTACTTACAAGAGAAGTCCTCATGTGGTGTATACAATATGCTGTTTTCCCCTGTCCTCGGTGTGGTTCTTTCAATGTAGGCCAGCCTGCTTTCTTAAAATATGTGTCTCTATACTATCTTTCAATTTCAGTACAAGCACTTATAGTGCATAATTCGTATTTGATTAATTAGTGGCATATGGTGTTTATGGATGTGAGTATGTTTGTGCCGTCGCATTCAAAAGTCAATAGCGCAGGTCTTACTATACAATATACAACCACTAGAACAAGGGGTAGATTGTTCCCTGCAATATTTGTCGTCTTCTACAGGCTGGAGCCTAAATTGGAACACCCTACATTTGGACAATAAATACGAATATCTGGAAATAGACTGTAACCCTGACAGGTGGTTTCAAAGCCTGCGTCTTGGGTTCTTAATATCTTGGATCCCCTATATATTCGTACGACATCATCGGAAGGTTCAAAGGTTACAGTTGCCACCTGCAATGACGCACAAGGTAATACAAGACGTCATTCCTCTCTTGCGAGTGATTTCACATAGATCTCTGACGTTGCTCTTTGACTTATGCCTGGAGATGGGATGTAGTTCAGAGCGAAAACAAGTATATAAGTAGTTCATATTGATGGATGGTATGCCCTTTGAACTTTCAATCAAGCATCTTACTACTTGAAACTTTGCAGCACCTTCAACTACTAGTATATATCCCTGTCTAGCATCGATACAATGGACAGAGATAGCCTGATTGAGAAATACAAGGTCGCTCACTTTTTCCAAGCTTTGTTGATACCAAAGCTTACCTTATAACAGAACAGCCCAAACGTTGATATGGTTGACATATTTATAAGAACATTTAAAGATTATGTATGTAGTACACAGTGGGCCTTCCCAAACACTCATACATAAAGCCGCTGATGCATTTCTCTGGCAGGACAAGGACATCAATGGTGAGGCGAACTGTGGGAAACCTTACGTCGATCTAATTAATTCGTATTAGGAACGATGAATGCAGACGAATACCGAACCATGGCAAGGGAGGTTTTCGGTGATGACCTAAGTGATCAAACAATCCAACGGTCCTTTCAAAATTTAGATAGAGATCACGATGGCCAGCTTTCTTTTTACGGTAAGTGCCAACCCAGTGGAGGTATTCTTCAAAGTCACTTTTAAATCAATTCTGTACTAATAGCTCCAAATAGAGTATATGGATGGCTGCATGAACCTGGAATAAGCAGTAAAGTTTGGAGAAGAGTGGCATGACCTCGCTATTCTTGCCGCGATTCGTGTGGCGGATTGTGATACAGCTTATTAAATTATAAACATTCATAATGTACACAGCAAGATGCCCAGGTAAAGGATGTGCACATCAATACATGAGGATCCGAGCCTACGAAAGTAATGGACCAAGGGCACAATACAGACCGGATAGGTTCTAGGAGTCCTAGTTGGAAGCCCTTCGTGATGCTCAGCCACTGCGAGTTGCATTCGCTCAAATAATGACATCTCCTAGGTCCTCTTTATCCTTGGTTTATTAGATTATAAACTACTCCGTATGCTATTAAAGATGAGGGCTTTCCCCCCTACTAATGACTATGAATTACTACCAATGATCCACGCGGACGGGGTGGGGATCCCGTAGGTAATCTTCCGTGGCTGATTGGCTCGGGCCATCGAGAGGGGAGGGAGATCCACGGTGGCCCGGGTGCCTGCATGCCTGGGGTGTTCACTGCGTTGGTCACCGCTGGTCAACCGCTGGTGTCAAGTGACCCAAACCCCTCCTCCCTCTTGCTTCCCACGACTTGTTTTCATCCCTCTTGATTCACTCGGTCGCTTTCTTCCTCCTCGTCAGAATGTCTGCCGTGGAAAACGACGGACTCACCATCACCCATTCGTCCGAACGAACCGGAACCCCCGATCTTCGTCTCATCCATTACAATGATGTTTACCACGTGGAGTATGCCGATCCCCCTCTCCCTGTGCATCTGTCACGACAGTTCACTAACTAATATCCGGAGTCAAGGCCAGGGTCTGCGGAGCCAGTCGGTGGTGCTCCTCGATTCCAATCAGTGATCAATCATTACCGTTCTGATCCCCGATTCGCCGGACAACCAGACGTCCTCACCTTTTTCTCCGGAGATGCGTTCAACCCAAGCCTCGAAAGCACGGTCACCAAGGGGCGCCATATGGTTCCTTTTCTAAACAAGGCAGGCACAGATGTCGCATGTGTTGGGGTATGTTTGCTCGTGTATGGGGAGAGTGTCCTATGCAAAATACCATATGGGCAATGCAGGTCTGACGTGTATGTGAGATAGAACCATGACCTCGATTTCGGTGTTGCGCAGCTGCGTCATCTGCGTAGCCAGTGTCAATTCCCATGGTTGCTGGCCAATGTCCTTGATCCAGCCCTAGGAGAGGATATCCCCATTGCGAACTGTGAGCGAACCCGGATGTTGACCGCGTCGAACGGGCTCAAGGTGGGCGTGATCGGTCTGGGGGAGAGAGAATGGTAGGTTGTCCCAAATTTTTATATATGCTACACGTCCAATCCTCACGTATTCAAGGCTAGGAACCATCAACTCCCTTCCCCCAGACTTGATCTACAAATCTGCTGCCCAAACCGCTCTGGAACTGGTCCCTCGTCTCCGTGAACAAGGCGCCGACATCATTGTCGCCGTCACCCACCAACGCGAACCGAACGACTACAAATTGGCGGAGAGGCTTCCACCGGGCTTCATTGATATCATTCTGGGAGGCCACGATCACTACTACGCACATGCTATCGTCAACGGGATTCAAGTTCTGCGCTCCGGTACAGACTTTAAACAGCTTAGCTACATCGAAGCGTGGCGGAAAACGGACGGACCTGGATGGGATTTCAGCATTGTACGGCGCGATATGGTCCGATCAATTCCAGAAGACCCAGCGACCGTGGCGCTGGTAGCCAAGCTAACCTCCAGCTTGAAATCCAAACTGGAGAAACCCATCGGCTACACTGTCCGGCCGCTAGACTCCCGATTTTCCACCGTCCGCCAGAGAGAGTCGAATCTAGGGAACTTTGTGTGCGACCTGATGCGATTCTACTATGCGGCTGATTGCGCCATGATGGCTGGTGGTACCATCCGCGGTGACCAAATTTATCCGCCGGGCATTTTGCGACTGAAAGATATCTTGAATTGTTTTCCTTTCGAAGATCCGATTGTCTTGCTCCGGGTTCAAGGACGAGCTCTGATGGATGCCCTCGAGAACGGTGTGAGCCAGTTGCCCGCTCTGGAGGGTCGATTTCCACAGGTCTCAAACATTGCGTTCAGTTACAATCCATCCGCTCCGCCCGGCTCGCGTATCAACTGGGCGAAGATCGGAGGACACCCGATCGAGTATGACCGGACATATTCCCTTTCCACGCGAGGGTACATGGGTCGTGGAAAGGACGGCTTCGCGTCGTTGCTGGTACAGTCTGCTGGCGGCGAGGTCGAGGAGGTTGTCGACGAGGAAGGCGGAATCTTGGTCAGCACCCTCCTTCGTCAGTATTTCCTGAGCTTGAAGGTGGTGGGTAGGTGGCAACGCTGGAGTAAGAGCTTGGCACGTCACTGGGGCATTGTGCACCAGAACCTCCACTGCAATGGCTGGCTGAAGCCAGCATCTGGCCAAACCTCCCCGGTAACTGAGAAGGCTCCGGTACGGCCCCAGCGACCGACCCTCCAGCGGACCAAACAATACCATTACTACGGCCGTTTTCAGGAGATTGACGCGGAAGGGCGTCCGGAGACAGAGGCCGAGAGTAATGAGGACATGGATTCTGATTCCGACTCGGATCCAGAAATCTTGACTTCTCCGCAACCCACTACGAACTATGTGACTCTGCCTGCACAATCCGCCGCAGAGGAAGAGCACCGACTTCGACTAGCCCGACGCGTCGTGCGCAAATGGATGCAGAAGGCTGGATTCCAGTCGACCACGTTGAACGGCACTGACGATGCTGGTTTTACCCCGACATGGACTCCGGGTATCTCCCCGCGTCTTGAGGGACGCATTGTGATAGAAGACACACGGTAGATTCATGATAGATCACGATATTTAAACGGTTTTCGGTATGATTTATGATAGAACATGTTTTCGGATACAGTGTCTCGCATGGAGCATTTTGACGGGCAATGAAAATTATCATGTTGGTTTGCTTCTCTGCTATGAATTTCCACGCATCTACGGAGTACCCTGGTCGTAGATGTTATTGCCCTGACCCCGAAAGTATCTAGGACGTTCTCCTTGGTTGAATCGATATACAGAGGAGCAAGGTTAAGCATCTGATTGCCTCGAGCGACCATGGACAGTCGAGATCCGAGTGAAACACTTCGAAATTTTACATTGATAACTCCCATGAGCATAGTTCAATCAGAACACGTGTATTATCAGTCATAAAACACTTCCGTACAGTCATCAAGAAACTTAGATATAGAACACCATTAAATAATACAAACATTGAACTCCCATTAGAACCTCCTACTGCGCAGCACCCCAACCACCACCACCAGCAGTCATGATCACGACACGATCATGTGTCTTCATCGAAACAGTATTCTTGCCGCCGATATTCACGACACGTTCTTCACCCGACTCCTCATCTTTGGAAATCCACAGATTAAGACCGGACTGCGCATCTTCTCCCCCCTCCAGACCGTAGGGACGATGGACTCGTCGTTCTGATAGAATTGAGCATTCCATAGGTGCCAAGAACTCGATGTCTCGGACGACGCCATCACCACCGGGGTGGAGTCCCTTTCCGCCCGAGCCGGGCCGGAGGGTGAACTGGCGCAGCAGAGTCGGGTACCGCTTCTCGAGGATTTCAGGGTCGGTGATCCGCGTGTTGGTCATGTGGACGTGGATGCCGGACTCGCCCTTCCAGGTTGGTCCTGCACCGCTGCCTCCGGCAATGGTCTCGTAGTAGCCGAAGCCGGGTATGGTTGCGCCGGTGTCCGGGTCGACCTTGGAGTTGGTGCCGAAGGTCAGGTTGTTGCAGCAACCTTGGGAGGCGGCGCAGGCGCGAAAGGCCTTCAGGACGACGTCGGTGATTCTTTGCGATGTCACGACGTTACCGCCCACGACGGCTGCTGTCTTGGTCGGCGATAGGATGCTGGGCGATGGGACTTGGATGTCGATAGGCGCTAGACAGCCCTGGTTGAGAGGTACGTCTGAGGCGATCATGGCTCTTAAGCAGTAGATGATGGCTGAATGAGTGATAGCGATAGGAGCGTTCCAGCCTCCGTACACTTCGGGTCCGGTGCCGGAGAAGTCGAAGACGGCGGATCCGTCCGTCTCGTTGATCGTGACCTTCAGTCTAATCGGAGTGCCGTCATCCATGTAATCCACAGCTTCCAGGGGTTCGCCCTCAAAGCGCTTGTGAAGATCCTTCAGGAGGTTGCGCACGGCCGTCTCGGCTGTGGCTTGGATGGCGTACATGTACTTCTGGACGGTTTGGACACCGTATTCGGCAAACAAGGACTGAATCAGGGTGATACCGCGTGTGTTTGCGGCGATCTGAGCCTTCAGGTCAGAGAGGTTGTCGCTAATGCACCGTGAGCCCGAGCATCCCGGGTGTTGTGCTGGCTTGTTGACGAGCAGGTCGATTATACGCTCCTCCTCGAATACGCCATTGCTCACGATCTTCTCTCCTTCAATCGCTGCACCCTCCTGCCACAGTTCGGTGGATTTGGGTGGCATCGATCCTGGCAGGATACCACCGATATCCGCGTGGTGGCCACGAGAGGCGACGTAGAACATAATTTCAGTGCCACCTGGCTTGTCAAACACAGGCGTGATCACCTATATGGTTTTGTCAGGATTGCTAATAACTTTAAGTGTATTGGATTTGACTTACTGTAATGTCAGGAAGGTGAGTTCCACCACAACTGGGGTGGTTAGCAACTAAGACGTCACCGTCCCTCAGGTTGCCCAACCATTTCTGGTGTTGATAGCGAACGGCAAATTGCATGGAACCGAGATGAACAGGAACATGGGGGGCATTGGCTACAAGACCGCCATCTGGAGAAAACAGAGCGCAGGAAAAGTCCAGGCGCTCTTTGATATTGGTCGAGACGGATGTCTTCTGTAGGGTGCGACCCATCTGTTCAGCGATCGACATGAAACGATGACCGAAAATACTCAGTCTGATGGGATCGATCTCGGATGAGAGCTCGGAGGGAACACCATTGACGGCAGCCTGTTCCTCCTTTAGGTCAATGACAATGCAAGTATCCAGGATCTTGGCCACGGAGTTAGGAGCCACCACGATAGTCTGGGTCTTGTCGATGATAACGGCAGGGCCATGGACGCGTGTGTTTTTCTGGAGCTTGTCCAGGAGGTACACTGGGGTGTCAATGCGACTGGAGTAACCATCAAAGTAGGCTTTCGTCGTGTTATCCGGAGCTCCGCTCACATCTTGCAAGGTGGCCGCCCGCAACTGCACCAGAGGACTCTTCTCTGTGCGCACCTTCGATGAAGCGATGGTGCGCACACGAATGTCGTCCACCAGGACCGCTCGGTCGGAATTGAAGTTGAATTCTCTGCGATGCCTGATCTTGAACTGTTCCAGGAAGCCCGAATCATCTTCCGGTTTCAAGATCATTAAACTGGTATCGGAACCTTCATAGCGCATATTGAGGTACAACTCGTGCCGCACCTGATCAGCTGAGAATCCTTGGGTGCTCATTTCTGCCGTAGCACTGTCTGTCATGTCATTGAAACGCTTCTCGAGACTTGACTGAGAGGTCTCAAAGTCAGCGGAGACCGGCTCCTGAGACTCCTTGACCACCTCGGCCAATGCCAACCCATACGCAGAGAGGACAGAAGAGTATTTATGGATGATAATGCGCGAGATGCCCAGTGACGCCGCAACCGAGCATGCATGTTGACCACCGGCGCCTCCAAAACAAGCCAGGTGATGCGATGCAGTTTCAAATCCACGAGCTTGAGTCAGATTGCGAATAGGGCGAGCCATCGACTCATCAGCCACCTTCAAGAATCCGAGAGCAACTTCTTCTGGAGCGTACTCAGGCTGCCCCTTCTCTTTTCGCTCCGCATTGATCTTCTGGGTCAACTCATTGAAAAGCTTGGTGGTCACTTCGGTATCAAGAGGCTGGTCCTCGTTGGGTCCGAAGATGTGTGGGAAGTACTCAGGTAGTAAGCGGCCCAGAAACAGGTTAGCATCTGTGACTGTCAATGGCCCTCCTTTGCGGTAACAAGCAGGGCCGGGGTGAGCGGATGCTGATTCCGGTCCGACATAGAACAATCCGTTGCGATACGACAGTATGGAGCCGCCACCTGCTGCGACGGTGTTGATATCGAGTTGCGGGGATTGAATGAGCACACCGGCAACTTTGGAACCGAAAACGTGCTCGAGGTGACCGTCGAAACGGGACACGTCCGTCGAGGTACCACCCATGTCGAAGCCGATCACAGGTGTCTTTTCGGTAGGATCCCAGCTGGTGGCCGCGAACCCGACCACACCGGCTGCAGGACCGGACAAGATCGCCTTCAGCCCGCTGAATCGGCGAAAATCGACCAGTCCACCATCCGATTGCATAAATTCGAAGCGGCACTCGCGCTGACGCTCCAAGCCACCTTCGAAGCTGGAGGAAATCGAGTCGATATATGTTTTGATGACGGGGGTGAGATAGGCATCGGCCGCGGCAGACATGCCTCGTGGGACAATTTTAATCATCGGCTGTAACTTGGAGGACAATGTCACGGAGAAGCCCATGCTCTCGGCCAGCTCGCCAATCTGACGTTCATGCTCTGGGTATGCGAACGAGTGGACCAGCGCGACCGATAGAGATTGGTAACCCTGCTCCTTGTACCGCTGGAGCTCCGAGCGAACCTCCTCAATGTTTAATTCCTGCACCACACGGAACTTCTCCCCCGTCACACCCTCCACTATGCGAGCTCCGGAGAAGCAATCCTTATCCGCCGATGGATGGCACGGAACGATACGTTCATTGACCTCAACCACGCCTTCCGGCAACACTCCTGGGCGGGCCATCGACAAATCAAAAATGTTTGGCCGTGACTGGTCACCGATCTTGAGCAGATCGCGAAAACCCTTGGTGGTGAGCAGGACTGACCGGGCCCCTTTCCTCTCCAGCAGCGCGTTTGTAGCCACCGTTGTTCCCATGCGCAGAGAGCCAATGCGATCCAGCTTCAGCGGTTGTCCTCTGGGGTGAGGCTCGCCCGTGACAAGCTCGAGAATCTGGCGCACACCCTCGGTGGGAGCATCTTGATAGTGGGCGGGATCGACGGAGAGTAACTTGAGGATGATGTCGGGTTTCCCGGGTACGATGGCATGTACATCAGTGAAGGTGCCTCCCCGATCGATCGAGATGGTTATTTTCCCGTCTCCGGCCATGTTGCTTGCGTGCTAGTAGACTGACCGGATCGAGAGAGGAGGATATAAGGAGGGGGAGGAAGAGGTAGACGAGAAGAGACGTAAATACTGCTGACAAGGTGGGTATTCCCCGGGTTTAATATACCTTCATCCGCAGTCCTGTTGCCGGACAGTGATAACGACAGCGGGACATGCCATGGAACCCTCCATCGTTTCGGTCGCTCTGGTCTCCGACTGGTTGTCGCGAGCCCACATCCACTATCTTGCTTCGCATACCTGCCGATTGCGTCTTTCCCCGCGGTCACGTGTCGGGCCGATGATCAACGGCGGCGGAAGTTCCGGCCCGAACAACCCGACGGGTGCATCATCGACGTGTCATCCTTTGCCTTTTGTTTTGAACGTCAAAGTACATACATGCCTACATTCTCTGCAGCGGTTCTCCCCAGAGACACTCTTTACGTCTGGGTGGCGTCTTATCCAGTAATGCCATAAGAGGAATGTGTATCAGGAAATCTTAAGATCTCATTTCTATCTCTATCATGTATGAACATTCAATTAAACGAAGGGGTATCTATGCTATGTTACTAGGTAATGATTCCACGACTCAGTGGTTTCGCGGGGTACAGTATGCCATTGATGGTGGCAAGCCCTGGTCAGACCTATCACCGGTAATTAATGCTTCACCAGGACGTACGAGCTGCAACTATCATTTGAGTCAGTCAAAAAAAAAAAAATACTAGCCATAACGGAGACAAAAACCCACGTTGAACTTTAAGAGCACTAAGACAACAATCTTTTTCAACTCCAGCCAAGCGACCCAAACCTTTGGGCGATTATTGATGCTGGTGCTGAACTGTAGTAGATTTTGGTTCATGGCCCACCGTTGTCGCGGGTCAGCAGTGAGCCATCGTGCCGGCCGATAGTTGTGAACGTCCTCCCCATAGATACCAGGATCGTCTCGTAAGGCTTCCGAATGAAGTTCCATCATGGTTCCCGGAGGAATGTAGTACCCTGCAACGATAGCGCCTTCGGGGGGTGTTACGACCTCACGGTTGTAGCTTAAGCTAGGCAGCTGGCGCATTGATTCCTTGATAACAGCATCAAGGTAACGCAGTTTACCCAGTTCCTGCCACCGGGGAGGGTCGGAGAGTAGGCCCTTGTTGGACGCCGTGTCTACCTCAGATCGGAGTCTCGTCATCACGTTTTCGTTTCTTAACAGGGAGGAGAATGTTGAAACAAACGCCATAGCAATACAGGTATATGCGCTGTCTGTATTGCTACAACTCCGGGGAAGGCTGAGGTCGGAGCTAATTGCACGATCATGCATAGCCCTAGATGATTGACTGCGGTTGAACTCTCCCTGAACCTTCCTGTGAACAAATGAAATGCCGCGGCGCCTTTTTAACCTAGCGGGCGGGCTTTTTAGGAGCGCATATTCGATCACTGGTAACGTCAGCCATTTGGTTGGGCGGTTATACCAGTGACAGCCTGCCCCCTGAGCGCTGGAAGGCATGTCTCGCGTGGTCAATTCTTCCAGGACCAGACGATGAATGAACTCAGAGGCAAAGCCCTGAAGCAAGGTCGTTAGATGTACCAGGGGATGTTGTCCCAAAGATGTGATCAAATCGTTGGCTGCCTGATCAATGATGCCTTCATATCGCATCGCCGATTCCAGACACCTCCGTCGAGTGGCCTTGCTCAGTAGATTACTTTCAAGATCGGTCGACCTCGCAGACGAGCCTTGGGTGCATACGGTACGATTATCATATTCAAATGTTGACTACGAAATCAATCAGTACGTAGATACCACGGCGATGCGTCATCAACGTTACCCTTTCACTCGGCCGACCATTATAGACCGGGAAGATGGCCGTAGGATCGGAAACACTGATGGAATGAGGCCCTAAGCGGACGACCTTGCCGTACTTCTTATGAAGGCCAGCTAGACTACAACCATAGTCGCTTGTACTGCGAGCGTATGCCCTCCACAAGTCAGATATGCCAGTGAACAGAGGACCTGGAACTGTGCTTAAGCGGGTGTAGTTGCAGAGCGCGTGCACAAAGGCCAATAACCCCAAGATTAAAACCGTAATTACACACACAACCATTGCCGATTCCTGGCGAAAACACTGCGCATCTTTCTAAAAATCTTGTAGAAGTGGCCGATGTTTGGTGGAGTTCAAATTTGCGAGTACCACGCTCAACCGGTGCCTAAATTGTCTCCTTTTTCATGGGCCGCGATATTCCGAGAGGAACCCGAAGGAAGAAAAATAGCCGGAAATTGGCAGCTGGCATTTTGGTTCACCCCGACGGTCCTCAGTTATCCGCCGACATGTTGTTATTTTTGTTCCTAGAATAAAGTCTGTTGGCTGTAGTGCTTGACTAATGACTCCCACCTCACTATTCGCCCAAGTATTGGACTGCATAAATGGTGGTGCCCCATCGGGCCGATGTGCTGCATTGACAGGACCATCCAACGCTTAAATGTGGGGAAAGAAGAGAGGGGAAAAGAGAGTTGAGAACTGATAGCAATCCAGATAACAGATAATTAGTCAAGGATCAGGGGCATGACCGTTTGGGCCCCACAACCGGTTCGTATCCGCTCCCTTTGCCAGTGTTATCATGGCACGCGACCGTACACCATCTGCAGTTCCAGTCCCTGCTAGCGGGAATGATTCTCTTCTGCACGAGACGACAAAAGGTCGATAAACTGTCATAGTCCAATCGGAATCTGTGGGGAGTATAGCTTGCAGGTCCGTGCGTTTGTTCAACGTGGACCCACGCCATCAACATCTATCCCGCGGGCAAAAAGAGGAGCGACGTTCGGCACTACGACTGAAATTGGAAACGAAACTTGGACGCAGCACCTGTAATCGGTGCGATATGTTCTTTTGCCTGTCAAATGGCGCAAGGAAAGGACCGAAGTGGGTTGCAATCTCGTTCGGAAGACCGCTCCAATGCGAGACGGTCCATTGTAGCGTAAGTGACAGGTGGATACGTTATGGTAGGGTCACGGTGACTAACAGTTGGCCACAGGTGTAATCGATGTCGCAACAGAAAGACCCGATGTGCTGGCAATCCACCGTATCCATGTGCTGCATGCGAAGATGCCGGCCAAGTGTGTGTTTACTCTGAAGCCGAGAAGCGCGTTTCCATTCCCGAAAGGTACTGCACATGACTTGAGAGAACACCAGGGCACCTGACTGACTCAATATCAAGTTATTACCGTCAACTCCAATCTCAAGCGCGGGCTCAACTTCAGGCCCAGGCACAGACCCATACCAATTTATCCCGTTCACAGGACAGTCGCCAGTCCTCACTGTTTACCACAGCTAGTCCTACCCAATCCACTCCGTGCACTAGTACCGAGGCGCCTTTGGACCGTGATGACTGGTGGTATCAGGGTACCGACCACCTCTTCCTGAACCGGTCCGGAGAACACCGTGCGTGGTCCTCGATTATAGATCCTTTGCCATGATCTCGGCTAACATCTAGTAGAATTTGTCGGTGCATCGTCGGCTACCCATTTAGCGAAACGGTTGAATCCAACCTCGACTAATCTAGCGTGGGATGTTCGTCCACTATATGACGATCCTTCATCATTGCGTCGGTCGGTAATACGAGCCCTTCCTCAACTACCGCCCTTTGAATTTGCCAAGCGGTTGTTCTGGGTCCAGTATTCCTACATTGGAACCATCTTTTCTCTCATTCACCCACAAGACTTTGAGGACCGACTGCAGGTTGTATACAACCAACCGCCCGATTTCTCCAACCGAGAGTCATGTCTAGTTTATTGCCAAGTTCTGCTCGCCATAGCCTTTGGCCTGATGTACTCGGTGAACCAATGGTCCGGAGATGATGGCCCTCCGGGATTCAAGTATTTCAAGCATGCCTTGCGCTTTTTACCTGATATCCATGAAGAAGGTTCCATATTCTTCGTGGAGGTCCTGTGCTATGTGGCGTATTATATGCAGAACCTCAACCGACGAGACGCTGCCTTCCTCTATGTACGCCTGATAAACCTTTTTTAGATGCTATCAACGCTGATAACGTGGTTAACAGATCGGTCTTGCTCTCCGCATGGCGATCTCGCTGGGTCTTCATCAGGAGGTCTCGGACCCAGGCATTAGTGAAGATGACCGAAACCGTCGGCGCCGAGCCTGGTGGTCCGTGTACAGCCTGGATCGATTATTGTCAGTGAAATCGGGAAATCCGATCACGATACAGGACGAAGATATCGGAGTTACATGGCCGATTCCAGCTGAATCGTCCCACGCTGTCCCATGGCCATCAGTTGTGCTTACATATTATACCCAGCTGTCTAGGATCTTAGGACGGATCGGGGAAGGTGGGAAATCCCCTTGTCCTAGCAAGGACTTACCAAACTGACGTTGAGATTAGAGATATATCGTAAAAAACCTCGATCTGGCTCCAACTTATTAGCGTCCGTCCAAAGTATCACGAACGATTTGTCTGAATGGCTGCGGCGGATACCTGACCGGCTGCGCATTGATTTTTCGACCTTGGATACTCATATTAACCGCGAGTTGGTGTCCATCTTCTTACATTTTTATTCCTGCGTGAATATGACAGCTAGACCGTTGGTATTCTACGTAATTCAGCGGCGATTAGATGCCGAAGCGCGAGGTTCTGCTACAGAGGACTGGAAGGACGGGCTGTCTCAAAATACAGTAGCTGTGATCGACAGCTGCATAACCGCAGCCCGGGCTACCACGGTTATTATGGATGCTGCTGCGAAGCACAATTTGATTGGTGAGTATACCCTATGTCGCTTTTTGAGATTTTCAAAAGCTGATGGTGCGGACTGCCTAAAAGCTACGTATGGCTATCTCGACGGGGAGTATATCTTCTCTGCTGCCCTTCTCCTGGTGATGGTGAATGCTGCATTCCCACATAATGAAACAAATGCCCGTGCGATGGAGACGGCACTGAATCTACTTCGCGGCATGGCAGACCGCGGGAATACGTACCTCGGCTCGCGTCATTCACTCTTACTAGAGTTGCAGTCCGCCATTGGCCCGAACCGTACGAGAAGAGAGGACGTCTTCATCGAGGCTCCCGTCACTCCAAATAGTACTCAGCAGCCAACACCATCCACGAACGTGGCTGAAGAGCAGCATCCAGCGGTGTCACCATGGCCACTGCAACAAGATCTACCAACAATGCGAGACATTACCTTCAACTTTGACATAAATGACGACCCAGGACTGTGGGAAGAGGTTCTACACCAGATAGATATTGATATGGATACCGACTGGATTGAGAACACGCTAAGGAAGTGATGAGGCTCGGCCTCAGTTTCCAGCCATCAGGGTAATGCAAAGAGGAGCTCTGCGGTTATAAAAATTGGACTGGAAGTGGACGTGGCCTGATGAATGTGGTGCTCTGTGTCAAGCTTGTAATCATTTCTATAACAGCCCCTTTCTTGGATTTCTGATGCTTTGACTTGCCACTACGAAAGGAAGCACGTCGATAATGACTGAAGAATGAATGAATGTTATGAGATTTTCCTATTAATTCATTGTATAGTTTGTACATAAATCCAAATCATAACTAACAATCCTCTAACGCCAAAGCCGATGCAAAAGTTCTCCAGAATCGAACATTCAGTTCTAATGGCTATTCACCCGAAAAGCGACTTGAGCCACAATATCATCCAGACATTTGGCAGGGTTTTCTGGCAGTTCCTTTGTCCTCCAGGCAATATATCCATCTGGTCGCAAGAGCGATGCGCCAGTAGCGGACACTCCCAGAGCCTCTTGGAAGCTCCCTTCATCCGTAAATTGAACATCTCTTCCGATGCAAATATGATTCAACGTGATCGATGATCCTAGATTCACCTGAGCCACAACCTCCTCCCATTCTACTGACTCGGAGACCAATGTCCATGAATCCTCGCCCACCACATCTAAGATTGAAACGGGGTTTTCATCTTGAGTGACCCAGAAATGTGGCACATGGGTACCCGGCTGACCTGCCCATTCGTCAGGCTTCAATGCTCGTGGGAGATTATTTTCGGCCCCAATAAAGCCATTTGATAGATAGAGTTGTCCAAACTCCATCGCATCATCATCAAGCTTTTTACCAGCGGGCGTGGCCTTGTCCAGGTGGACTTTGTAATCGGCTCGGGCAAAGATTTGATCATGGCGAAGAAGGGCCACGGGACGCCGTTCCGCATCGTACGTGTCTAAGAGTTCAGGTGATGACTTGCCTGCTAGAACAGCTGCTAGCTTCCAGGCGAGGTTATCAACGTCATGGATTCCTGTGTTTGCTCCATATCCTCCTCGGTTGGGTGGCAGCGTGTGCGCCGCATCCCCAGCGAGAAAGACACGCCCCGACTGGAAGGTGTCTGCGACAAGAGCAGCTAAGTCCCAGCGGCCAGTCGTAATAATGTCAACCGGTAGGTCCGATCTACCGATGGCTTGGTTGATCGCCGAGCGAAGGGTAGGCTCATCGCGCTCAACGTCATCGTGGAACATCAAGACCCACCGACCGTCATTGTAAGTCGTCATAAAGGCTTTGAGATCCGGTTGATCGATACTGAATTGGTGCACTCCCTGCATATACTGTTCTAAGGGAGCGCGGAACAGTACACTGCGCATGGTCTGCATATGGCCGCGCCCATTCCGTGGGATCTGCAGTAGCTCACGAACTGTGCTGCGATTGCCGTCCGCGGCGATGAGATACGAGCCTTCGATTCGCATCTCCCTGTTTTGAGGATCGCACGCCGTCACAGAGACACCACTCTGGCTCTGCTCCACGTTTGTAACCCTATGCTGACGCCGGATGTCCACACCTCTTTCGATGGCTGTCGCTTGCAGAATGGCTTCCAATTGATCCTGGGGCAAGGCCGCTCCACGGGACGGCGAATATTGTTTCTTCGTAGCAGGTAATTCCTGACTTGACTTCTTGTTGGAGCTACCCGTGTCTGACCAGGACGTGCTTTCAAACCATTTGCCTGTCATGCTCTCGACTCTCGCTCTCATCAGATTGAAGTCTTTGGGGATTTCGGGGATCTCGTCTGCGATGCCGAGCCAGCGATAGATTTCCAACGTTCGTGCCGTAAAACCAATAGCACGTGGATGCTTCGCGATGCTTGCATGTTTCTCTAGGACGATGGTGGGTACCTTATGGTTGGATAGACAGAGAGCAGCCGAGAGCCCGACCAGGCTGGCCCCGACGATGATGACTGGTTGGTGAACCGAAGGAGCCTTCATGTCGAATAAAATTCAGTTGAGTTGTCTTTAAAAATGGAAGTGAGGAATTAAATTTGTCCAAATGAGGAGATGCGAATTTTACTGCTATGCTTTAGATTGCATTCCAAGATGGGGCTTTTTCATATTCTTATATGTTTGGGTGAAGAGAGGCTCGGGCCCGAAACTCATCCTGTCTTTTGCCAGAATGCTTGAGTTCGGGCCCGAAGATGCACCCGAGCTCGGAGGAATGTCAACGTCGGACCATAATATATTTTTTCTTTTTTCTTTTTTAATTTTTCTCGATTCTTCTATAGTGGTTCGAGAAGGCTTTGTCAAGGCCCCTTTTGAGAGGGTTTACTGCGCCTTGTTTTGGATATGCTGTAAATCAGTGTGCTGAATATATCAATGCTAGTTTAAACCCAACCTGCCCAGTTGTGAATGGATCTCTGTAAACGGAATCTTCTACCATAATTATAGCATTGCATAAATAATCTGCCGCATCCTCTACGAGTGGGTTAGGTAGAGAGAAAGGTGGTGAGAGCTACGGGGAAGCCTATCTCGCTTGTATAAGTGCATATATATAGAATCGAATGATCCGTCCCCTTTCACCTCACTTCGTAGAATTAAAATTGGGACGAAGTACAAAAGAACACGAAATCTTCCAAATATACAAATCCTATTATTAAAAATTGCTATTTCTTTATATAGCTAAATATTACATATAGGGAGTACTAATAATGGTACCTTCTGGCAGCATAATGCTCCTCCTTGGGAGTGAAATCGTCCCATTCTAATGAGCCTAGCCGAACTCTGCTTGATGCAATGAGCTGTTATAAGCTAGAACCTCAATTCTTCTCAAGACGGAGGAGACTTTTGTCTTTCTTGCCTTCTTTCTTTCTTTTTTGGCTAGGTGGGAAGGGAAGGGTTTGTACCCTTATTATGTCCTTTTAACTTGACGATAGGGTATAGGGTCTGAATATTGTTCTCGAGCAATGGTTTATCGAGGCGAATGCCTATTCCAAGCGACCCAATCATGATGTAATATTATTTGAACCTTGATTCAAGTAATCGAGGTACTTTATGATCTTGTATGTTTTGTCGCTCTCAGTTTTTTCTGGCCCCTGGCCTTCTTGGAACTGGTCATTGTTATCCTAGCGGAACCCTATCACGCTGGCCTACCTAAATTATGAAGCCGGTCAAGCGCCTTATATATCCTCTGCCACCAAGGTTGAGCAGTTCGGAGTTTGGCGTGGAGTGAGTATTGTCACATGGAGGCATATCTCGACCAGGATGTTCATCCCTTCCCCCCCCAGGGGTTAAAGTCTGTGCCGATACGAACCGTGTATTGTTCTCTATAACAACTTGATGAGCTCGTCCTTTTGTACACTTATAAGCATCTTTAATGCCTTGGCCCTGCATTCACCGCAATCCACGTAGTCCTTTAGAACATCTCGGACCCAGCACTTCTCATTTTTCACACCCGAATGGTCGACATGGTACTTCCAACGGACCGAGTAATTGTCTGGCCGCAGCTCCAAGCTCCCAACTCTCGTCGCCCCATTCTTTTCTTCTAGCACGACAAGAGCAAACGCCCAAACCTGATTATCGTAGGGGTTGTATTCCTGGGCTGCATGAGGGTCTAACTGGCGGAGAATAATTCCTTTCAACGATACAGAGTCCGCGGTCTGGAGCGTCGATGCAACTTCTTCGTCGACCAGATTAACCTCAATCAGAACCTCGCATTCATTGTCACTCAATACAGCACACCATGGCATAGGCGTAAGATCTGCGGCATGACCAGCAAAGCCGTCCCCGGTTCCTCTTACCTCTCGGCAGAGAGTCAGTGGAACTGTCGGTACCTGCATATAAAGCTCTCGCGGCAAGGATGTCAAATCCTGGTAAAGATCCCAATTAATCATGTTACACATTGCCTCCCAGTCTACCAAGTCCTCCTCCATTTCCACCAATAGCTTCACATTAGTCAGGCTTCTCCCAGTGAGTCCATTATGAGCCAGTGGTTGAGCAGAGCCCTCATAGACAGCTTGCCAGCCAGCCCACGACCAACTCGGAAATTCGGCTCTGCGCGGCCCAGTTCCCCTCGTCTTCCAGCATAAATTCACCAAAAAAGCTTCCGTTAGCGGCCAGCTCCGACTAGGATCACGGCCCATGGCCTTGCGATGACTGACCAACGGTCCTAGAATCGGAATGCCAAAGTAGTGGTTCATTCGATACGGCCCATTTTCACAACGCTTCAACAACCCCAATGTTCCGTTAATCGCATCAGACTGATAGGTCAACCTCCGAGCTGTGTATTGTGCCAGAAGCTGGTGAATAGCCCCCTCGTTCTGCCATACCTTGTCGTACATGTTCAGCAACGGACAATTAGCATCAGCTCCTAACCCGCCGTGAGGAAACATCTCGCAGGACGTCTTCCACCAGCGTTCCATGATTGTCTGCTCTTCGTTTGAGCGCTGGAAGAAGACTTGCTCATCGGTGAATGCGATCCAGTTCCGAGAAAAGACCCCTTCCTGGTATGTCCAGGCGCGAGTCATCCATGGGCTTTCTCGAACTAGTTTTCGCGGGTCGGTCATAGACGACCAGAGCGTGTAGTCACCAATCTTGATGCAAGGCTGCTTGAATCGAGGTCGGGAGCTGACGCCGGGTAGTCCGTAGCCACCGTTTGAGCCAGCTGCTCCGATGATGGTTATAAGTGCATTTCGGTAAATGTCGGCCATCTGGTTGAGCTGTGCTTCGAACTCAGCCTTGTTGCTCTGGTCTAGGCAGTACCTGTCAACCCAGAGGTACTGGAGGCCGACTTCTCTTACCACAGTCATGGCATCCTCGACTGTACATGGAAGGTGAGGAGGTAGGGAGTTGCCTTTGGGGACCTCTTGTGCTGCTGTCTGACCCCAGACGTAACTGAGAGCGACATATTCGCAAGGACCACGCACTGGGACAATTTCTCGCTTGTGGCAGTCAATGACTGAGAGGGGCAGCACGTCCATTTCTTCTCTTGGAATCTTCTGAATCAAGTTGCACCATTTCCTCAGCGGTCTGTAGCAGACTCTTTTATGATTGATGAGTACTGGCGTTTCTGGGGCTTTGCTATAGTTCACAAAGGGTAGTTGGCTAAGCGTCGGTCCACCACTATGCGTCTGAATTAACAGAGTTGTTCTAGGGGTCACATCTGGTGCATTGAGTGGCGTGTTATTTGCCGAGCCGTTTCTAGTACTTAGCCGGGCACGATATATCGATATCCGTGGGCAAGTATTGCGTTCTTCGGGTGGAACCATGTCCAGGAAGAAGTTGCAAAGAGAACATGTCGAGTTTGCCCACTCTGTAGTCCGCTCAAAGACGAGACTTGGGTCTGGTTCAACGAGTTCCCAGGAAGTTACATTTCGGAAGAGGTCGTCCAGGCTTATGGTCTGACATCTTGAACACAGGGTTTGCTGCTGGTCGTCTATCATCGTGAGGGGTATCTATGTTCAATTTTGGAGACAAAATATGGGAATGACATATCTTAAATTCCCAATATACGGTCTGTGTATAGCAATGTAAGGATTCTATCTTCTATCTGGTAATCAAGGCCATCGCGGGGGGAGCAATCACAAAAGGTCACATGATCCGTAAGCGAATCTACAAATAATGCTAGCTTCGCTTCGCTCCGCCCCGCAATATGTAACCGATACAATTACTGCTGGAAGAAGCTATGACAGTCATTTTATATCCCCATGCCCCTCCAGTCTCCACCCCATCCCACAATCCTGTATGCGGCGTAGACAAAATACATTTCCTGCACATATTAAATCGATTTGGCTTTTATTTGCGACCTAACTACGCTATCTAGTTGTATCGGTTCTGGAGCTCCCCGTCAAGATGGTTGTCCGCCTCTGCTTGGGCTCTCTCTCTATCAATCCAGTCAAGGCCCCTTGTCTCAATCTCACGATCAAGTATAGCACCTGTAATAGCGGCTAAAATCTCCTTGGCCATGGCATGGGAGTCAGGCTCGCCTATAGGGTGTAAATTGTGGTTAGCATCGTCGGCACTCAAAGTGAGTTAGATAAAGCCAGAAATCTCACCGTTCTTGGCGCAGTGGTCTTCATAAGCCTTGGCAGCCTCAAAAGCAATAGCGCCTCCAAGGAGTTCGTGTGTAAGAGAGGCTTCGTGGTGCTCTTCTAGGTTATTGTATTCATCGTAGGCGACGGCCTGATCGGAGTCATCTGCTCAGTGTTCAGCCAAGAAACCATAGGAGATTGCAAGGGGAGGTCTCCTTACCGGAAAACCAACCCATTGTCATCAGGCTTATCATGCGTTTTCTTTGTGTTGTGTAAATATGAAGGGATGGATACAGAAAAATATATCTCTTGACTCAAAGAAGAGTGGGGAACGAAAGCCCCGCAGTTGGACTGTCATTTGGGTTGGGCTGGCGTTTGGTCTCTCGGACTCTCTCCTAGGGCTAGTTAGGGCTCTGGAATCAACTGAATTGTTGTTAACTCCATCTGTTGACTTCAATCTTCATGGCTGAAACGATTGATGTTTGCAAACCTTTCATATTTGTGATAAGAGCGTTTTCAGTATTTAAGCGAAGAAACTAATCTTGCCAGGTCGGGGAAAAGGTGTGTTAACCGGTACTCTGCCCTAGTGACTCAGAGTGAATCGCCCCAAGAACTTGTCCTTCGACTTGCGAGTTGGAAAGTCATAATACCCGTTGAAATTAGTCTCGAACAACCCGAATATAGTGAAGGCTGTGTGCTAGTATCACCGTCACTGCTATCAGTCACCTATAATGTATGTGTGTGCTCCGTACGCTTCGTCTGCGGAGGTCTACGAAGCAGTGTGATAAGCTGTTGTAAAGTTTTGTGTATGCGCTAATACGACCATCAGTATATAACCATTGCCTTGGGGTCTAGCTCGTTATTCTTGCTAAGATATCGGGCAGAAGCCTGACTATGGTTTCTCCGTCAGCATGCGCAAGATCCGTCCGAATTTCACTCTTTTCATATGGTCATGCCAATGGGCCAATTGTGCAACCACATAGCGAGGCACAATATCACAAAACCTTAGCCTACAATATTCGACACTTGCCAAATCCACCTCGTCATCTTCGAGCCAAAGCAACTGGCCTATCTCGGCGACTTCAGAAGGAGTTTCTCCAAAATAATAATGCCGAAGAATTTTTGGTAAAGGTCCAACGGGAAATTTCCGATGTAGCCAAAGAAGGATGTGACCAGCTGTTGTATTCAACTGGGCGGGATGGAAATAAACAAGGGCCCGAGGAAGCTGATACCCGCTCTGATTTGAATGCGCATTCAAGTGAAGAGGCCGCCGCAGAAGGCGCAGACATCGATATAGTGGTGACAATATGCTGTGAAGAAGGTCGTCATCGGAGTGTTGCGTTTGTTGAAGAACTAGCCCGAAGGCTGGCTATGCTCAAACATGGTGATGACTCTTCTCAGCACTGGCAGCTCAGTATCAACGTTACACATCGTGATATCGGGAATCTCGAAGACTGCGAGCAGTCCCTAGGTCAGAATAAGCGCCCAAACAAGGTTCAAGCAAAGACTAGACAAAGAGAACGACGTGAAAAGGGAAACAGGTATGAATATCCTGAAGACTAGACATAGCATCCTAGATATTCGAGATTGGACCTCCCGTGGCTATGTGACGAAGGCGGGAAACATAAGAATAACGAAACTTCTTCTAGAGAAATAAGCATTTTATGTATGTTTAAGATTGTCTGCAACCCTCCCCTTTGTGGCTTGTCGCCGGGGCTGGCCAGGTTGAAGTCGTGAAGCAGCCACTCATAAACCCTCCTACCCCCTCGATGTTCGCTCTCAATATAGGTTTCATGTAGCCGTGAAACTATAGTACCACATTCATTCCGGAGTTTGAGCATGAGATAAGTGAAATACTACGGTATAATAGCCTATTGATAGGAACTGGACGCACAGACATCGTCTGATTCGCAAGAGCCTCCCAGAGCGACATTACTGTTGCATAACAATTCCCGTGCAATGAGTATTGGCTGCTCAGGATTTAACATTCAAAGGTCGGACCATGATAAGAAAGACAGAAGAGAACCTAAAATTAAAGAGGAGAGCAAAGGCTACAACAGACCAATAGAGATTTAGTACACAAAGGGACGCTTCTAAGGAGAATTAGTGATACCCATAACTTTTGTAGGTTATAGACACTGTATACACCATAGAACTATTAATTCTCAACAGAGCAGTCCCGCAGGAAGCCGATGATAGACTGCTCATGTCAGAGCGAAGGGAAAGGTGGACCCGGTTGTGCAGTGTATCAGGCCACTCGCTCTGCCTGAGATGCAAAGGCGGCTGCCTTGACCAGACTCATCCCGCACAAGTTACCGAATAAAGTATAGAAACTGGGGATAATACATTGGCACCAAGCACTGCACTGGAGAATACGAGGTTGCTGATTGGTGTTTGGTGTTATCTCCGCGATCCGTTTGCCGTGGCAGAGCTGCAGGAGAACACTAATTGGATTTCCAGAGTGGGGCAACGACGCCAATGCTGTGTCCATGCATAGGCACCCCTCGAACCTACTCGGGATGCCTCGTATCAAGACCACAACTGAGAATATTATTTAATATAGCAATAAGACTTCGAGCGCGTAGGAATTGTATCCTCCTCTTGGACTAGGTTAAGGAGCCTTTTTCGTTGAGACGATGTCTCTTCAAAGTAATCATAGGGTCGAATAAAAGTGGAACCGGTGGAGAACCACGAGAAATGTCTGGGCAATCGAGGGGTTGATAGAGATTCGGGACGCTCGGCCGGTCGAGCGCTGTTTGTTCTAATGGGATGCTAGAATGTCTCGACTTTTGCTTCTGTCGAATTTCCTTGATGCTAACCACGAAGGATAAACGACAGTGGGCATGGATACCTAGTCATAGCGGAGCACCCTGTTCCGTGATAATTTTTTGTCTCTCTGTACACACGGCTGAGGTACTTACAATAGTAATAGTTTCAGGACGAGGGCCCTAGCCTCCTGCCGGAATTGCTGGCTCAGCCAAAAGTCTCGGCGCACCAGTCTCGGCACCGACCATCATGGTAACTTATGCGGATGGACAGGGCTGTCCTGAGCTGATTGTTGAGAATAATGCCGCTTGCATCATCATCATCATGATGGGTGTTTCGCGCAAGAAACTGTCGCGTCACTGCGGCCATGGCGGAAGTTAAAGGCAAGGTTTCTCCCGGTCGTGGTAACACCATTATCTTGTGCGGGAATGAGAGAATAGACGGAACTCTATAGTCCGCAATTGAAGCTGGCCGTGCAGGCCACCATACACCAACATGTCAGCCAGATTGATCATCGCGCAGAAGGGTGAACGTCAGCGCACCGACCTGTATGGCTCAGCCCCAACTGGCACTTGCTTTAGCGGCTGTCAATTTCTGTTATAGAGCCGGGGGAGCAATGCTATAGGCAAACACGAAGGTTAATCCTTCACCAAATGTGGTTACCGAGGGAATTAGCGGGCCCGCGGATGTCGGAATGGCTGCAGCGATTGGTGTTAGTGGCTTCGGTGGATCAGACGTCAACCCCGTCGTCGACGGTTGGAAGGACGGAAAATGTCAATTTCTACCTTGATTGGCAAATCCGGTCGCGCAATCTAAAACCCCTGGACAGCTAATTTGGTACAGACACTAATGACCTGCCCCGGGATAACAGAAAAGAATGGTTGCATTGAGTTCCCCGGTCTGCCATTCCAATGACGGCGATGGCTTTCTGTTCAGGTCTTGTTGGTGGCCTGAAAGGTTGACAGACGCACAAGACAGAAAGATTAATAATGTTTGAGCAATATGGAAAGTATGGCGATCAGTCGGGATGCGATGATGTATAGATGAAGAACGTTGTTTGGATGGGGTTTCCGATGGTCCAGTGATCCAGGCAAACCCCAACAACTGATGGCCTCAGGTTCCGAGAACTAACGTTACCACACCTTAAATCTTCCCACCAAAAGGGAAGTATTATTTTATTTCTTTATCTTTTGCTTCTCATTTCAATTCAATTGCACAATCATGCATCCATTCAGCCCTCGCTTCACAACCATCCCCAGATATTACTCTCACCTCTCCCCGCATTGTGCCGATCCGCTGATCCACAGTGGGTGAGAGCGAGAGAAACTGGCAGGTGGGGAAGAACGATGATGGTGGAGTGCTTTTAGACCGTTCGTCCAACAATGTCATTGCCTCAGATTCAGGACACCAGCTACTCGTCCGATGCAGACTCCACCGGGACCCAGGGATCGAGAACTTCGCTTTGATTGCCTTAGTATAGACCGTCGACCTTGATTGGCTTTGAGATGCCTAGATACGTGTGGACAACAGGCATTATCTTAAGGACGCAAGTGTCTGCTTGTCCGGAATAAAAGGCACCCTAATGCCCCGGAAAACTCGATACTCATATCTTTCCAATCTCTAATTCATTCTCCGTCACTTCTGGCCTTACCTTACCCATTTTCACTTTTAAAACAGTATACCCTCTACACTAGTCCTACATAATGATTCCCCCTTCAGAGCCCGTCCCACCCTCCAACTCTGCTTCAGCCCTAACCCAATTCTTTCCCGGTGGCAACTTCAAGGAGGCTTTTGATGAAAAGATAGTATTGATTGTGGGTGAGTAATCTCCTTTGAGCTCCACCGGATGCCAAGCCTAACCCAGTGTGCAAAAGGTGGTGCCAATGGCATTGGAGCTAGCCTTGTCGAGCTCTGTTGCCAAAACGGCGCTCATGTCTGCATTGGCGATATCGATACCACCGAAGGAGAGGCCCTAAGCAAGAAATGCCGGGACAAATGGCCTGTCTACTGGGACCCTGCCCTTCCACCAAAGCCTCCACGAACCTCCTTCTACTCCGCCGACATCACCGATTACCAGGCCGTCGTCTCCCTCTTTGACCGTGCATTCAGGACTTATAAGCGTATTGATCATGTGGTAGTCACAGCAGGTAGCATTGAAGCGGGTAACAATTGGTTTGACCAAAAGTTGAATTTGGAGTCGGTGCAAGAGGTAAGTTCCTTGCCAAGGCATGCTCATTGGAAGGGGAATGTGCTGAGCTTTCACCAGCCTCCTTCCACGAAGGATATCGACGTCAACCTCATCGGGTCTCTCTATGTTACCCGCATTGCTAGTGTCTATCTTCGCCACAACCGTGGGCCGGGAGTGGATCGATCCATTCTGTTGTTCTCCTGTGCTGCTGGCTTCAAGGAGACACCAGGTGTATCCATCTACCAGGCCTCCAAGCACGGTGTGCAGGGCCTCATGCGCTCTCTTCGCCCCTACTTTCCATCACCATACAAACACAACCTCCGCATCAATACCATTTGTCCCTGGATGACTGAGACCCGCACTACCCTTACAAAGACGGTGCAGGACCGCTGGACCAAGGAAGGCTTGCCTGTGAGCACGCCTCAGGAGGTAGCTCTCATCTCTGCTGGTGTGTTAGCTAACGATTCTCTGAATGGGACTTCTATGTACGTGGAAGGTGGTCGTGCCTGGGAGATAGAAGCCAACATCGATCGCTTAGAGTCGGAGTGGCTGGGAGAGGAGCCGTCCAAAACGCTGGCGTTGGGACAGAAGGTACTGAATGACGCATGGGCTGCGTAGAGAATTATCATACGGAAGCAGTTGCATGTTCGAGCATGTGTTACAAGTTGATACCCATTAACGACCATGAGAATAATTGCACTATTAAAATCGAAAAGTGAAAGAACATTGTACGTCCTCCGACGTGAGGCAGTTACGACGTTGAAGAATTCGAAGCCACCATTTTCTAAAATTTCTCTGCTGAGCTAAGATCACAAGTGTTCTCAAGTAGGGCAAAAGAGGAACATTCGTAGATTAAAATTTTAGCAAAACTGGACCGTAAAGCCGCAAACATATCACAAGAACCTGAATTGTCCAACTTCGTCCTGTTGCAATCAGTTAAACCCGCCGGCTCTTTCTCAATATGTACCAATTACCACACCGATTCTTTCTGAAAGATCCGACCCAAACATGGAAAAGGATCATCCAGACTTTTATCATGGCATTTGAGTTTTCCGCAATGCCCGGTTTTACAAGTACGGGCACGAACCACTCTCTTCCTGCGATTTCCTGTATCTTGCTACTCTTTCTTGGCGCTCACCACAAATCAAGCAATGGAACTGAATGACCAAACTGAAGAAACAATTTAGCAAGGACGCAAAAAGCTTTTTAGGGCTGCCTTGATAGTTGCTCTTCCGCATGATGTCACACTAGCAAGCACTAGGGGATGTTTGGTTTCTTGTGTGGACCTCTAGAGAAAGGCCTATTATATAAAGAGGTCAAAGTGAGAAAAAAGTGGAGTTGAAAGTCCAATCCATAATATACTAACAAAAGCAAACCAGCCAATATCCTCATAGTCCTACCCTGGAACCATGGCGAATGAGACTGTCTTGGTCACAGGTGCATCAGGCTTCATCGCTACTCACATCGTTGAATCATTCGTGCGTGCCGGTTACAATGTACGCGGCACCGTTCGGTCCGAACGGACGGCTCACAAGGTCCGTTATACCTTCCAGGAGTACAAGGACAAGTTGAGCCTTGTCATTGTCCCGGATGTCGCTGCTGCGAGAGCCTTCGATGAGGCTGTTCAAGGAGTCACCGGGGTCATTCACACCGCGGCGCCCTTCCAAACGGAAGTCGAAGACAAAGAACGAGATCTGCTGCGACCTGCCATCGAAGGAACAATTAACCTCCTGGACTCTATTAAGAGATGTGCCCCTCATGTCCGCCGAGTCGTCCACACGTCTTCTTTTGCCGATATCCTCGATGTATCAAAGGGAGACCGACCGGGTCACATATACACAGAGGCAGACTGGAATCCAATGACATATGCGGAGGCCATAAATGAAAGCACCCCCGACATGGCATCCTACTGCGCAGGAAAGGCTATGGCTGAGCATGCAGCGTGGGAGTTCATGGCCACAGAGAACCCTCCATTTGACCTGGTCACTATCTGCCCGCCATACGTCTTTGGTCCGGTCAAGAACGCCACAGCAAGCTTGGTTAACCTGAATAATTCGTCAATGGATGTATACCGACTCATGTCGCCCATGTCAAAGCCAAGCCACGCTATGCCGCCAACTTCGCTGTGGGTGTGGGTGGATGTACGTGATGTCGCCGAAGCGCATCTAAAAGCCTTCGAGGTCCCTGAGGCTGGAGGACAGCGGTTCTTGATTGCTCAAGGCACATACAGCTATCAAGGAATAGCCGATATTCTCCGAGATAATGTGGTGGAAGTGAGAGATCGTGTTCCCGTGGGTAAACCACGATCTGGACTAGGCGATGTCTATGGCATCGATGCATCAAAGTCAGAGAATGTGTTGGGGCTAAGTTATCGTCCCTTAGAAGACCCTATAGTCGATGCGGCAAAGTCATTTCTGAAGCTGGAGCAGGTGATTTGATATTGTATTATATTCTGTTAGTTTGCCTTTTATATCAACTCAACTTTATCCGCCAAAAGGCTGTTAGTTATATTTGGTATGCTCTAGGGTAAATGTGCTCCTGCAGCTACAAGGCCTACTTTATACAGACCGTGAAACAAATATCCATGCGGGAACACAACCACAGAACTCCACCGCACTGAAAAAAAAACCGAAATCAAAATCAATAAAATTGCAAGAGCAGCAACAGTTAACTGAGCATAATCCATGTACATGTTCTGACGCCAACTCGCACCCGGAGTCACGTCCTCTGATAGTCTACTCGAGTGAAGTGGGTTCGAACTGATTTCACATCACCATCACATCGCTAGTGGCATCATCGCAATCTTTCATGTCTATCACTATACACATTGTATCTGCAATAATAAGACTTGTCTGAGCCATCGACTCCGTTCCTCTGATTGATTAGCCATGCCTCCTCCACTCAAGGCCTGGGATTCTCGCGATCTATATACTGTTGGATGGATTGCTGCTCTTCCGCTGGAGTGTGCAGCGGCAACGGCTATACTTGATAAGAAACATGAATAACTATTTGATTTTGTCCAGGCTCATGGCTACGCTAACGTATATACTTGGGGATATATTGAGAAGTACAATATGGTTATAGTATTGCTGTTAGCAGGGAAATACAGAACAATATCCGCGGCAATAACAGTATTCCCTATACTCATCTTCTTTCTGCAGAAAAGGATCGGTCTTCTTGTGGGAATTGGTACGGGTATACCTAGGTCTGATAAAGAATAAGATACTTGTCTTGGTGATATTGCTGTTAGTCAATCTTGTAGAAATAGTAGTGGTGTTATCTATTATAATCTATTTATGGCAAAACCTGGAAAGTAGCGGGAAGGCATAGCTATTCTTAAAAGTCTGCACGAGGCCCTTCTCTGTATATTAGCAAATATGTAGGCAGAGTATAAACTCGAGTAAACCAAACTACTTCAGTATCTTGAGAAAACTATAGTCTACTATCCCATACTAGCCAAGGAGGGCTGTGTATACTAGGGGTTCGAGAATGATCGGCTGTATAAGACCTTAAACCCCAATAAAGAAATTCAATAGGAGCCCTGTAAGTTAATAGACTCTGAAATATATATACTTTTATTACTTCTGGTAGTATCCTTCTCAACAATGCTACTTACAGAGACCAAATTCTAGAAGATATTGGGAATGAATATATCTACTTTGAAATAGAAGCTTTAGATCTTATAAATAATTTTCTATATATTATAATTAGAGGAATTCATAATTATATAGACTTATACAAGAGTGATTGATAGCAATGATATACTGCTGGAACAGCAGCTGTGTATATAAAGAAGCTTCTTACTTTTGTTCTCAGTCAAGACTTTTAAAGAATACAAATAGTTACTGACATTTTGGAGAGCAGTAAGTTTTACTTCAGCTAAGTCCTTCTTAAAGAGTATCTTTATTAACATCTATTAAAGTTTCCGAAAATATGGCCAATATCTATAATATTACAGCAGGCACGAAGGCTACTGTAAAATACTTAAGTTTAGACAATCAATCTAATAAGATGAAAAATTGGCTCTGTTTTGTTGATAACTTGTGGAATGCATCACTACGTGACGCGATATCACCTCGATGTACTTGAGTGAGGGCATGGGTCTTGCTCCTTATGGTGTTCTCAACCAAGGCCGCTTCCAGATCCAGGAGGCTTTCAAGCCGCGCGAAAAGTCCAGCCCGTGTCGCAGCTATATTTTCTGCTTTCTGAGCATGACAAAGACATATCCAAGGCGTTAGAGATTCTAACAGCCAAGACATGGGTGAAGTTGCTTGACGTAGCTCCGCGTGCCTTGTCTTCAAGGTTCCGTACGTGTTTCCAATTATGGGCGCCAGGAAGCTAGACCAACATGCAGGACAGTATTGCTGAGTTCAATATTTCCCGGTTGGAAGACGAAATCCAGGAGATCGGCTCTGCATAGCCATTCGATCATGGCTTCTCACACAGCGTTCAGGGAGGTACTATGATTACCCGTGAAGAGCCTTCTCGAGGAGCTTCTGAGCATGGGGATGTGCGGCTGACGAAGGTTCCAGGGAAATCGAGTGTGTTGGCCAAAACCAAGCCCGTTAGACATTAGCTAATTGTAGCAGAATGAAAGTTTATATGTAAAAGGAATATAATAAAAAGTTCTATGAACCAAGAAAGTACCGTACAGGTAGTAGTAGGCAGCGTCCTTCTCCAGGGATGTTTGAGATCGTGAAATTCGTTCATTTCCATTTCTCTATTCAATAGATGAAGCGTTAAACAAGAAGCTAGACCGTGTCATACGTACAACTGAATATCAAAAATAGCCTCATTCCATGGGTCTTGGAGCGAGTTATGAGGAATTCTAGTGCGGCGATTTAGTTCGAACTAGCGAAACTAGCAGAGCACTCCATCGCAAACCCAAAACATCGGGCATACCACCCTTGCGACCAGTGGCTGAGTTCCATGCAGTGAGGGGCATCTCGAACTATACTACTGTCCACACGTGGACTGCTCTTGAAGGCCTGCGCACAAATCCCAACCTCCTCCTCATTTACCACAAAAAAGGGATCATCCTCCACAAGACAAAACATGACAGAAGTGTTTACATGCGCAGCCCACTTCTCCTTCCAATTGGGGAGCCACAAAGTTGGGAACTGAGTAAGCTCTGGGAGCGGTGAAACTGCATTGAGACGTTCTGTCTGCTCCAGAACCTCCGGGGCCACGGTCCCCGGTTTGAACATGATCCCATCCTTCTTGTCAACGGGGAAACGAGTATGGTCGTCGTCAATGGGAATAAACGAAGGAGGTGTACTTGTCATGAATGATGACTGGGTGTTTCCCATTCCATTTGCAATAATACCTCCTAGGGGATACAACGGTCCGTCATCTTGTGCATGCAAAGCCGCGGTCACGATGCCTCCCATGACACCCAAACTGTGGCACAACAATACGAGACAGCTGCATTGATTGGGTACGCCGATCTCCGACCAGAGTTTCGGAAGAATGAACTGATGCAACCAGCGACCAGTCTGCTCATAGAAATCGCTGCCCTCTGGGATTGGCAAAATAGGGCTTGTTCCCCCATAGGACGGACGATCGATCGACACAAAGGGCACCCCAAGAGCTTCACTAGTTGAAGAAGCAGAGTAGTGGGGGGTAGCGTCGAAGTACTGATGGTCATAACACCCGCCATGGAGAGCAACAATCAGAGGGCGGTGCTTAGCACGCGATGCTGATAATGGTGGGATGGAGTGTACACCTGCCACGGTGCCATTATTGGTCAGGGTGAACTGAAATGGCTGCATTGCGGCAAAAACGCTAACGTGTGAAAGGACTGTTGGGACGTAAGCACTTTAAACAAGTAATTAAATTAGTAGGAAAGTGATTAAATAAAAATTAAAGAACATTAGCATACAGACTACTAAACCAGGGTTGTGGGTCTCAAATTCTGCTGCTTCGGGAAACGGGGATAAGAAACGGACTTACCGGCCCTACCTGTCCCCAATCTTCCGCTTCAAAACTATGGCCTGGGCAAATATCGCTTTTTCATGTGGAACTTTTCCCGGTCATTGAATTAATTGAATGGAGATAACGTGATATCACCGAGCCATCGCTCGAAAGGGCTACACTGGTCAGGCCCATACCACCCTGTCTGGCCTAACCAGGGTCGACTTTTATGAGAGTCCACATATTCCTTTGGATCGCACTTGATCATATCATGAACAACTGTCCTCCCTGAGCTTCAAGTTATCATTTCGCCAGAAAAACCTCAAGATGGCATGATCTTTTCCTCGAGCCCATACCGCTGTCGTTGTAACTTCAAAGCGCGCCCCACTCTCGACTCTCGAGGTTACCACAGAGGTACCACAACACGGAGAGGTGGTTGTCAAAGTTCTATGGGCAGCGTCCTCACCTGTAGACCGGGTCAAAGTCGGGGACAACACCGACTCCTTCATGGCCCAGAGCAACTCCTGAGTGCCGTAAGTGCTCGTCTGTTCCACATACGGCCGAATGAGTGACCTTGATTAACACTTCCTTGGTCAGACGGGTTCTTTCAGTCACGTTTTCACGGGTTTCTTTAAAAAGGCTGCTCCGGAAGACTATAAACTTATACCCTGGCATTGTCAAAAAGATGAAGACCAACGAAGAGAGGAAAATAGATCTGTTAGCAAGATGATCTGGCACGTGATCTGCTCGATATCTATAGGAATCGCTGGCAAGCCGTGATCGGTACTAGCAATCGATTAGATAGTCTTGCGAAAATTCCGCGCTCGCACGAGGTAAGACCCGAGCGGCCAATAACCAAGCATACAGGAGCGATGCTCTTAATTATGAACTTGGTATATTTGCCATAAAACTCGATGGATATATCTACAGTAGCTTTTACAAGCAAAATGAGACTTTGGTAAGTAAAGACCCACTTGTAATAGAAGCGGGGTTGTGGTCTGCGAATGAAAATAACTAAGATAGTGGAGTCCGTAGCCAAGCAAAACCAGGGAATGCAGGCTTACCGCGCGTGGGTCCCTGAGCCTTTCTTATATCCGAATCGAAAAAGCTAGGATCGTTAGCTGGATGCATTCCATTTTTCCGAGAACCACGAATAGTGGATGCGTGTGGGTTAGTCGCCCAGAAGCCCCAACTTCAAATACATGCCCATGGACCACAAGTCAACACCTGTCCCACCTATACTTGACGCACAATATATAAACGTTCGTGGTGAGTGAATATCATATCGGAGTAATACTTGGCTAATTTGATAAAGCTCTTGATGTACACTCGCGAAAGAAGAAACGAACGAACGAACACACCCGCGAGATCCAAGAGGTTGCGAGTGACAACGAAAAATGATAGAGCTAGTTTTCTTGGAGCTGTCTAACCTGTAGAAAGGCGTCTAGACTCCCAGTATTCGGCCAGGCTTAAGAATGAAACTGGTTTTGCTAGTCACCGTACGAACCTGTTTACACTGAGTGTAGGAGAAGGTTCTCACTCCATCTTGTCGGGGTGAATCAAGCATAGGAACTTGGATTTGAACTGAATTGAATAGCATGTAGTATGGACAAAATAACCTATGGTAAGTGATATGAGCACTTGCCCCTGATTGAGGCTAAGTATTCCTCTCGGTTTAAAGAAGATGATCTGATCCTCAGGCAGCCAAAGGCCTATCTCGCATAGAAAACCAGCCATTGTACCGAGACACATATTTTGATGATTTTTTGCCAGTCACTATAGGTACCGGAAGATCAAATTTTCGCCTCTCCGGGCCCTCCACTGGTTGGTGGAATGTAGGATTTCTGGACGCCCACATATCACCCACCCCCGTTTCTTGATGAAGCTCTCTGTCACGTCCCAACTTGCAGGATTAGACGGTTTCCCCCAAGACCAACAGCGTGTTTTCTGGTGCACCTGGATCCCAGAAGCCTAGGATATCTAGACGCAATTGATCTTTGCCATAGTGGCCCTGCGCACGAATGAGATTATCGCGAACTTGAGGATATGGGAAGATATATAGCCACGGATGATGATGAAAAGAGCGTTGAGTGGACGCTGGGGTTCAGGACAGCGGGAGCAAATCCAGCGCGAGTGGTGCCGAACCAGCTAGATTAAAGGGCGACAGAATATTAGCCTCGCAGAGACCCATCACGGGGAGTCCCAATAGAGCGATATTGGCCAGGAGAGCGCGGTATACTTTGGCCCTGGTCAGAGACAGCAGGTGATCACTAGCTAGGTCACCCATAATATAACTCTGGTAAGCAGTTGATGTGACCAGGTGGAGAATGCGATGTTTTGAGGAGTTATCAATGTCTCTTGTGGGAGAGCGTAGAATTACGGCCACATTATTGACTTGAAAACGCTGCCGCTTTCCTGTGCTTGGTCAAAGTATGGTTCCGTAAGCTTTCCTACACTGACACTGTGGGCTGTACTGACTGTAAATCCGTTGGTTCAACCTGCTCTATCGACGGCGTCTCTCGTCACGATCTATGATACCATGCCATGTACTCTCAGGCTCAACCGTGTCTTCGGTGGCGGCGCTGCAATGTAGCCGAGACGACGTGAACCCCCCCCCACACACACAACGTTGGATATTGTCATTAGCAGCCGCCCCTCTTCGGGGTGCACTTGATGCACTTGAGGTGGAATGCCTGCAAATGGAATATTCACGTTGTACTGGAGAGAAAATGGATCTTGAAAAACGTCCCGCTCTTACCCGATAAGAATTGCATGGTTTTGAAAGTTTCATGGAGGGGAGCATATTCATGTTGAGGTGGCTGCAGATCAGCCAGGGGCGATAATTTAGTCGCTCAGGCGAAAACCGTCAGTATAACTAACCTTAGCTGCTGGATTACTGATACATTTTTTGGTTATTAGTGAACGTAGGCCACGGGATCTTATCGATTTCTGCCGGCAGAATTCCCGTTATGTATAATCCCGAGAATTTAATATTTCTGTACTCCTACATAAGAAATCAGTATACATACTAGGAAATTTATGTATTTTATACAACCCTCGATAAAATCTACCAATTGAAAATAAAAGTTACTGGGATACGGATGTATATTTCATGTATAATCACTTGTATTACTAGGCCTAGAACTATGATAAATACTGATTCTCAGGCACTGTGGCCTCTAAAATCTACGTACCGTAGCCCCTAAAACAGCCCCTAAACCTAGCTTAGTCAAAAGGCGGTAAGTTGCTGGGAACGAGTTGTGGAGTGGCCGCTATAGGCCGGCCTCCGTAGACGAGACTGTCCGTCTTAAAGAGAGTTTAAAACACGCTAAAATCGGGTGACAACTTGACATGCGTCAAATCGAATTCTCAACACCAGAACTTTCACCTACAATATCACCAGAATGACCGAGAACTCTGTCAACCCACAACTACAAGAACAATCGCATCTCCTTAATTGTGCGATTCACGCTGCGTCACGAGAACGTCTTCAGATTACCATCAAAAAGCTTTCTCTGGCAGTGCCTCATGTCTGGGACCATTTGATTAATGAATATCTGGTAACAGAAGACTCTGCGCGCCAGGAGGGTGATGCTTCCAAGAGCGATGCAAGTGATCCAGAAAATAAAAGCGACGAAATTGGAGATGGAAAAGAGGAGAAAGTCCAGGCCCAACCTAAACAATTGGCAGGGTCGAAACGGTTGAGAAGTCGATACGCTTTCTGCGATCAATGCGAGAAGGAATTCGACATTACGACGAATACGAGCAAGTCGTGCAGATATCACCCAGGTATGAATTCCTCCTGAATAGGATGAAAGTACTAATAGATCAGATATGTCATACCCCGATGATGAGTTTTTTCCTGATTGGGATGAGGATGGCCCACATGGCCCGATTGATTGTGATGATGTACGCGAGAGTCACCCTGAAGGCTTCATTTATGGGTGCTGTGACCAGGATTCATTACAGGCGGGATGTGAGATTGGATGGCATAACGAGTCGTATTCATCCAAGAGGCCAAAGGGGTGGTAATATTGCCATATTCAACTGACGATAATGTGATTTGTGATGTATCTGATCAACACAGAACATGTCAAATCTTTGACACGCGTCGAAATAACTATCCCCATCTTGTCAGATATTATATTCCAATCATAACATTCTATCAGGTTAACTATCTTGAGAATAGCGGAAATATTTCTTGACTCCTTGACATAAGAACAGTCGACCAGCTCTGTGATATTATGGAAAGCGCGACAAAGCGACACCTACTCAACAAGATGAGTCGGGCCATCCCGGCGCTGGTGAATCTGCGTTGGAAGATTTCTAGTTAAAGTCCACATTCGCTTGGAACTTAATAAGACTTTTTTGTGATTCTGCTGGATCGCTGGCCATACGTATTTGTTTGTTTACAGATCAGCATTTTATATCTCATACGGATTTTGATTGACTGATACGTCAGGCCCGATGAAGGACAAAAAAGGATCATTGCCTCTAGTGCAAACTCACCATATCATGACCATGACTTAGTATAAGTATTCGACTGCTACACTGACTAGTAAGTAGTCCTCTACTCGATGGTCCTAGAATCATTCTCCTGCCGGACAACATAGCTTCTTACTTGAAAGGTGCATGCAATTACATGCTGAGCTTTCGTTCACCTTCCTAATCGTTCAAAATCATCGTTATCATTACTTCGTCGGCGGAGATCCTTGATACATGCGGCGAAATTTAAATAAACCGTTTACATTAACCTGAGGAGTCACTTTACTAGAAGGTAGTATGAGTAGAAATCCCCGGTTATTATTTTCAGTTTATATTTGTATTTACGTCTGAAGTGCAGTACGATATCTTTTATTAACTAATATTAGAATGTATCTGTATCCTTACATTTGCTAATGTTTATTGGTTGGTATATTGTACAAAAAGTATATAGCGCAGTAATGTTACTAGTAGTTATCCTAGAGAGTTTGTTTGTAGTTATTAGAAGTTATATACTTGGGGTTTTTTTTGGGGGGGGGCGATATCAACAAACCAAGTATATTACTTTCTTGTTTCCAGTAGACGTTTTGTCCAGGAACCCCAAAAAGCTCGCCCCATATCTGCTGTCTTCATTGAGATCGCTTAGCTGTTTAGATAACCCGCTTTATTGGGATAACCAAGTTATCCCAAAGCGAGGTTTAACATCATCTGTTAGGTTTGATTAGGCTGGTGAGTTCTGCGGGACCATGCATGAGACCATGCCTGGTTTGTCGCCGTCGGCGGTGATAAGTGCAGCGGCCTCTGATATCAGGAGGGTCTTTCCAGCTTCCCGGGGCGCTAACGGTGTACATGCACGGCCTAAAGGCGACATTTGCGGTAGCTACTGCTCTGTTGGCGATGAGTACTCCTCCAGCTTTGCTGCCTACGTGGGAAAGACTGAGGCCGCAAGTGCCACCGTCCGACTGACACTATGGTGGCGGTTAAAAGGGGTAGAGTTAATGCGATTCACATAGCTAGATGGAGTATTAGCCTTTGTTAAGTGTAGTCATCTACGTGGAAATAGGCCATGTGGGCATCTGACTAATACAGCATATTTGACTAGGCTCAGGTCATCATGCACATGAACCCCATATTATCCAGGTTGATGCTTTGTAATGGGACATACTAAGCCATGAAGGATAATACGATGATAGGCAACATGAAGGGGGAGCTTTGAGAAGCTCAATGCTCTACACCTATGAAGGACATCTATAAAGCCAGAAGTAAGCAGCCGAGCGTTGTAAGAATAGAAACACTTCATACATACTCTCCCATTAAACTCGCACACAAGCCAACTGCATCTGAGATTGAGTGATCCAAGTATTCTGATACCGTCCGCATCCCACACCCACAGCCTCCTTAGGCAAATGCAGAGGCCAGCAACTAAGCATTTAACCGAATGTATTCCCCCTAAGCGCTCAGTTCGGACTCCTGGGGATCTTAAAACAACCATATACCTGCAGAGCTCCATCGTAAGAGTCGGAATTTTGGACATTAAACGGGTATCATGGTGGGTATGTTGTAATTGCATATTGATCTTATGGTTTTTGCTGATTAGTATACTATATGTGGCTTCCCTGTCTGTTTAGAACCGTGACTTGAGAGTTGTGCTTACGTAGCACAATTGTATGTCCTTGAATTGCAATTTCTCTCTCCTGTCAGAGATTGGTTGATTATCATCGTATAGCTGAATATCTATACCAGCCTATCACAATCACCGAGTTACCCAGCCGTGGTTAAAAAAGCGTTTTATCTGACTTTCTGACACTTATATGTGCGTCCTTGATATTACAATAAGGTACATGGCGATCATTAAATTGATACATGCAAGTCTAGGCCTTCGCCGGTCTAACCATGTAAATCTGTACGAATCCATCCGTGATCTCATTTGATCCCACAACCTGGAATCCCTTCCTTTCATACAAGGGCTTGCCAGCCACAGTCGCTGTTAAGAATGTGGGCTTACACTCATCATCAGCCTCCTGTAGTCCCCAACCCAAAAGCTGACTGCCTATGCCTCGGCCACCAAACTTGGGGTGAGTCGCAAGCGTATCCAGTGCTGTTGTTATCCTAATTTAGCATTTCTACAACAAAGGCATTAGGATGAGAAGACATACAAAAATGAGGTATCGATCCCATGAACTCCACCTCTTTTTCGTCTATCGCCTTGAAATGCTTCTCACACAGTGCAGTGTCACCACTCGTCGGCCACACCGGTTTCTTTTCCTTCTCTACATTTTCCCCGGACGGGGGAAACTCAGTGGAAGGAAGCTTCCACTGTGCGAATCCAACAACATCACCGGTAGCCGTATCAACCGCCTTAATGAGAACAGGGCCAGCGGGATTCACATATTGCCCTTTGCTGACGCGGTTGAATTTGGCGGCGAGCCAGTCCCGGACATCAGGCGTAGGAGGGAGAATGCGACGGTCAAAGTCGGTGTTAAATGCGGCAAAGAAAACGTCAGCTAGGACGTGACCATCATCAGATGCAGTTGTCAGGATTTCAATTGGCATTTTGGTATGACCTCTGCTGGGCAGCCTGGAGGGATTATAGACGGTTCGGTGAAGTCGGGAAGATTTTCACTGGAGTTAAGGTACGTCATTTCAATAAAAGTGGGTCGCCCGCTTGTTGCCTAGTTGAAAAAAATGATCCCCAAATGCTGTCTGTGTGACTACTGCGTAGAGAGTATCTTCTTTAGAATATTCACCTCTCCCTTTCGGTCGTTTTATTCGGTGGATAATATACTCTTGCTTCGTTGTGGTGTGCATGTACGAAGGCAACTGCCCTAAGTTTGCCACCAACCAGATCGACAAGACAAGGAACACGACACCAATAAAGGCGCGTCCTTAAAACCCGTGGATTATGTCAAATTATTAAATTGCGGCCGAAAGTCAGACTACAACTCAACCAGAGAGCCATAATCCATGTCTCAGTAGGCACTTGAAATCCTGGATTTGAACCAATATAGCGCCCATGGTCCCATGGGTACGACGGAAGCCCCCTGACGAAAGTACGGCTTGCCGAATGAGGAGCAATAATGCGCTCATCAGCATCGAAAGTGGCTATCAAAGGGGATAGGTGAGTGCAGACAGGTCCAAGGGCATTGGCGAAGGCTTCAATATCGCACATTACCCGCATTAAACATCCTGAATGTGGAATTTTATCCTCTACATTCACTTCAGGAGTTTGAGGTAATGGCCCTCGTAGTGCTGGATACGGCCCAATCTCAAGCGCAATGTCGAATGGACCATCGTTGGAAACAGTATCGTGAATCATCATGTTTCTCTGGGCCAGTCTTATACATTGCCAGTAGGTCAAACTATTTCACGATATTCACAATGTCTCACCAACAGACTGCATCGAGACAACAATGTCCAGGACTGCCATCCGGGGTATTCTCCCAAAGATAGGTCACTCGATTCGTTGCCCTATTGTGTTTCCTTCAACTAACAATCATACAACCGAATGAACGACTTCCACAGCCAGTATGTTAGTTTCAAGCCGAGATAGATAGGAGAGTACGTAATGAGTTCAGCAAAGCAGAAGACAAGCTCCATGACGCCGGTTTCCTGGGAGACATGGGTTGGAATCCTAGTTTTTATCTTTCACTCAGCCTACTCGCTCGCCATAGCCTCTAGGACGCCCCTTCAGTACTGGCGAGGTCCCTATTAGACCACAATAGAACGATGGTTCAAATGGACAAATTGCCGCCGCGCCTTAAACAAAGGGGATGTTGGGAAACAAGAGTCCAAGGCACGCCTTTGTATCAACTTGTATTTAGTGTCAATTAAGGGGGGGCCTCGTAACGGATGGAATGTAACCCTAATATAAGCCTCCAGGATGACCATGTTCATCACAGCCACTGAGAGGTTGAGGATCCAATCATACTACCACGTATCAAGAGATAGATTAGGCGGTTCTTTTGCGACCCCTGCTTTATTTAATTTCAAGCAATACTTTTCTGTACCCGTGGACATTTTGGCTATTCGGCGAGCTTTACGAAATAGGAATACGATACCTAACCCGGTCTATATTACTCCTTGCTAAGTAATAATTGGGGATCACTACCATCCTGTGACTGCCAGACAAATTGCTAGGCGAATTGCTAAATATATTGCTACATCTGTTCAGTGCTAACAGTGAGCTCGCGAATCTTAGTCGCACGCTAGTCCTCGCTCTTCTTTCATCCTTCTCTTTCATGCCCGGACTGTTCCCACGGACCTTGAAGGACAGGGTTTGGTCAAAACAATGAGAACAGGCTTATCTTGCATTCGGTCTAGACATTTTAGTTGCATCTTTAGCCACATAGTGATCCAAGGTAGCCGAGTTTTCCGCGCCCATTTCACAGTCTGACAACTAGCAGAAAGTCTGCGACCGAGCATGACCCGCTGTAAATATTTCAATCGGGGTATTCTAACGGGCCTCTTCCTCTCTAGGAAGTCTGGAACATGCATTGAACGCGGAGTAGGAATTATATGTGAAAGAGGTTTTTGTGGGCTTCCCAGTTGCTAGACCTTGAAGGGGGTTTCGCCAAAAGAGTCTCCCCACCAAGTCCACTCCCTATGTTGGTTTCAATAATCGATCTTAGTAGATCCTAGATTGAAATCTAACTCTTACGCCAAGAGGATATTAGTGCTCTTGGCAAGAGCTTACCAGCGACATAAGCATCGGTCGACGACGGTCCATATTTTTGTACAAAGCCGTTCTCGTCCATGCATACGTAGTGCGGCCCGAAGCAGGCCTCTGAGCCAAAGTATGTTGCAGATAGAGTAGGAGCACACTTAATACCTCAAATACCCTTTTTCTCTTCGGCGTTTTCGTCCACTGCCGGACTTTTTGCTTTTTTCTTTGGTTTTTTGTTGTCAATATGGGTCCATCCTAATCCGAAGCAGACGAAGCATGCAACTCCGGCGAGTCCAACTCCCAGGTACTTTCTTTAGTTAGCACGTCGAAAAGTAATATGTAAGGAGACTTATATATAGCAAGATTACGTACCCAGGTTTGTGTCAAGGCATCATTATACGCTCGAATGACATCAGCGTAGTCTGTCGCCGGGACAAGCTGCGCAAAGCTCGATGGAATTGCTCCCGCCTCAACGATATCCTTCACGGTCTCGGGATACGGGAGGTACTCGAGCAAGGAATTATAGAGTCGGTTTGTAAAGATTGTTTGCGCTGATGCTGTAAAAACTGCACCACCGAAGAATTGCCCGAATAAAATAATGGAAGTTCCCGAAGAGATCAGCTGCCGCGGAAGGACAGCTTGTGTAGCGATGATAGGCTGTATAATAGATGCTAGTGTCAGAAGACAGGCTAAAAGACGGGATCAAATGATCAGGTTCTATACTGACCACTTGAATTGATAAACCTCGGCCAGCACCAATAAGTATCTGATAACCAATCCACTTCCCTGACCGGGTAGAGGGAACAAAGGTTGTCATTAGACCTGCGCCAATGACGGTGAGTGCGCATCCGGTTAGTGCTGGTGGTGCGCAATATCCACCCTTGGATACTGAGTATGAATGTTAGCCGATGTCATGCTCCATCATCGCCGTAGGAATGAGGTGCTACTTACCAATAGCGCCTGCAACCACCGTGAACAGTGTTTGAGCGATGATAGTGGGCAACAGCATTACACCACTCCGGATCGGACTGGCGTCTTTGACAACCTGGAACCACAGCGGCAGATAATACGTAATCACCATAAGTGATCCGAATTGAAATAGGACTGTCCAGAATCCGAAAAAGACAACCGAGTTACGAGCCATCTTGGGTGCTATCATGGCTTTGTCACCGTGACACGCCTCCTGTGCCACAAAGAGAATGAATCCTACTGCAGATCCACATAGAAGGCCAATCACACGAGCAGAGTTCCATGGATATTTCACCCCACCCCATTGGATAGCAAGGAGAAACAAGATACATGATGGGCAGAACAAAAGAAACCCAACAGGATCAAACAGAGCGAGCGATTTCCGCAGCCCTTTCGGAAGCTCTGGCTCATCGTTGCCAGTTGGGATCTTCATTACCACGAGAATTAGGGCTGTCAAACCACCCGGCGGGAGATTGATGTAGAAACCTGCGTCACGGTCGGGTTAGAGATTATAAGAGTTACAGCCCACAGAAATCACGCACACCACCTCCATGACACCCGGGAGGTCAAGCTGCCCCCGATCAATGGCCCAAACACCGATCCGATCGTAGCCATCGATGTTCCCAGGCCGATCTGCCCTATGATACTATATCAGCCGCCTTTTCGCTGAACTTCTATACTCGGTGGGTCCTTACAAGCCCGAGCGGATGGCTTCATTCCTTTTCCCATAATGGTCAAAGCCCCGTTATAAATCCCTGCGCTCCCAAGTCCAGCAACCGCTCGACCCACAATCAACATCCTCGAGAACACTGCCACACCAGAAAGCAGAGAGCCTAATTCGAACAAAAAGAGGAACCCAAGAAAGGTAAACTGCTACAGTCAAAAATCAAGATATAAATTTACCAATAATTGATTAGTATCAAACCTTAGGGTTGAAATGCGCGTAGAACTTCCCCGCCATCGGCAGGATAGCACATCTATCCAACATTAGTATTCCAGATTTAAAGGGTGCGGAGGGTGTTGAGCAAGAATGTACATAGCAATCATGTAAACCGAGCTATACCACCCAATGTCCAGTGTGGAGTGGAAACGACTAGAAATTTGGGGTACTGCCTGTACACCATGCGTATTAGCGATCGCCGACGTATTCCCAGCTCAACCCACCGTTGAGATGATAGAAGCGTCCAGAGTGGTGAGGAAAATAGACGTCAATAGAGCCAGGGATACGCAATACATTCGAAAGCCCTTGAGGTGCTTCTCCTCCGGCTCCTGTGTCTCCCTATCGCTCGGTTCTTCGTTATTCTGACCAAACTCATCCATTTCAGCCACGGGGTCATTCTGTTCTGCCTGATGAGGCGGAAGAGGGCCTTTCTCATCATCCATCATTAATACCACCTGTCAGTACAATAACCAAAGATACCAAATGGGAGAACAGTTGAGCTTTTTGAGAAAGCGGGTAATGGGGAATGCGTATGTTGATTTTGGAACGAGCGTTGGGGTCTGATTTAATGCTAGCAAGTGCAGGTCAGGTGTTGATGAGAGCTTGCCATATTAGGGAAAGGCACCGAATCACTTATGCCTCACTAGAGTAATAATCCTTTGGGATATTTATTCTCTCGGTGATATGGAGCGGAGGTTCCATTTCCCAATTTAGCAAGTCCTAGGTTTAACTTTGAAGGGTTTGATTATATCGATTCCTTTATTCAGGGCCCACGAGAATAGAAATTTGGCTTTGGAAATACTATTGTACGGTATACGGAGCAAATTCCCTTAGTATAGAGAACAAAGAACAGGAGGATCATATCATCTTGGGCTTGAGGTTATATATTTTTGCTCTGGTAATATACTAGTACTCAGTATTATGTGTAAAGTCAGAGCTGAGACTGGTAACTTGTAGTAATTACATGTCTCAAGAAATCTACACTTGACTGTTCTTGTTTGAGTGAATTCTTTAATTGGCCAATAACGCTCGGTATGCCTCGTTATGAGGAATTTTCTATGGGAGACTCGGTAAAAATAACGAGATTTGACTGTACGACGCGTGCACAAAGGTCCTCTCCAGACCGCTCTGGATCACGTGCTCTCTGTTCAATGGTACAACTTGAAGATGGATTGACCCAGCATCACGTGATACAGTGACCCCTGGCAAGGACTTTTGGTGCACGCTTCCGTCCTACAGTCCGAACAGTCCGAACGCCCCCCAACAAGCATGGGGCTTGGCATTCCTTCATTTTTCATTTTCTGGTTCCTTTCTAGTCTACACTTGGAATCCTTCGGTACGTAGTGTCAAAATGCCCGACCCTGCGGATCTTCCAGCGGAGCTATTCCGGACCATTCTGGGATATGTTTAGATGACGGTGACGAATGCGATATCCGATACCTTTCCCGCCTGTGCCTTCTCAACCGTTCATGGTACGCTCATGTAGCTGTTCGCCTATACTCGGAATGGAACTACAATGGCACGAAACAACCATTCAAGGTGCTTTGGAAATTCCTACGAACAGTCCTTCGTAATCCCGCCTAGCAGCTCTGGTTTGGACCTTGACCATCGGGAACTGGGGATACTACCCACATGTCACTTTTGGCAAACCCGAAAAACTGGATTTACCACAAGCGGATCTAGACCTCATCCATGTGGCGATTATGAATGCCGGAATTAGCACCCTGTATCCAAGCATTATTGATAATTTACACAAGCGCGATCGCCGGCCTTTGATGGCACTTCTTTTGACTGCTCTCCCAAATCTCACCACCGTCTGTGCACATGTGCCACCATCTGACCCAGTTTTGGGAACAGTATTGCAGAATATATTGAGCATTCAACAGAGTAACAATTCCCAACCATCGCCTTTGGCCAGTCTAGGGGAGCTGTATCTCTTTGGTGAAGTGCCTATCGCCTCGGGGCGCGCGAGACCCGACAAGGCACCCGGTGCGGACGGGACTTTCCAGCTGAACCATCTATGGCCAGTCCTCTACTTAAAAGGACTGAAAACGCTTTCCCTGTATGGTATTGATACCACAGCTATCCAGCCAAAAGACAATCACAGGTTTCCTAGATGCTAAAATTCAATGTTCGCTAGTGTGATCAGTCTAAGTCAAAGTCAACCTGGAGTGAACAACTATGGATCAATCCTCACAGCGCGACAAGACCGACGAACGTTGGGGATATGTTGACAAGTGTAGCGGCCACTTTACGCGTTTGACAAACTAAGTTGAGTGTCTTGCATTGTGCCCGGTGAACCTCAAGTGAATCAAATACATATTCTACTATGGTCTTCTTGCGGGAGTGTCCAAGTCAAAGAAATAAATACTCTGCGGAGGGGATACCTGTCCTCGGCTAAACTCTTTGGCAACCAAATGTGCTCGAAATACCAAAAAAATGTCGTTTATACGTACGCCCCGGTTAGGAAAGGAAATATACAAACCGTGGTTTTGTGAATTTGCCCAGTCATTGAAAACTTATCTTTCGCCGAGAACCCTACAACCTCACCAGCGCCAAGCATAAGCAAAATACTCTCAACCCCGAAGCCCTCCTGACAAACTCCTACAAGCATGACAGCTCGTTCTTCACTCCAGTGTCCCAGGAAAATATACAAACATCCAAAAAAAAAAAATACCTATTGGGATCCCTAGTCAGAAGCCTTCTGGAACCTCTCCTACATAACACGTTATTCTCCCTGCTAGGAGCGGCGTGCACATGCGAAGCAATCGAAACGGACAACAACGCAAAGATACTCAAGCTACTCCCGCAGCCAGACTCCCCCAGTACCCCAGTACGGCCGTGGCAGTCCCATTCAAGGTCTGCTCCATGGACCTGGTGAATGCAGCAACGGACAAGGGACTATCTATCGGCGCCATTAATACTGTCTTTATTCGGCGTGATGATGACAGCGGAGATATCGGAGTTAGGGCACGGCTAGATTACCTCAACGCTCCTTAAGCGTAAGCAACTTCGAGATTAACATCTTCCCAAGCCACCGGCTCGGACACTAGTACGCACCTATCCCGCATAGAGGATTGCCTGGCTTCGTTTAGCCTATATATGACCTACCAAGACCCACAGCTTAGAATCTTCATGGATAGTATTACTGTATCCGTTACTTTTAATGTATACTGATGGACCCTTCGCTTATCTTTACACCGATTGGAGAAGGAATATGGCTCTTTCCCCTCTTAATACATCAGGATCTGCAGAAAAATGCGGGGGGCAACGATAGCGGCTGGGCACTAATCCCCTACATGCAAGCTCATCTCGACTGCTCGGGTAAAGAAACACCGAGGTTGGTCTCGCTATCTTGGCTGGTGGCTTAAAGTGACCCTCTGGGCCCGCTACAAAGATGCGGATGATATCGCGATAGAGATTCCCAAGGGTGGAGAAGGGTTCAAGATGTGGTTGTGTAATATACCAGCCCTCACGGGCACGCTGCTCATGCTTCTACTGGCTTTGTCCCGTGCCGCTGTCCAAGTCACACATCTCACCGTCGACGGCAGAACAGACTCACCGCTAGACCTTGGTAACTCGCGTCCTACTCTGACCTGGCAGATCAACCAGACTCATAACTGCGATGAGTCTGTATGTCCTGGTGATAGACAGACGGCGTATGAAATCCAAGCCGCCAAGACGATCGCCGACCTCAGCGAGGGACGGCTAATCTGGGACAGCGGTAAGGTTGACAGCAACCAGCAGCAGGTGCGCTTCGGCCGCGAGCTTAAGTCGCGAGACTCCATAGCCTGGCATGTGCGAGTCTGGGACGCGTATGGAGACGCTTCGGACTGGTCCTGGACGGCCACTTGGACTACTGGTTTACTTGAGCAGACCGACTGGGGCGAAGCACGTTGGATTGATTATCCTGGGCGCACGGAAAACCAGCCTTTGCCGCTCTTCGCCCGTCAATTTGACATCTCCCACAATAAGACGATTGATTTCGCGCGCCTCTACCTGGCTGGCATTGGACTGCACCATGCCACGGTGAACGGAGAAGAAGTCACCGACGAGGTCCTTGCTCCAGGATATTCAAACTGGCAGCTGTCAACTGAGTACCGAACGTATGATGTCAAGAAATGGCTGCAGCCGGGCACGAATGTTATCGGTGTCAGTCTCGGCAATGGGCCAGCGTACGTACGTCGCAGCGTTAAGAATCCGAGTGTCGGTCGAATCTCTCCATATTCGTGGTGGGAGAGTCAGCTTAAGGGCAATGGCACACTTGTAGAAGATGCACTAGCTGGAAGCATAACTATACAGCTCAATGCTACTTCTGGGTATCATGTCGGCGGCAGCATCAACATTGACACTGGAGGGGGCGGCGAGAAGCTCGAATCGCGAACCATCACCGCCATCAGTAACAAAACTGTCACTTTTGCGCCTGGTCTGACATTGAATCACGATGCCGGCGCTGAAGTCACCGGTTCGGGCAACAACATCGCTGCCAGTGACGCATCCGCTGGTGCCGCCGTCACCCCGCGCTTGATTGGTCGTCTGGAAATCACCTACAGCGATGACAGCAAAACCACCGTTGTCACGAACCGGTCGTGGCGCACCACTCTCGGGCCTCTGGTCACCGACGCATGGTACTCCGGCTCTGATTACAACGCAACCCGGGAACAAGTGGGCTGGGACCGCCCTGGAGCCGATCTCAAATCAAAGCCCTGGATAGCGTCCGGCTTGGCCCCTCCACCTAATCTTGCCACTCGGCTGGTTGCTCGTGCCGCTGAGCCCGTCAAGATCCAGGAGCGGCTCATCCCGGTATCGGTCACTGCGCCTGTTCCTGGGAGTTGGGTGTTCGACTTCGGCCAGAATATTGCCGGTTTTCCCCTACTCAACCTCCCCGAGCTACCAGCTGGTACAACAATCAAGGTGGCTCCCGCCGAGTCACTTGCTGCAAATGGCACGGTTGACCAGACGTCGCTGGGTCCGGGAGACCGTGGTAGGGATTTGTTTATCACGTATACCACTGCCGGCCGGTCTGGCGGTGAGAGTTGGCACCCGAAGTTCAACTACTTCGGTATGCAGTGGGTTCAAGTGACAGGTTTGCCTAGCGGCTACAAGCCTAGCCTGGACCTGATCACAGGTCTCCGTGTCCAAGCAGATGTCTCAGTCGCTAGCAGCTTTACCTCCTCTAGTGCTCGTCTCAACCGAATCCACAAGATGGCGTGGTATTCAATGGCAAGCAACATCATATCTGTCTTCACTGACTGTCCCGGACGTGAGAAGCTCCCTTACCCGGCAGATTTCACCCAGCCGTTCGGGGCCCTGGCACGCAACTTTCAATTCCCGGCTTTCTTGCGCACTGCCATGCATCACTTGGTGGAAGGCCAGTCCATCGCAAACACGTCGATGGCCGGGAACGTGGCCTTGAAGACACCTGTCTACGATTGGGGGTATAGCGGCCGTTTTGGAGATGAGATCAACTGGGGTAATGCCATTGTGCTCGTTCCCTCCCTCCTGTATGATTTGTACGGTGACACAACGGTAATGACAGCGTACTATGACCGATTGGTCGACTTTGTTCATTACATTCAACGGGAGAAGGCCCGAGGACACATTGTCGACGCATCCCTAGGTGACTGGGTGGAGGATGGCCCGCAGACATCGGGTCGCATCACCGGCACCTGGGGCTATTACCTTACCATCAGAGCCATGGCCCGTATCGCCAACCTCACCGGGCACCAAGCCGATGCTGACCGTTACAACGATCTATCCCACAACATCCGCAACGCCTTCAACTCTGCCTTCTGGAATGACACCAGTCGTCGATACACCAATACAGGCAATAATGGTACCAGCAACGCCACCCAAGCTGCACAGGCATTGGCTTTAGACTCTGGCCTTGTGCCTGAGAAACATCGCAAGGAGGTCCTCAATGCCCTAGTTGAGCTTACGTATGACTACCCCTCACGCGACGGGAAGGGCCCACATCTAAGTGGCGGGCAGATCGGTCTGGGCCCGATTGTACGGGCGTTGTCAGCTGGGGGTCGGGACGAAGTTCTCTGGGAAGCACTCCAACAGAATGACAGGCCCAGCTACGGCTATTTCATGGCTCCGACGAAGGCTAATCCTGATGGTTTCACCACCATCGGCGAGGAATGGGATCGCAGCTCATCTAAGAACCACATGATTCTTGCGCAGATCGATGAGTGGCTCCACGCTGGAGTGGTAGGCATTCAGCCCACTGCCCTAACTACCATCAGCTCTACATGGGAGAATCGGTTGATTTTCCAGCCTAAGCTGGTCGGGGATCTGAGTAGTGCTAGTGGTACTTACCAGATGCTGCAGGGAGAGGCTCGCTGTGAGTGGCAAAGGACTGCAGAGGGTAACTTTAATCTCACGGTAACGGTCCCGGCAAATGCTGAGGCAGAGGTACGTTTACCTTCAGTCGGTAAAGTAAAAGCATCGCAGCGGGCTAAGTTTGTCCGTGTGGACAATTCCTATACCATCTATGCTGTCCCGGCCGGTACGCATGTCTTTAGCAGTGAAACACATGGCCTGGAAGGGTAAACACTACCGTTACAGTAGCCGACCCTTTAGTCTTTTAGTCTCAGTATGTGATTCATAAGTTATACACGCTGAAGGTCAGGATGCCGTGATCTAGCTTTATGTTGTCGCCGAGAAAGATGTGTTCGGCAGTTATACTAGATATGCTAGATTACATTATTAACTGCAAATCCAAGCACAGCAAATATATCTAGAAAGTAGTGATTCTTGTATTGTAAAAATATTAGAACGAACGAAGACAGCTACAAGTGTACACCTTGTGAACGCAATCATACACCCACCTGTTTGACTCCTTATGCTTACGTTAATCATTCATCAGGATACAGTCTTTGATATGAGAAGTCTAAAAAGCTACCTAAGTCAGTAAATAGGTAAACCATCCTCGACATACGGAGTACTCCCATCGGCTCAATCAATACCCGACGGTTCAATCCACAACCGTACACCCAACACCAAACAATCTATAATACACCCTACACCTTACACCCATCTCCATACACCAAGAAAAAAAAACCCAAACATCTCTTACACATCAAATATGCCCTCAATCCTCCTCCTCAACGGTCCAAACCTCAACCTCCTGGGCACCCGCGAACCCCACCTCTACGGAACAACAACTCTCAACGACGTCGAAACAGCCGCCAAAGAACTAGCAGCCAGCTACGGCGCGGAAGTAGAATGTCTACAATCCAACCACGAAGGAGTGCTGATTGACCGCATCCATGAAGCAAGAGGGAAGGTCCAGGCGGTCGTCATCAATCCGGGCGCCTTCACGCACACCAGTGTTGCGTTGCGGGATGCATTGCTTGGGGTCGGGCTTCCTTTTATTGAGGTCCACATTACCAATGTTCATGCGAGGGAATCGTTTCGGCATCATAGCTATTTGTCGGGTAAGGCCGCGGCTATAATTATTGGGTTGGGGACTTTTGGGTATCAGGTTGCCGTGAAGCATGCGTTGGAGAATTTGGTGGTTGCGGAGAGAAAGTGATTGATAGGGTTAGAAAATAATAACTTCTACGCAGAACAACATTTTTTGAAATTTCTCCATCACCAAAATCTGAACCTATTAGGCAATGGCCTAAGAAATAGGTTATTGCGCAGCGGAGCAAAGCAAAGCTGGGCATCATATCAGGTTCAGTTATGGAATGTCTATACTTGTACTGTATGACATTGGGAAGGTCAAATTTATGTAATAAGGAGTATTTGTGTCCTTAACTTCGAAAGCAAAGGTGAAATATGATATTCTACGATAGACCAAGTCGGCCAGGAGAGTAGTCAGTGAACGTAATAACGAAGAGGCTAATCCGAAACAAACTCCTTATTCCTCTCTCTCGAATGGGATATTCGCCTTCTTGGGTGTAGCAAAAGACCAGATCATAGTAGACGATACGGATCGAGAGATATACTCACGTTTTCAGCAATCTAAAAATACTTTTCTATTCTATATAACTTTATATAAATGGACGGAGCGGAGTATATAAGAAAATGTGTTAAATGGGTATAGTAAATATTATTAATACTCAAGTCGATAACAAATCAAAGGTTATATATTTGTATACTCAGCTACGTTATTCTATCTGTAATTAGATTTTCGAGGCTTTTATACTGAAGCGTACTGTGTAGTTAAGTAAAATACTGGTAGAATTAATAGTCTGGGGTCTATTAGGAGTCATGTCAAATTCCTGGCCCGGTATCTCATGTCGCTGCATATGCCCACTGGGGACTAATATTGAAGTACTTACGGCATTCAATTTAGCACGCTAATTTCGGATTCACTAGACGCAAGATAGTGATTGTATTTTACCCATAAATGTACAGGCTAGTGATGGTCTAAATCCATATCTATAAGAAGCATAGCATGATTTCACTACATCATTCTTATCACCTTGCTCACCTCGAAATTGTGAGGTTTGGTGACAAGTTTGCAAAGGTAATCCACGGCGTGTTGAGTACATACAGATTATTTCCATGCTTCCAATGGGTGAATTCTACTTCTACAGGCTATCAGATACGGTACCTTCATAAAATGACCGCGAAGACGAGATCCGGCGTCGGCGCTCAGACACTACCAAGTCAAAATACCAACAGAAGAGCCGACGGATGACTAACATATTCTTGAAAGCTTTTGAGTGTTGTTTGGAATGCGAAACACATATATCTATAATGACAAAATGAAGCATAATGGCCAGGCTATCTATTTCGATTCGGGTGGTGACGGCTGGCCTCCCTCCCAAGCGCAGTTGGTAAGCAATATCTGAGTCTTGGGGTGCTCGCCATTTCATCTGATCACAGGCAAGAGGGGTTAAACTCAAGATAAATCCCATGACACCACTAGGAGTCTTTAGAAAATAGGATCGAGAGGACAATCAAGTTTATACTAACAGAGGTGTAGGGATACCAAGGATAGCTCTAAGTGCTTTATTCCTGGAAGTTTGCGGTATGTAAAGTTGTCTTAAGTGCTGTGATGGCATGCCTTATCTTCCGTCATCTTGGACAGGTTAATACAGTGTGCTCTTGCTACCTGCGGCTGTTGATTGTAAGGTTGGGGTGATCCGATAGTCGAGATATTCCCGCTTTCGACAAAAGACATGACAAGAACGATGACGCTTGGGCTGCTGATATATCGTTCAATGCGACTCTTGTAGGGATCGGTTAACTGGAATCCTTGTACTGAGTACGCTATGGCATGGTCATTAACTTCCCTTATGTGTGCAGCATATAAATGTAATTTCGAGATACAGCAATGATTGGTGTTTGCAGTTTAGATACATAGACTGGCTGCCGAGGATGTTCATCCGCGGATTTGCCCCCCCGAAAATCCGCGGCTGACCTTGCCCTGAAGGACAGCGGAATCGGTCGTCCCAAATAATACTTCTGGTCCACTGTGACTCATCCATAGCCATCGGGGATCTGGCATATCGTTAATCTTCCTCAAGAAACCTATGAAGTAAATTGTAACATCTCGGAGTTAGCTGGCCAGTAATGCGGAGTTCCAATCCTCATCCCTTCCGTTGTTCATCCAGTCCCCGAGCCGAGGAGACTTGGGGTATTCTTACTGGTAATAATGCTACTACTTCGGACGTCGTATTTTCCGATATATCGTTTCTACCCCTTTGCCCATACGTGGTCTGTTTCAGACAAGTCTGATATCACGCGGCGGATGGCTACCATAACTATATGGGTATACTCTACTTTATGTGCAGAGTGCCACGAAAGTATTTAAGGACATCATGGCTTACCAGAGCCAAAGTTTCGTCCCAAATCCGATAGCAGCGTACTTTGTGCCAATCTATTGACCCCATTGGCTATTCGTGCTTAGTACCTACCATGATCTGTTCTAGCAAGACCTGCATCAGATCACGCAGGTTACTGATCTTCCTTGCAGTAAACTGGTTGATAGTGTTGTTTATGCTTCACAGGGCCTTTCCACTCATACAGTTACTAGTAGAGAACGGAACGGCGGATACTATATCTCACGCAGCTTTGACAGCGTCATCTGCAGGATTAGCAGATCAATCAGAGCTCATTCCTAAGATTATCCACCAGACCTACAAAAGTGATACCATCCCAAGCAGATGGCTTGATGCCCGGAATAGTTGTATTGATATGCACCCTGACTATGAATACATGGTATGTGATGCTGCTTTTTACTGGTCCCTATGTGCAGATTTGGTTAATACCTATTTATTGTGAAGCTGTGGACAGACAAGAAAGCACGTGCCTTCATTGCGACGAAGTATCCATGGTTTCTCGACTCATTTGATGGATATCGGAACGCGATTCAGCGTGCAGACGCCATTCGATATTTTATCCTGGTATATTACGGAGGAATCTACATTGACCTTGATGACGTATGGCCGACCAACGTCTATCCCCATTCAGAATATGTCACTGATAAAATGAGGTGATAGGGATGCAACCGCCGGTTAGACAAACTCTTGATCTACCCTGCCTGGGTTCGTCGAACCACTCCTACAGGCATTTCAAATGATGTGATCGGCTCAATTCCTCAACATCCTTTCTTTCTTCAGGTCATTGAAGCGCTGAAACCCTACGATCGAAATTGGATACTGCCCTATGTCACGATCATGTACACAACGGGCCCTTTGTTTCTATCAGTTATCTGGCGGCAGTATACCTTGCATGGGCCTAGCCGCACGTGGCCTGTGCGTATTCTCTCGCTAGAAGATTACGGTCTACATAGAAACAGCTTTTTTACTCAGTATAACGGCAGCAGCTGGCATGGTGGAGATGCCAGCGTAATCTTCTGGGTAGGTCTCAGGTATTTCGTTAGAAAAGGTTGGTGCTGATATCTTCCTTAGATGGGACGACACTGGCTATTCCTTACGTTCTGTGGCGTTATTGTCGGCGCATTGGTCATACTCTTCAACTGGTGGATGTATTGCCAGCTGATTGCTTGGTATCCGAGATTTCATCTCTGTCACTCGCTCTGCCCAGGTCCCTTTCGTCATCCCTTTCAAAGCACCTGGGGCAAATTGCTTAAATGTGTTTCGAAGGCAAAATTGACGGACGATGAAGAAGCAGGTAACCACTATTAATGTTTTATTGGAATCTTGGTAATCCAACCATTGTCCCCTTATGAAACTTGGGCGACTGTAATCCCCAAGACTAAATGTGCAATGGAGGAACCTTCTTAAGAATCAGTGACAGAATAGGTGTGAGGTTTTTAGCTATGGTAGTGGTTGTACGACGTTTAGCTGTCCATTTTAAAATGCCTTGAGGCATAATAACTACTCATAATCTCCCTTTTATTCAGAGTAGTGTGTGTAACGGAGACTAAGACTTATCAGGTTGTCTTTTTCCCTGCTAGAAATGCGTAGGCGCACATGGCGCAATGGTTAATTAACGGCCCCACCAAAGTAACGTTCAGCACAATTTAAGCCACGCAGTTGTTGCTGAGACAGCACTGGCTTGATGTATGCAAGTGAATTTAAGCTTCGGGCTGATCCCGATGAAATGCGGTATAAGCTGGGTAAACTACCAGTTCGGCTTTGCATCCCTCCTTGACTCTGTACTAATTGTATATAGGGTCTGCTGAATCACTAATTGTTTTGATGCACATTGACTACGAGTTACATATAAACAATGAAATTAGTACGAGTAACGAGGTTCATCTGTTCTTCCCTGTCCTCCTTAATAGTCATGTAGGAACCTGTGTTGTATCCGGGCCTCAGTCTTTGCCCAATCGTCCAATACCATTTCACTAAGCCTATTGACAAGGGAAACGGCACATAAACCTGCAACTTCTACCTTCACAGAAGACATTGTATCAATGTAAAGCACTTTGTGAGCGACGATTGTTAGTCTGCATGCTAGAATTTCAAAAAGCATCACCTACGCCCGTTCCTTGCACCTTGTTCCAAGGGTGGTCTTCCTGCCATATTAGATAACGTCTTTTCGTTCCCATCCAACTGGCTTTATATTTTCCAGTCCCTTTGTGGGATATGAAGTTGAAGATTGGATGCACTTTACTGCATACGGGTTTGGATCATCTTCCTGGATCAGGTTGCCAAGCGTATGATTCACCTCTCTGTGCTTGGCCTCATCAGCACGAACATAGAGTAGCAAATCACGCATACTCCGCTGATTCTCAGGCATTTTCCAATACTTTACCGCAATATCTGGAGACGTAAGTCTCTCCCACTTCGGCAGCTTGCCTGACTCAAGATCCTTGAGTGCCCGAGTATAGGTAATCACTGCCTCTTCTTCCAGGTAGCCAACGAAACGATGACAGATCCGTGGCGAAATCAGGTAGGCGAGGAAAAACCCATTGTAGAAGACTCCTTGTGCTCCGATAACCATAAGTCTCATGAACCATCCAGGCTCAGCAAGCTTGAGAAATGTCAGGAGATGCATTCGTTCATTGTGAGCCTCTTCCAACAGGGTTTCAATCCTGCAATCTGGTATTAGCTTGGCTTTCTCGCCTTAGGTTCCATGCAAGAGTATTCAAGTGTCTTTTTCAGGGATCATCAGGGGTAAACCATACCAGCCATTGTCTCGCTTCATTTTGCGTAGGCTCCTCAGATGACGCAGCGCGCCTCCAACCATCCCGGGGACCCCGGCGACACTTTCGAGGAAGATGAATCGGGTAAGCCATTTCTCTTCATCCATGATGAACCGTTTAGGAAGTGCCTTCATATTACCCTCCGGTGGGTGCTTGTAGCCGGTAGCAAAGTCCATCCCCCATCGTAGGAAACGAACACTCATGAGAGCAACGTGATCTGACCAATCTCTGACTTCTCGGTGGGCAACTGTGATTGCACGTAGTTGTTCACCAGTGTATCTAAATTCGTAAGATGGAGTATGAAAGTTGGATGTTGTTGGGCAATCTCTTACATTGGATGCTCCCAAACAGAGCAAGGAGGAAGGTCAGATACCTCTGACTTATTGCATTGTTGCGAAGAATTGAAGAATTGCCTCTGTGATCTGGCAACTCCCAATCTTGGTAAGGTACCGCCTAGGGAGGTTGTGCCTAGCTCCACCGCTTGTATTGAGCCTCCAAGCAGGGTGCAGGGTATTCTTATTTGTTGAAATATGAACATTATGGCTTTCTGGCTTTTCAATGGATTGGGAGAATCGCAATCAATCTCTAGGGTGCCTTGTGAAGGGGCTGGGACAAGATAACGAGAAACCGCTCCCTCTGCATATACGTATTTATGTGTTATGTTGCGACAACAACTACAGTACTATAACTTTATCACCCGCTATAGGACAGCGAACGGGCATTGCAAATCATTAGCGGTGCTATGCCGATATTCTGGGTCCCACGGAGTTACAGAATCCTGCCCGCGGAGTTATATTATTCTCCCCGTTTTCCGTTCAAACCGCCGCTTTATGACAAATCCACCGAGTGAGTGTATGAAAATGAAGGGAAAACTAGATATATTATTATTGTACCAGAACATGAAAAAGGTTATACGATTTTATTTAACATCTCATGCTTGCAAGCTTTTATAGTTGACTGTCGCTCTTTGTTATATTTTCTCCTCATCACCGCTACGTCTAAAGTTGGAATGTTCATTCTCTATCAATAAACCAATCATCCGACTCCTTCCTGCTTAGCCATGTTGCGGCCTGGCCAATTTCATCGATCTCCGATAAGGGAGGGATGTCGCTTGGCTCATAAAAAACAAACTCCGGCCTTATCTCGGTCACCGGTAAATTTCATGTTTAATAGACAGCTCTCTAGCGGGACCAATGAAGACCATGCCCAACAGATGAATCGAACCTCACATCTCCCCTGGATCGCAGCCATTGGACTTGGTGGATCCATAACGTGGGCTATGTACTCCCCCAACTCAACAGCATACTCTATCAAAGAGGCCAGAGAGAAAAAAACACTGGTCATCCTCGGTAGTTCCATCAGCAAACACATTCCCTTTGAGAAACGAGTACTAATACATTGGTTCATTATCAGGTACTGGTTGGGGTTCGGTATCTTTCCTAAGCAAACTTGATACCGAACAGTACAATGTTATCGTCATTTCCCCTCAAAACTACTTTTTATTCACGCCGCTGTTGCCATCATGCACAACTGGTCTGGTTGACCCCCGGTCTCTTATGGAACCGGTTCGCAGCTTTTTCGGAGATCGGCAAGGCGCTGTCAAATTCTACGAAGCAGAGGCTGTAAAGATAGACTATGATAGTCGTGTGATTCATATCCAAGATCCTTCAGGAGCCCATGGGCAAGTAGGGCAAGCCGAAATCCCATTCGATATGCTTGTAATGGGAGTTGGTGCAGATAATGCCACTTTCAGTACGTCCTATCCACTTGAGGACCAGATCACAGTCTAACTGACCCCTTAGATATCCCTGGTGTCAACGAGCATGCATGTTTTCTCAAAACGATCAGCGATGCGCAGAAAGTCCGTAACCGCATTGTAGACCGTATTGAGGCAGCATCTTTCAAGGATAAGAGCACAGAAGATATACAAAAACAGCTACAAGTTGTCGTTGTAGGTGGCGGCCCTACAGGCGTGGAATTTGCTGCGGAACTGCAAGACTTCGTTGACGAAGACCTAAAGAAACAGATCCCAAATATAAAGGATGAGTTTCAGGTAACACTCATTGAAGCACTTCCCAATGTATGATTGGCCAATAATCAGTTGAGTTTTGTTCGCATTTGTTGGTTTTTCCTGCTGACTATTTCAGGTCTTACCCATGCTTTCCAAGGAACTAATTGATTATACCGAGGCAAAATTGAAAGAGCAGACAATACGCGTGATGACTAAAACAGCAGTCAAACGTGTCAACGAAGGGAGCGTTGAAGTTGAGATCACAAATGCGGAAGGTGAGGAGGAGTTGAGAACAATCCCATACGGGCTTCTGGTATGGGCTACAGGAAACAAACCAAAGGAAATAGTGGAGGACCTGGCAACACAGATTCCAGAACAAAAGGACTTACGGCGGGGTCTAGCCGTGGATGAATACCTTGCAGTCAAGGGTGCTCCTAATATATGGGCATTAGGGGATTGTGCAAATAGCAATTTACCACCTACTGCCCAGGTGGCAGCCCAACAAGGCACTTATCTGGCTGAGGTGTTTAATAACATGACAGCAACGGAGTCGCAGAGCCGCACAGAAGTCCAGCCATTCCGGTACTCGCACCAAGGGACTTTAGCCTACATTGGTAGCGAACTGGCAGTGGCAGATCTGAAGTTTCTGGGGAATACTATTCCGAGTGGGGGATTTTTTACATATCTCTTCTGGAAGGCTGCATACTTGAATATGTGTCTTACTGGTAAGCTTCGTCCCTTCGCCTTTTTACCTGTGACTCTTTTGAGTCGATGAAACCTCTGCCTTTCTCGCTATTATAATGTGTATTATACCTAACCGTATTGAACTAGGCCGGAGCCGAATATTTGTCGCAATGGATTGGATGAAGGCCAAGCTTTTTGGAAGGGATCTGTGTAGACAGTAGGGCCTGATTCTGAGTTTGACATGTTTCCATCCGTATAGACTATGTCATATTTGAAATTTTAATAAGCAACTATGTTGAGCACACTTCCGTACTACTGTGGCTATTAGTACGCTTCCTTGTCTGAACTAGATGAAAAGGGAGTTTCCTCATGTCAAGGCGAATGTATCAATAACCAGTGGCTCTATTCTCTACTACACAATAGAACAATTCAAAGTGCTCGGTATCTATCTGATATTTCAGAAACCAGATCGTGTAGTCATTTCATCACTAGGTTCCGCATCATGTAGGACCAAGACACACATGGCTATAGGTGTAAAGTAAAATGGGAAATTGAGAGTGGGAGAAACAAGGAGAGGGCGAAGAAATAACGTATGATAACTAATTAATAATAGCAAGGCATAGATGGCGGTAGAAAGGAAGGAGACTAGGGTGGATCACTTATATTTATTTGGGGAGCGATTGGCCATTGCTTTGGACTACTCAATAGTGATCGACTGGCTCTTATTTTATCTTGCTATCAAGAGCTTCAACTAAGATACTGTTTCAAATATTGTTATTCCTCCAATCGGCTCACGTCCATATCGCCAGTGCCTATGCAAACGACGATGTCTTTGATTTCAACTCCATCAACTGCAACAATACCTCGTCGCGATCCCTCTGAAGGGATTCCATATCAAGTTTGCCGATCGTTTCCCGCACGTTCATGTCTAGGATGTTGATTGTCTCGGGATTGAG